CATGGCACTCTCCAAGATCAAGGCCCTCAACAAATCCAAGTGGCAGCTAGGACAGGAGATGGACTCGGCTCGACACAGCCATTCGGAGCTGTCACAGAAGAAGGATCAGGCGAGGAAGGACGCGCGGAACAAGATTTTGGGCGAAGCCGACGTGATTTGTTCGACCCTTAATGCAAGTGGTCACGATCTCCTCACAAGTGCGACGTTCACCTTTGACACAGTGATTATCGATGAGGCTGCTCAGTCGGTGGAGATCAGTTCCCTTATTCCCCTGAAATACGGTTGCAAGCGTTGCATTCTCGTCGGAGGTAAGCCTAAGGCTGTTCTTAACTCAACTGATTGTTGCACGCATAGTAGGTGAGAGCTCAGCTTTGATAACTGTTGTATTCGGCATTTTACTCGTTAGACCCCAACCAGCTTCCTCCCACCGTTATTTCTCAGCTGGCGGCTGAATACGACTACAACCAGAGTCTTTTCGTCCGCATTCAAAAGCTGGCGCCAGCATCTGTTCATTTGCTGAGTATTCAGTACCGTATGCACCCTGACATCAGCGTGTTTCCTTCTCGAGAGTTTTACAACTCTTTGCTGCGGGACGGACCAGGCATGGCCATCAAGACTCAGGCTGAATGGCATCGCAATCCTGTGTTCTCACCCTATCGGTTCTTTGATGTGTATGATGGACGAGAAGAAACTGGTCTGGCGCAGTCGCATCTCAATGTTGCAGAAGCTAAGGCAGCCGTGGCGCTTTTGGAGGGACTCTGCAATGGCAATCCGACACTCAACGTAAGTCGCGCCTTATTCTCGTGAACTTGGGTTTTCTAGCAGATGCGGCTAAGGTTTTAACCTCTCATTTGCTCACTGTGTGAATATGTAGTTCTTCCGGCGCGTCGGTGTCATTTCTCCTTACAAGCAACAGGTTCGCACTCTGAAGGACTTTTTCCAGAGAGCGTTCGACAAGACCATTCTCGAGGCCGTCGATTTCAATACTGTGGACGGTTTTCAGGGACAGGAGAAGGATATCATTATATTTTCCTGTGTCCGAGCGTCTGCCAATGGGTCAGTTGGATTCTTGTCGGATGTCAGGCGTATGAACGTCGCCTTGACGCGTGCGCGCTCATCTCTATTCATTCTCGGTAATGCTGAGACGCTTCGTCGCAAGAGGATCTGGGGCGACCTCGTGAGAGATGCCGAGGAGCGTGGATTCTTCACCAAGGTAAGGCTAGGTATATTGTTGTGTGCTGGGTTTACTTAGTGGCGTTTGTATGAGTCGTGGGGCTAACGAATGTACTTTGCTTTGAAACTCAGGTTCAAATAGGTGTCTTTGGGCCAAGAGGTGCAACTGCTCCAAAGAACATCTTGCAGCCAAAGGCCTCTTCTGATAAGAGGAACGATCTTTATGGACGCGTCTCTGATCACAGGACAGCAGTGGCCATCAGCCAACCCATGGCAACATTAGAGGATATGATGGAAGTTGGCATGGCTTACCCCACCATCCCTGAGACAGATGACTCTCAGATTGAAGTACAGCCTGTACGTGGCAGACAACTCGACCGGCGCCAGGAGCCCGTTTATTCTGGCGCTCGCAATGGACGAACATTCAAGGACCCACCTCCACGCCGTACTCTGCCTGCCCCTGCACCTTCTCCTGCGCCGCGCCATGAAAATGGATACAAGAGGAAACAGGACGCTTCTCCCGACGCGCCACCGTCAAGTCGTCGCGTGGAAGAGGTAGCCTTACTGCTTTTTGGCATTTTTGTTATTGTATGCTCCTCGGAGTGCTTTAGCTAATATCCTTTCATTGTTACCTCATGTCTTGATCAGACAAACGATAGGAGGCATGATAAATCATCTAGCAGACTTACACATGCATTGCCTGAGAGGCCGCCCTCGCCCAAGCGAGCAAAGCCTCAGTCGAGTCTTTTTATCAAGAGGAAACCGCCATCCACAAAAGTACATCATCACACAGTTGTTATTCCATTGGGTGTATCACAAAATGAAAATGAGATGCTAACTTGAGCATTCTCATATTGTCACATCTTTTTCTTTTCTTTTGCAGCCTCCAATCTCATCTGGTCCCAACGGTGTCCCTCTTCGTGAGAGACTCGCAGCAGGGGTCATCCCGATCCAAAGGAGCTACCCATCAGGGGCCAGTCGTCCCCCAGCTCCACGACCACCACCTCCTCCCAAACTTGCGCCATCACTGGACGATATCCTGGGATCCATGCGACGAAACTAAGAAACAAAGAAACAAAACACACACGAAACATCTACCTTTCGCCACTCATTGTCATTGTCATTTTTATCAGCTTCGGCATCGTATTTAGCTCACTTGCATTTTTTTTATTTGGTTCATAATAATAGACTTGGTATTCTTCGTTTTTGATTGGCCCTATATGCATATCTTGAAAAGGGCATTGGAAAAAAGAAAGAATAAGAGGAAGTGGAAGCTATACTAGAGGCTGAACACGGTCATGGGTACCAGGATATCGATCAGGGGAAACGCAGCGCTGGCAAAGTAGGTGGTTGGGAGTGCCATGGTCGCGAGACATCGCAGTTGGGCTGCTGGCTGGGAGGTAAAAAAAATAAAAAAAATGAACAAACACATAGCCACGGACCAAGAATTCTTCTTTTAATACTAGTCGATGAATGTAGTGAAAACCTCGTGAGCTCGGACATAAATCAGAGGTGAAGGAAAAAAAGCAGTAATGAAAACGTTGAAAGGTTACCTTGTCCAAACGAGTTTGATTCTAGCTTTTCTAATGTTAGCAAAGTACTCAACGCGTTCTTCCACATCTCGCACATCTCGCACCATTTGTTTGGGGGTGTGGGGTTCGTACACAATTATATTTCTCTAACAAACAGCACTGAGAAGACATATGGAAGTGAAAGGTGACTACAGACCAAACCCTTCAACGCGCCATCCACCAGCTGCAGTCCGGTCCGCAACCTAGCTCTACACAATAATTGCCGCTGCCCTTCATAGCTTAAATGGAAAAAAAAAAAAAAAAAAAAAAAAAAAAAAAAAACTAGATACTAATGAAAGGGATAGTGGACATCAGTGGACGGTTGGCGAACGAAACGCCACCAAATCATCCGGGTAAAAGTTAAGGGGTAAACATCACGTGATATTGATTACATTGTGAATAAGGATGTGGAAAATTTTCAGAAAACATCAAGAAGCATCAAGCGTGGTTGGTTTAGTGGTATAATTACCGCCTGCCACGCGGTAGACCCGGGTTCGATTCCCGGACCACGCAATTATCTTTTGCCATTTTTGCTTGATCGAGCTTTTCCTTTTGGTTGGTTTTTGTCTTCTTTTTTGAACTCGTGCACCACTGCACTACTGGCGGCAAAGGATTGCTGAGGTACTTTTTTGTTGGAGGCACGTGAAGTGTTCTGTTTATTATAATTTTTGGAGTGAGATATAACAGAGCTTGAAGGCGAAGGAGAGAGGGCAAGAAACTGTCTAACTGTTGTTCATGACGTACTTGTCATTGCAGGAATAGTCGTTCATAACACACGAAATGGGTACAGGGGCGGCCATGGTTGAGTATACGCTTGTGGACAGGAGGGCGGCCAGGACGAGCAAGAGAATACTCGAGGTCTTGAGTGACGAGGTTGCCATTTTTGAAGGCAGGTTTTTTGCGGTGTAAAGGAGTGGGCTAGAGAGATCAGTCGGTTTTTTGTAAGTGATAGCAGTGATGTTGGTGGTGGTGGTGGTGGTGGGTAGGTGAGATAGAGAGTAGAGGTTAGGGCGGTTGCTGTTACTGGGGTTATGTGGATATGGTAATGCTGAAAGTGAAAGGGGAAAGTTTTTATGAGTGTTGATGTCGTCGTTTTCCTTCACATTTATATTTATGTGCGTTTTTTTTTGGTTTTTTTTTTTGGCTGATGGTAGGAGTTGGCCATCCGTTCTATCTCTTCTTATGCAAGTCTATGTTGTATATTCGTTTGTCAATCATGCCTGCCTGTCGTTTTTCTCCTTCCATCTCCGTGTTCGAATGCAACGGACACAAAAATAAAGGGTGTCAAAAGAGCTTTTTTTTTTTTTATTGCGCGAATGAGTTTTAAGGAGTGAGAGAGTAAGCAAGGGGATGGATGAGTCTGACTCGGAGACCAGTCAAGAACAATGAGAGAGAGAGAGAGCCAGCCAGGTTAGGGTGAAAGCACGTATACATATGCACTCTCACACAAAGAGGAGCGTCAAGGCACCGGTTTGGTAGTAAAAATTGGTAGAAAAGACGACAATGATTGAGCCATGTATGGTTGTGAGCTCCCACACGGCTACAACAATAATAGTCCAATACCAGACAACAAACGTCGATAGCTCTTTTCTCTCCCACTTGGAGAGGCCCCTTGTTCTTATATGTACTACATCTATTTCTGGGGTCTCCTTTGTGGTATTGTGGACATTGACGGGGGATGACTGAAAAGAAAGGGTAAAAGGAAAAATATTATACATGTAGAACGAGATGGGGAAGGAAGTAAATGAGGGGCTCGAGCAGAGTCAGTCATAGTGATGCTAGAAGCGCGTTCCTAGATAGCGGAATATGTTTGAGAGTCAGAGACATTGTCGTAGTGAATGTGACACAAGGAAATGACGACGCGTCTTGTAATCCTATCACATCAGACCCTGCGTGTCGCACTTTGTTCATGCATATGTGTAGTCGTGAAAAAAAGAAGACTTGAGTGAGGGCGTCAACATTCTCGAATGATTCTTGTCTGGCCGAAGAAGAAATCCAAAAGACTTCCTCCCTTCTTTTTAAAAGCGTCTTCTTCCTTTCTTCGTCCTTCTCCTCCCCTTTTGTTTATTTTACCCCCTTTTGCCTCTGTCGAATATCATCTCCACCTCTTAAGGTCTATTCATTTTCAAGCAGGAGTCGTCTTCTCTATTCAGGATCACCGGAGGACACCAGCAGGCCTCAGCACACACAGAGTTACACACACCCTCATCAACTCCAATCCACACACAAACCTTTCTCTCTCAACCAACCAAACCCATGGAGATGCTTAGGATCAAAAACCCATCAACGCGGTTCTACTGTTCATACGCATTCGACTGGATATTTTGCGTGGTCCTCCTCGTACTCTTCTTCTGCCTGGACCGGGTTGAACCCTTCCACAGGGAGTTTTCCGTCGAGGACAGAGCCATCATGTACCCGTTCGAACAAAACGAGACAGTGCCAATCTGGGCCTTGGTGTTGATCATGGCTGTCTTTCCTGCGGTGCTGATGTTTATTGTTGGTATTGGGGTCCGGAGAAGTCTCTATGATTTTCATAATGGACTCTTGGGTCTCTTGCTCTCCGTCCTCTTGTCCACCATATTTACTCAGGTCATGAAGGTAATTGGGAATGACTGGATAGTGAGAGTGATAGAGAGAGCGAGTGACAGTGAGGCATTACTTGATGGCGACGTTATTTCGCGCTCTCGTCTACGTTATTTTTATCGTAACTTCATGTCTATCATGGTCTGTCTAGAGCACTTTCATTCATTCATTCATTCATTCATTTCAAATCGTCATTCTTTTTCTGTGCGTTAACGTCTCACGCACTCTTTTACGTTATCGCCCTTGTTTGCAAACTCTTACATACTTCTCTCTAGGTCACGGTGGGCAAGCACAGACCAGACTTTTTGGCAAGATGTGAGCCAATGCTGAACGGGGCTCCTTTGACCCAGGACCGACCACTACAACTCTGGACCGTCACCGTTTGTGCTCAGACCGACGGACATACCCTCAGGGACGGCATGCGTTCTTTCCCCTCCGGACACGCCAGCAGTAAGTTCAACTTTCAATCATCCAAAAAGCAGGCTATATCCTGGATACTGCTCACATTAACTGTGTAGAACTCTTGGAACGTCGTTGTCTTCTCCACACCTCATACCACCGATCCGTCGTTTGAACCTCAATTGTGACACAAGCCTTGTAGCTTGGCTGCCAACGCATTGATGTCATGGCTTCGCAACCCTCCCCCAACTTTGTTTTTTTGCTCTTTTTTTTGTTAATCTGTTGTTTATATTAGCGGCATTCGCAGGACTTGTTTTCTTGGCGTTGTGGATGTCCGGCAAGATGCATGTCTTTGATAGGAAAGGATATTCGCTTAAACCCGTCCTTCTCTTTATGCCAATCCTCGGTTAGTACTTCTTTTCAATTTGACGCAATAATGCAAAAAAAAAAAAAAAAAAAAAGGATCCTAACACAACAAAACATAGTATATTGAACTAATCATCTCTTCGTCACAACTATCTCACACCTCCTCCGTCTTTACACATCTCTCATAATCAACACCACCACTATCACCGCCACAAACACAACAACAACAACAACAACAACAACAACAACAACAACAACAACAACAACAACGACAACAACAACAGCCGCCATCCTAATTGCAATATCGCGCGTCCAAGACTACCGGCACTCGGGCATAGACGTGACCTGGGGCGCTATCATCGGGATCATATTCGCCATCTTCTCCTACCTCCAATACTACCCCTCCCCAACATCCAGAAACTCTCATATCCCTCACCCTTGTCGAGACTTTTCGTCGAATATTCACCCGGATGGTGTGGATCGCTTGGAGAATGCTATTGGGATCCGGAGGAACAGTGGAGAGTATATTGATGAGTCTTGTGCGCAGGAGCAGGGGCAGAGGAGGGGGCGGCAGTATGATGCGACGGGGTATGTGGATGATAGTGAGTATGGTAATGGTGGTAATGGTGGAGCAGGACAGTCGGGGCAACAGGATTATCATTTGCAGAAGCAGCAACAGCGGGCGCTTGAAGCCAGGTACAACCAGGTCAACAGCAATAGCCAAGTCAGCAACAGTTCTGCATTATAGTTGTAATAATAACCATAATAGAAGCAGATAGGTTTATTGTGTGTGGGTGTGAGTTCATATGCTTTTTGCATGTGGGCATGCATGCATGTCAATTTGGTATCATTTATGTTGTGGATTCATTACAGGAAAAAAAAAAAAAGTGTTCATATGCGCGCGTGTTGGAGGAATGGAAAAAAAAATAAGCTCACAACGTTCAAAGAAGAGGTCTACTTGTGATTCTTCTTTATCTCTGTCGCCTGGACCTGCCCCCAAGCCGCAATATCCTTGGCCAACGAACCCCCCTCCTTCACAACAATCTTCCCCCAAGGACTATTCGCCAACATCCCAGAAGCGCCACCAATCATAAACACCCATCTCCAGGGGACGAGCCACATGATCAGACTCATGCCCACAAACGCCGCCATTGTGCCCTGAACAATCATGATCGCCTCAGCCTCGTCGCTCCAATCGAGGTGCTTAAACAACGGCAGAATCACATCATGTGCATTCGAGATATCGCCCATCATGTTTTGGATATGCTGCAGGTTGCTCAGGTACTTGACGTTAGTCGACCGACGCTGCTCCTCTTCGTCAGAGTCTGAGGAAGAAGCTTGTTCGAGGTAGTCTTCATCGTGGTAGACGTGGTGGCGGTTGTGGTGAGCCTTCTCCTGTGCTGCAATGTAGGCTTCCTCTGCAGTGATACGTCGTTGTGGTTGTTGTCGTTGTTGTTGTTGAGTAGTGTTGTTGGAGTCGTTCTTGATGCCGAGGATCTTTTGTTGTTGACGAGCCGACTTTTGTTGGAAAAAGTAAATCATGATTGTTGCCATGATGCACTGGGGCAACAGGAACAGCAGCAATGGGTAGATGCCTATACAGAAAGAAAAGTTATATTTTAGCTTTCTCTTCTCTTTCCTTTTTTTTTTTTTTTTTTTCCCGTCCTCGATACAATATCACATAAGGCACTAAGCATAGCAAGATACTTACAGACGAAGCAGTAAAGGACAAGCACAAAGGCAGTGTTCCAAGGATCCTTCCAAGTCAATATATCCTCCACCTGATCCTGGAACCAAAACACCGCTGTCGTCTTGTGCACAAACCGCGTAAAGTTGATAGTCGTCGTCTGGATAGACAATGACGGATGATCATTCTTGGGAAGCGCCGAGATATCACCGGGCAGCGACATCCGAATCGCCGCCGAAATGATAGCATCCTCCAGAAACTTTGTCCGTCCTACTGCTGGGGGTGTCGTATCCTGCTGCTGTTGGTTGTCCTGTTCCTGATCCTTCTTTTGTGAACGAGTAGATGGTCGCTCGACCAGACTTTGGAGGGGTTGAGAGGACGAGACGATGGCTGGAGGGATAGAAACCCGCATCCCCTCCGTGTTGGCTCGTCGCGGAGGTGATCTGGGCGAGCTTGAGGTTGTTGAAGAAGCTGTGGTAGAAGAGCGTCTTAAGAAGTCGTCCGCCGGGGGTATGTACATCGACCGGATGCAGTTGTTGTAGACCAGGTCCGCGCATTTCTTATGGCAATTGTAATGACAACCTATTTTTCACACATGCAAAAAAGGGGTGAGCTTTTGTTCTTCACAGTCGCGTGCAAAAAAATAAAAATGAAAAACGGCCGCAAGTGAAAACCAAAGGCCGGGCATCGTTGTATCAGTTGAACGGCGCTTACCTTCACAAGTAACGCCCTGCTTGGCTACACCCCAAAGCAGCTATCGAGGGAAGTCCGGGAAGAATGAAGCGGCTTAGAGGTGAGTTGTTTCCTTGCAACCGAGACAGATATCCTGTCAGAGGTAATATGCGTGCGAGGGTGAAGTGTTACCTTGGTGCAGTAGTCGCAGTAGGTGAGTTTTGTGAAGGTCCGTTCCTGGAACTGGTGGGATGAGGACGACATGGCGTCTTGTTTTCTTGGCGATGAATGGTAGTTGGAAAGAGGCCAAGTGAGAAGGAGTGGGAAAGGGAGGGATGATGTCGACAAAAGTGTGGAGCAAAGGGGAAAGAGAGAAGCAAGAGTGAAGCGAGCCCACTTCTTTTCGTTCTGTCACCCCCATGTTCCATCATCACGTGAAACTAATTGACTTCATTAATTCATGCGACAATTCGCGTGCAAATTGATGCCAAGAAGTACATGGACATGCATCACTCGTTCGTTTTTCTTATTCGACAGATGCAAGTCCGTCCAGGGTGGGGAAGCGATTTATTGTTTTTTGACTTTTTTTTTTGTTGGTTGGATGATGATATGTTACATTGTTTGTGTAGCACCGCATGGCGCCTGTTCGGCATCAGCAATGATAATGGGCTACCTTCTCGTTCAGCAATCAAAAAGGTGAGGTTCGCGTTTCACATGCTCAAAGCGTAAAAAGGAACCCACGCCACTGTCAACCTTTCAATTAGAGGCTAGCTGACAAGAGTATGAGGAGAAAAGAGGAAAAAAAGGAAAGAGTAAAGGACAGGTGGGGAATAATAAAGCAATGAGAAGTAAAGAAAAAAAAAGGTGCGGCGAATGATCCATGAGAGTGCGCTACTTGAGGATGCTCAGACAAGACTTTCCATAAGTTTGGCAATCCGATAGAAGACGCGGCCACTCGCGCTTCTGGAGCAGACAACTCCGTTCGGAAGAGGCATAACATCGTATGGTTCATCGTTCTGTTCAGTGTCTGCTGCGCGTGTTGTGATGGCACCCTCCTGCAGCTGTTGCTGCAGCTGTTGTTGCTGTTGTTGTTGCTGCTGCAGCTGTTGTTGTTTGAGGAGGGTGATGCTGGATGGAGCGTGGGGATTAGGGTTATTAGGGGAGGCTGGTGCGAGACTTGTGGCCGTCTCAATAGATCGTTGTAAGTTGTTAAACTCATCATCTTCCTTGTCGACGTCAATGCCTTCAATAATTCCTTGAAGGTTGTTGATGGCTCCATAATGCAGGTGGCCTTTTGTCGTTGTCGAAAATGTGCGTCCTGGAGTGGCGAGCAAGGCCGGTGCAAGAGCTGGGGCTGGAGGGGGGGGAAGACTCGACCCGTATGATTCTCCGGGAAACGAGGCATCATGCATAGAAAGGTGGGTTCGACTGAAAGCGCGAATGTCCAAGGCGTATCTATAGTGTGTCGCATGCATTGAAAAGGTTAATTCAGGTTCACACATCTTCGCACGTTGATTGCGCAGGTAAACAAGAAACTAACAAAGCGGTTAATCCTACCTTGATCCGTAAATCACACGGATGTGGTGAACCGCACGAGGCACGATCGATAACACCTTGACTCCCATAGAGTCCTCCTTCACCGAATTCTCCAACCTATCCAATACTTCCAGGACCGAGCACGTTTGGACCATTGTCTAAAATTCAGAGAAAATGTGAAACCAAACAGGTTAGTATTGTACCGCGCTGTACATACAAAATTGAACGCCAAGAGAGCATGAAATGGTGCGCATTTCCCCTCACTTACGTTCATAAGACTGTGAAGGTCGGCCTCGCGATTGAACATGTCCTGTAGGAAGTACTTCATTCTGCGGTGGGGATTCACATGTCGTCCTTTCTCAGATGATAACTCAGAGAGATCAATCTCATAGAGACCTTGCTGGAAGCGAGGAGCGCATGGGATCACGACTCCTGAGGACGATCGTTTTTCAGACGTGACTGCAGGGGCCCATCTGATGCTGATGGTGTAGCGTTTGAAGTATTGAAGCTGGACACCGTGTAAATGACACAGTTGGAGTTTGATGTGTGGGTTGGTGAGGGTCGGTGCATGAAGCTGGCGAATGATCTTGAGCATCCGGATAATCGTCTCCCAGTCTTGTTGAAACTGCCGAACGAATGTTCCTCGTGTCTTGTAGGTAAAAGTCAGCATCCTCGTCGCTGCATGGTAATGGACACAGGGGTCTGTTTGAAATGTAAGTTTGCAGGGAAGAATTAGCGAGTGGTCATCGCCAAGCCATCTAAAGTACCAATATAACAGCCAAATTCTCAAACCTACCAAGAGTTCCACCCTCCATGTTGGTTGGAATGACGTTCGGGACAAACTTTGCTTTGACCTCAAAATTACAGGTTTCTCTTTGGCTGTCCCACCATCCTGTCAACTTGGCGCCCACAAATTCGAACATGTCATCTGCTGCTCCACTTGATATCGAGTTTTGGTCCAGACGGAGTATAGGTAACATATTCGAGTCGCTGACGGACGAGCCATTGTCCTTTGAGGTGTGTACTGTTGGTCGGTACTGAATGCCGAGTTGCTGGAGCTGATTCTTCGTCTCATTGAGACAAATGCGGACTCGACAAAGTGCTTCCAGTTTGGTCATCACATCCTGGTCAATGGTCATCCTATTAAAACCACAAATCGAGACGGTGAGAGTAGTAATGAGCATGTATGTCATGACCGTCATTCATAGGGTCACAGCGGCGAAGATCGACATGTGTCCGTAATGGTGATCCTTACTCTTCCACAGACGGGGCGTCGCTAGCGCCATCGTCCTCAAGGTCAAATTGGACAGATTTCCGCTTCGAGAGCGCGACATTGTATGAGTTGCCCTCATCAATCTCTCTCCTTCGTCGCTTCAGTCCTTGCAAGTACACAGGCTCAAACGATTTCAAGGTGAGCCAAATTCCCGCGACCTCCTTGTCAGTGGGAGCAACTTCGATCAGCCATACACGGAACTTTTGCTCAATGACGCCAACGACAAGATAGTGATGTGGATGCTGCGGGTACTGCAGAAATAGGATTTGTTGAATGTTGGCGCCAAACTGCGCCGCATCCTGCTTCCCGAGAGCTAATCGTCGATAAGGTTGGAGACCAAGCAAAATGCCGATTGATTCCAGTTCGACAATGGTCATCTATGGATAGATCGAGTTGAAGCGCACAAGGGTTAGCCCAGCTGTGCAATCAAAGTGAAAGCTGTACACGCTGCAATAAAAGCTGGACTTACAGAGAATCGCAATGAAATGAGAGCATCCACAATGTTGTTTGCGTTCTCGTTCAGACGTGCTTGGAATGCGGCAATGATTGCTATGTGACCAAGGAGAAAAACATAGATAAGTCCGCTGTGAACATAATGCATGGCAATACATTAGAAGGTGTCGAACTTACAGTCATCTCCTTCACCAGTCTTGCCAACTTCTCGCACGACGACTCTCCCTGTCCTGACATCAATCCGGATTCGGATCCAGCGATCACCTTTCAGACGAACCAGTAGTGCGCGAGGTCCAGGTAAGCCTGCTGTACCAACTGCAGAGTTCTGCTGCTCGCCGGTATCCAGTGCCTCCAACTTAACATCATCCTTGGAAAAGTGGGTTCCTTCCATCGTTTCCCGCTTGTCCTTAATGCTTTCGATATATTTCCAAAGGCGATCATAGAATCCTTGCATGACTTGTCCTGTGTGCATGTTGACTGCCTTCAGAAGTAGCCGCTCAACGTGAAGTTGAGAGGGGTCCTAGTGAGCGCAAACATGAAGGGCTTATTAGCATCTCGCCCAACGGTTCATGATACCGAGGAGAATGATCCAACTTTATACACTTACCAACTCCAGAATGGAGGTAACCTGGCTTTCTGGAACGATCCCTTTGGCGACTTGACTCCAGACCACCTTGATGTAAGCTTTGGGATAGCCAAGGAGTTTTGGATCGACTAGAGCACCAGCCAGGCCTTCTGGTATGGGTTCTGTTGGTCCTTGACGTTCCTCGATTCTAATCTCCAGATAATGTTCCTGCTGAGCAGCCAAAGACTGAGCGGTATCTTTGCCCTGGCCAGCTGCTGTTGTTGAGGCGCGGCGTTTTGATGGTGGGGCGGCAGGTTGCTGCTGTACGGTTTGAAGAGCATATCCGCTATTCCAATAGACTAGGCGCACTACAGTACGAGTTTGATTTACATCCAATCTGAGTTTGTCCGTCCAGCCCGATCGAGATAATTGATACGCCTAAATAAAATCGATAAAACACTTGAGTACCAGGAAAATGAAGACAACTATCGATAACAGATAAGAAATCATTATATGTACCTGGGTGCACACGAGCTCAATAAGTAGGTGCAGCGAAAGATTGTGCAGATAGTCGTAGAGTCTCAGAAGAGCTTGGTTGGCTGGCAAAGAGACAGCTTCAGAAGCTGGGAGGGCAGGGTGATGGGGCGCATTTGCCGTGGTGACGGATTCCAGCGCCTTCTGGGCAAACATAATGATAGCTCGCATTTGTCCATCAGTCAAGGATGTCTCCAAACCTAATGGATGTTCCAAAAGTCACTCGACAGCGTTAGTTAGCAGATGTTTGCGGGCGAGGAACGCGTGTTAAGAAGAGAATCATCCCTGCACGCGTACCATGGAACGATCCTCCAACAGGCTTGGCTAGGATCTTCAGACCCACAATCCGCCAGGGAACGTCTTTGGGAGATCCTGGTCCCAAGACTGTGAGCGTTACCTATGACCAGAGTAAACGTAGATGAAGTTTTCGATATTATGAGAAGAAAGCCCATAGAAGTGACCACACAAGAACGACCAACGTATCCTGTAAACGACATATACCTCAAACTCGTTCGTCACGACAAACTTGGCCTTTCCTTTGCCAACGGTGTACTTCATGGCAGGCGGCACTAATTCGTCGCACAAGAGTCTCATCCGAATGACATCATCCAGTTTCTCCAAGGTCGCTGCGATCTCGGACCTGGTAGGCTTGTCGTCCTCGACGTACGCTTGTTTGATCCGGGAAGGAAGTCGTTGGTATGATCCGGTTGTCAAAACATCAATGGCTGTTGGGATATCAAAGTTCCGAACGCTATAAAAGAGAAAGAACATCGTTGAGTAATTGAACCCATTCAGGCGCATTGCCATGTCGAGATGTGTTGCAGTCACGACAGTCCAAGTGCACCTACCGAGCCCTCCCAAACATCTTGTATGTCTCAAAGAGTCCTCCAACTGCTCGAGTGAAGAGTTCGTTCTCATGATGTAGAAATCCGACAATGTTCTACAAAAGAAATAAAAGGTGATAAGCAACTGATGGGTTAACGTTCGTTCGATGGTAATATATGCCTCAAGCATAAGGCCGCCAGGGCGCAATCATGCCGATCATCGCGATACACATACCTGACATTGCTGAAACTTTCTTGCATTCTTTCCCCACTTTGTCAGCACCAGCAGCTTGATAAACTGTTCTCGCTTTGAAAGGGTGTACTTCAAAAGTTCGATCTTCCTGTCCGTGTCACTCATAGATGGCAATCTAAACATACGCGTCAGGGGGATAACAATAATTGCTTAGCAAAAGTGTGGAAACGATCCCGAATTGAAGCTCATAGTTGCCCTGAAAATAAACTAAAGTCAAGGACTTACGTTTCTGACAGGTTGGACAGCTCTGCAAATGCATCGTTGGTCATACGATGAATAACAGCGCCAAGTGGGACCATAGCGTTCATATTGTCGGGGAGGACAGGTACAGTTGCTGGTGGCGGTGCTGATACAGGCACTGGCGCAGACACAGGCGCAGGCGTAGGCGTTGGTGCAGGCACGGGCGGCAACGCTCCTTTAGTGATCCCGTTTGGTTCCATCATTGGTTCTGTCAGAGTCGGTTGATGCAGGGTCCCATTCGTGGAATTGTGGAGAAGGTGCGTTCCAGCCATGCGCCATGCACTGTTTTCGAATATCCAGGACGGCGAGCTTGTTGGTTCCGTTGGACGATGTTATCCCTCCGGTCTCTTTTTACACTAGCTCCCTGTCTTTTTGTCTTTCCTTGATTGGACTGGACGAGTGCTTCTGAAAGGCGCGCGCACGAAAGAAACAAAGAAGAAAAAAATAACAGAAGTGGTGTGGAGGAGGCTGAGGACAGGTTTACACTGTCGATGGTGAGGGACGAAGAAGGGGGAGGATGTTCAGAAGGAAGATGAAAACAGGAGAAGATGGAGAGGATCAAGAGGTGAGGCCGCGATGAAGGTGGGGAACAGCGAGGCAAGACAATGAAAGAAAAGAAAAGAAACAAAGGATCAAAGGGTCGACACCAGTTCTTAAGTCGAGAGATGAAGACAAAATCCCTTTTATACACCTTAAAATGCAGATAATTGACGTCAACCATTACTCTAATTCCAATCCAAGTACGTTTATTTCCAGGCGGGTTTTCAGGTTTGCGTGGGTTGGGCGGCAATTTTTCCCTTTATCCTGCTCACAACCACCGCCACCATCTCTTACCCAACCCCCTCTACCTTCATCCATCCTCTCTCTGTCTCCATTCTCCCTCTCCTCGTCATCATCCTCCCCTCGCTGTCGTCACTTGTGTCCAGCTCAACCCTCATCTCTCATCTATCTTGTCGACCTTCCTCTCAGTCTCATCCTCTCCTTACTCCGAGCCAAACAACAACACAGTTCTCCTTAGGTTTCCCTCAACTGCCAAGCCTACCCCTACTCACTCTCATAAATACCAACTCTCGGCGGACAATGAATAAGATTAAACTCCCAGGAAGCGTAGCCCGCGTCTACGCAGATGTCAACGAAAAGATGGGTGAGGATTACTGGGACTACGAGAACCTCTCTCTGCAGTGGGGGTAAGTCGAACTCTTGTTCACTTTGTTATGGTATTGTTTTGGCAGGGACTTATCTGCTCGTTTGCCATGTGGTCTTATTATTCTCAGGAAAAATTGTGAGCAAGCATGAAATGTAACCACCGCTAGCGCACTTGAAAAAGCAGTATTTATTGTTGTTGTTGATATTTTACAACGCAACGCCTCTAGGAGGACTTAATGGCATGCATCCCAATAACAGCAGTAAGGGCAGTGATGACAACACTTTCGCTGACAAACCTGTTTGCTTTTACGTTCCTTGTACCTCTTAGGACTCAGGAGATTTACGAAATCATTCGCAAGGTGGGCCGAGGCAAATATTCCGAGGTTTTTGAGGCCATCAACATTGTCAATTACGAGAAACGCTGCATCAAGGCCCTGAAGCCCATCAAGAAGAAGAAGATCAAACGTGAGGTCAAGATCCTGCAGCACCTCGCAGGCGGACCAAATGTTATCCGCTTGTACGACCTTGTGCGAGACCCGCAGGTAACTGGAGAAAATCAAGTCGTTTGTTGTGCATCTGTCATCGATATTGTCATGGTCGACCAAATGATAATGATCCTAACGCACTGACCATTTTACATGAATAGTCCAAGACTCCCGCCTTGATATTTGAGTCTGTGGACAACGACGACTTCAGGGCTCTCTACCCAAAGTTCAACGATGATGATGTCCGATACTACATGTTTCAGCTTTTACAGGTACTGCTCCCAATGTTAAGAGAATTTTAATGGAAAGAGCCAAGTCCATCACCCATCGAGCATATAGAGACATGACTCAACACAATACGATACTCATCATCTGTGGACACTGTTTTGAACATCCAATAGGCGCTGGACTTTTGCCACTCCAAAGGCATCATGCATCGAGATTTGAAGCCCCACAATGTTATGATTGACCACCACAAGCGCAAGGTACAATTTGAAAGAAAAAGCAATGTTATCGCGCATGACATGGATAGACTCGTACATGGACGCATCACTAACTAGCATTGACAATGTCTCCATTCAACCTTTTACCTTGCATATAGCTGCGTTTAATTGATTGGGGTCTGGCTGAGTTTTATCATCCAGGAACTATGTACAACGTCCGTGTAGCTTCGAGATATTGGAAGGGACCCGAATTGCTCGTGGACTTGCAGGACTATGACTACTCTTTGGACTTGTGGAGTTTGGGTGCCATGCTGGCTGCATTGGTAAGCATTTAAATGCGTTTCTTGGACAGTCATAAATTAAGGGATGTCTTGCGTGCATGGCCGACAAATTATATTGACATACATGCCACTTCGTATTGCCGATCTCTAGATCTTTCAAAAGGAGCCCTTCTTTCGCGGATCAGACAACAACGACCAGCTGATCAAGATTGCACAGGTGTTGGGAACGGATGAACTGTTCAGGTACCTGGACAAGTACTCACTGGAGCTGGACGACCACCATCATGTGCTGCACGAATACATACCTCGCATGGCTTGGGGCCGATTTGTGACACCCCAAAACCAACACCTCGTCTCGAATGACGCTCTGGACTTGCTTGGAAAGTTGTTGCGATACGACCATCAGGTAAAACTACGCGATATGAGAGAGGGTGACACTCACGAGAATCTGTGGGCTGTCGTACATGAGTGTCAATTTTACTTCTCGTGCACTCATGCTCACATTTATTTGTCTTGAATTGTTCAATATTTGTTCGATAGGAGCGTCTAACTGCGGCGGAGGCTATGGCGCACCGGTACTTTGATTCAGTCAGGAATCCTGACGACTCCGAGACGGCCGAGTCTGAGGATTGGAGTGACATGCTCAGTTAATGTGGTATTGAAATGCTTCTTCCTGCTTGATTTGTAGTCCTTGTCAGGGCACACACTAGCTTGTACAAATAATAATGAGGTGTTAGATAGTTTGTTTGTTTTTTTTCTTGTCTGGTTGCACACATTTTTTTCCAGGGCCCTGTGCACCAGTGAGCTGCTGCTGTTCTCTTGGTGTGTCTCTCCTCCAAAGAAGGACGGGCTAGTGCTCCCACCATGCACAAAACAATCAGGGCTACAACTACATAATACTTTACTTCTAATAAAAAATAGAGCGTAGTGTCGCGGACATTTGAAGATCGGGGCAAGGGGTATCCACAAAGACTCGATCATCCCCCTCCCATGCCTATCGTTTTTGCAAGACCAATGGTGACCCACCATGGTTTTAGGGAGTGATAGGGCTGTGGCATTTGGAGAAGTGGACCTTGGGATTTGGGTTATTTTACCTTTCTCTCCTTTCCCTTTCCTCGTTTTTCATTCTCCATCCGTCTTTCCACCGTCACTTTTTTTTTCTATTGTCTCTTGTCATTCCTTTGTTCTTTTTTCTTTCTTTCTTCTGTCTGTCTGTTTGTCTGTTTGTCATCCTTCATCGCTGCTTTTCTTCTTGACTCTCCCTTTCTTGTCCGTCTGCCTGTACTCCTCCTTTCGTCTTTGCCTTCCTTCTTTGTCTCCACCCTCAATCTCTTCTTCTTTGTACACCCACTCCTCCCCCTCCACCCCCTCTTCTCTTTTACCATCGCAGCCACCAGCCAAAAACGCCACTCTTTCCTTCCTACATTTAAAAAAAGACGATCCTTTCTTATTTTTTATTTTCTTCTTTCCACCTTTTTATTCTTCGTCTTTGCATCTACATCGTCACGCTCATCTCTCTGTCCCAACTGGACCCTTTCTCCCTTATTTTCGCACACCGTCCCCTCTTCGACAATCTCCTCCACAACCAACCAACCAACTAACCAACCAACTACAACCACACCACCTCCATCGCTACTACTACCACCGCCACTGCTACCATTACCTCCTGTCCCATATTCCCCTGTCACAATCAACAAAACATAAGCCAGCCAGCTCCAAGTCCTCCTCCAATCACAGCACGTCAAGGCAGAGGAGCTGAAGGCGACAGAGTCTAAACAACTATGCCTCTCAACCATAATGACCACTTTGTAGTTAACGCTGCCGACCCGGCTTCCTCACGGCGGCAAATCATCGAATTCAAGTTGTCCGAGGAGGCCCTGGAAGAGATTCTGAACGGCAACGAATCCATCCGATTGGACTTGAATCATGCCGTAAGTTCACCCTTCCCTTTTTCTTTCCACTCGCTCACATGTTCGCCACTTGCAACCATTCGTGAGCCGCGTATTATTTCTTATTTGAATCTTCTTTCATGGTTGTTTGAATCTATGAATCGTCATTCAACTGGATTTGAATGGTTGATGGCAAGGGTCGGGCGTTTGGTGTGATCGGGTATTATTTCTTATTATGTCGTGAGGGGACAGGAGTTGCTATGTGGAGTGAGTCCAAGATAAGAAGTATCGTATTTTTTTGATGGAAGGGGACACCCTGGGAAGTACCAAAGCGCTGTTTTTTGTCTTGTGAAAGCAGGGATGGGTTCGACTCTTCTCTGTTCTTTTAGTGCGCCATTTATATGATTATCAGTCATCTCTGGCATCTGTCGAGGAAGAGGGCATAAAATAGTACGCAGCAGATAACTTCATTTCCTTGCTGACAACATACAGAGAGTCCAAAAGCGCGCTGTTTGTGAATAGTAGTTGGTCGTGTTTGTGTTCGTGTCTGTCTATCTGTGTGTGTGTGTGTGTGGAAAGCAACGTGTGCATTGGAGCATGGATAAAGTGTGTGCGTGTATTCTTTTTTTCTCGTCAGCATCTGCGGTGAGCCTAGCTTCTGATCCGTCCTTTTTTCCTTTAATCAAAAATATAGAAATTGCTCGTCGGGAACACGCCGTACGACTTCAACCATATGCCAGGGATCAACAACATTGAGGTCTATAAACTGCCCGCGGGAACGAAACAGCTGGATCTTGTCGGGAATATTAGTGCGAAATGCACCATTCAAAGAACTCATGCCAAACAGGGGCAAAAGAAGGCGACCAGACATGAACCGACAAGGACGTAAGGATTTTTTTCTTTCCTTTTGTTCTCTCAAATCGTAGCTCCTGTCCATGTTTGCATGTCCATGTGCTTTTCCCAAGCAGTTACTTACTCTATTCTTCTTTTTCACTTTCCAATTCTCTTCTGCCATGGGATACCCCTCAATTGCATCCTGTTGATCATCAAACACGATTGGACATCAATTTATCAAATAACAATTGCCTGAAATCAATTGATCCACCTGCAGGACGCAAATAATTGACCCAAGGGACTGTAAGTTTCCTCGATCTAGGATTCACTTTATTCCATGCCATGCACCACAAACTACCGCTGCTTGGGATGTGCATTAGAGCTTCAGCAAATACTTTCTGATGAGATAATCGACGTTTGGACTAAAAGTTCGCGCTCACAACTGCTATGCGAAATACATTTTGTTCTTACTAACGTTACTCTATTATGTTCAAATGACATATAGTGAAAGCAAAATCGGCAACGGGAAGACGCGGTCAATCGCCACCACGCTCAGAGCCTCCAGTGCCGACAGCAACCGCGGCAGCAGCAGCGGCGGCAGCAGCGACATCAGGAACGATAGTACCGCTTAGAACACGCATCATACAGCTCATAGCGCAACATCCTCGTGGGGCAGAAGAGAGGGAGCTCATGAGGATGTTGAAAGTCGGCCTGGAGGACTTGCAATCTATCCTGTCATCTGTGAGTCTGTGTTTTCCTTGTCAGCCGATGGTCTGCGCAAATCTACGAGACACGCCCAAATAATTAACACCGACACGTCAATTCTCTTGCTAGGTTGCCAACTACTCTGGGGGACGGTACGTTTTGAGGCCGGAGACGTATAAGGAAGTCAAGATTCACGACTGGAAGAACTATTCGGCCAAGCAGCGGGATATTGTGATCAACAACGCGATCGCGGCATTTGATATGCTGGGTCTGCCAGCAGACGCACCCGAACGGGATATTCTCCGGCCGGAAATGATTAAGCGGACAAGTCCACATCGTGTTGCTGAGGGCAATCATGCCGGAAATATGGATACTGGGTCAAAGTGGCGCTCAGGTGGAGGAGGCGCAGGTTCGGAGTCGGAAAGTTTCGAGAACGGCAGGATACATCACAGCGGCAGTGGGAGCTCATTGAAACCTCCAAGCACACAGAAGAGGACCTCAGCCAAGAAGTCGCCCGGGACTACCACGGCATCATCCTTATCGAGCAAGATCAAGAGTGGAGGCAAAGGCACTGGTAGTTCAAGTACGACCAAGACGAGCCGAAGAGAGAAGGCGGCGGCGGCAGCGGCAATCATGGATTCGGTGCGGAATCTCAGTGCTGTTGGATCATCAACACCTTCAAGCTCCTTGAAGCCGCCGACAGTCGGAGGAACACCAGGGGCGGCAAGCTCGCCCACCATTGCGGGAAGGAGGCCGTCAGTCAACGGGAATGGTCTACCGCCGGTTCCAAGACGAGGATCAGAAGCGAAAAAGTCTGGCGCGAGTAACAAGGATTCTGGCGGCGTCGGCAATGGATACAAGATTCCTAAAGTCAGCTCTGGGACGATAGCAAGGAAGCCTCAGAGTCCAAGTAAGTATCGTTCAAGCGCCTGCCTTTTCGACTTGAACTTTGTCATAGTTTATTACTGGACATTTTATCTAGATCGTTTCTCACCCATTGTATTTGCTTTCACGACAACTTACTAGGTTTCACGGTGCCACCGATTACGACGCAGGCAGAGTATGAGGAAATCTCACGGCAGTTCAAGGTGAAATACAAGGATATGCTATCGCTGCGGGCGCAGATTGACAAAAAGAAGGAATTGTTTGACCAACTGGGTGCTGAGCTCGAGCATGCGGCAGGGACGGATCGGGAAATGGAGTTGAAGCGGAAAGTGCAGGAGGCGTTTGGGGAGGATGTGGTAGACCGCAAGGTGTTGCGTCGGACAGGGGAGCCACGGAATGGGGTCAGTGCGAAGCGGGCAGCAGAGGCGATCGCTGAGCAGAACAATCACCTGAGTCTTCGGACGCTAGTGGATCGGTACAAGACTCTGCACAACGAGGTGGATACGATGAAGCGAGCTCTTTGTGAAGCGGGAGCAGCGCAGGCCGAGCGAACTGGACAGAGTGAGCATGGTTCTGGCGGGGGAGGCTAAGAGATAGCCTGCAACTCACTGTTGAAAACCAGGAGCAGTATCCTATCCACCATTATCATCAACCGACCGCCATATTAAAAACCATCGCGCTTTTCGATGAGCATGTGTCTTCTCTCTTGCTTTCCCACATTTGGGGACCCCTATGGTTCTTAGTGCAAGTCACACAAATCATTTGTGGCTTTTGTCACGCTACTTTCGCCCTTGAACCCCCCTTTTCGTGTCCGTCTCGGCGAAACCAAACATCAACATCACCACAAGCGACCATGGCATCTCAAACACCAACATCAACACCAACAACGACTAATGCATCGCAATCAGGAACAGGACAAGGAAAACCGTTGTTCGAGGCGCCCAAAGAACACGTCTCATCCACTTGGTCCCTAAGCCCACACTACTATTACACCTCGACAGTTGTCAACCCGGGCACAAACAAGAACCCGCTCCTCAACCGGATAGGTCTGGAACCCATGAAACGAATCCTCCTGATCACAGCCTCAGCCTCCTTCTGGGGGTTCATGCTCGGAGGTGTCATCGGGTCCCGTCAATCGGGGATGCAGTACCTTGCCGAGAATGCCCACCGGTTACCAAAGAACATGGAAGGGTGGTATTTTTATCACAAGAAGAAGAATTACCGGATGATTTGGGGCGCGTTGAGGAAGGGTGTTGTTTATTCGAGCAAGACGGGTGCGATGGTGGGTCTGTTTGAGGTGTTGGAGGCCAGTTTGGACTTTTATAGGGGTGGAGCGGATTTGTTTAATTCTACGGTTGCTGGTGTTGCTTCTGGAGGGTTCTTTTCTGCCATTAGTAAGTGTTTTTTTTTTTCTTGCTTTGATATTATGCAGTGAATACATCTGGACTGGAAAAAAAACTTTACTGACGCGCTTAACTTTTTTTTTTTTTTTTTTTTTTTTTTTTTTGACGAAAACGCGAAAAAATAATAATTAGACAAGTTGCCAAGGCAGAGCACAAAGCATACGTTGATGCTGGGCGCAGGATATGGGTTGGTGAGCGGTGCATTGCAGGATCTGTCGTCGTACTTGAAGGGAACCCCTGTCTGGTACTTGCCACAGTCGCTCAAGGAGCGGTCCCTAGCCCTCAAGCTTCCTGAGTCTGAAGAGTAGTAGTAGTAGTAGTAGCCGTTTTCGTCTCAGGAGAAAGTGGTGATGATGGTGAGGGATGATAGGTGATGGGACGGGCTATGTAAAGTGACTGGCGTTTGGAGGTGGGCGAAGGGAAGGCGATGACAGCGCTTGGTATATTTTTTTTTTCTTTCTCAAGTTACGGCCTCAACATTCTCCCATCCCTCACCCTCAGCTCCAATAAATCGCCCAACCTTATCAACAAGCCAAGAAAGACGACTTCGCAACCCAAACATGAAACGGGATTCAGGAATCAAAAGGCGCTTGAAATTCACTGACACAAAAACTGTAATACTCTTGGTGATTCTCACTGGATCGGTTATCTCTGCTAAAGAGAACGTACCGGACATCGATCCAGGTCGAGCAAGATACGTCGCCCTGAAGGCTTGATATCAATACCTCTTGCCAAGCCTTCTCCTTTCTCCCTTCCGCATCGTTGCTCAACTAATTTCTCATTGTTCTACCGGGAGTAAATAAGCATGTGAGTGGAGAGTTCTTGGTTGCGAAGGAGTGTGTCTACTTTGCCGAGGGAGTGACAAAATTATAAATTGGTGGCGCAAATCAAGCAGGAGGCTCGAGCCGTCTGCAAAAAAAAAAAAAGAATTGTTGCGAGATCAAGATGATTTATTTTTATTTTTTTATTTCTCCAGTTCTTGTGATTGGGATAGCTGCCTTGTGCTTCTTTGACTATATTACATGTCCTCGTCAGAGAAGAGGTCCTCCTCGGGAAAGTCGCCAGTTTGGACCTTGTCGGGGCGGACAAAGGATCCATACTTGGGTGGACAAGTGAAGTAACGGACGCCCTGCATGCTGCCGTCGTTCTTGCCCAATGGCTCATCATACTGCACACCCACCCAAATCCCTGTCTGGAACTCGGTCAGTCCTATCATTTGATCACAGTTTTTTTTGACAGAACGAAAGGATTAGTGCACAACTCCTACTGCCTTTTTTTTCTTGTGAACACGCGTAAGAGTCAATCAACACGAAAAAAAAAAGATACATACCGATGAAACGAACTGTGCCACGTCGCTTGAGGGAAACGCCTCCAACATCGACCTCACAGCGATCGCCAACCTTGATGTTCTTGGCAGCCTCCTCAAAGCCGCGATTCTGTGAGGCGACCGACGAAGTGTCTGAGGTATTGTCGTTGAACCGACCGAGGTTGTTGCGCTTCTTGAATGCCAGCACAGAGTCTATAGAGAAAAAAAAAGGGTATAATTTGAAATGTGAGCGATTACTCGAGCAGAGAAAAAACGGCCAAATGTTCTCGTGTTGTCAAGGTGAGTGCGTAAAATCAAAGGTATCGTTGATATCGATGGGCGGCGATTTGGCGAAGAAGAAAGATAGTGGTGATGTTTGTTTACCTGAGCGCTTTTCGTACTCATCGTCAGCCAATTCAAACTTTTCTACGAGGGAGACATCGTTGTACTGTCCTTTGACACGCGACGGGTTGGTGTCGATGACCTAGTATTGGTAGTAAAGCAATTCGCAGGAAAGAAAGACAAGGCGTTAGACGAGTATGACTTTTTATGGCACCTGACTGACGCAGGAACAGGAGCGATCTTTTGTATGCAAAAAAATAAATAATCCTCCGCTCGTTTTCGTGATACATGTTTTGAAGAGGAAAATCGACTTACATGGATGGTCCAGTAGTTTTCGATAGGGAAGGCTCCCAGCATGGTCTCAGGGGCATGGCCCTCGAGGGACGTGACAAATGTCCCGTCATGGAGGAGCTGAAGCTGTTGAAACGAGGGACTAATTCCTGTGATCGGTTCAAGCTTGATCTACATTGTACAAGGAAGAGAAATCATTGTTAATATTTTTGTCCCGCAATAGCTGGATCGAAGAATGGTGTTTCCCTTTTTGGTTTCTCTCAACCCGGTGGAAGATTGAGCATGTGGGCATGGAAAGGCACATTGTAACGGTCACTCGCTCGTAGCAAAAAGGAGGATGTAGGGGAAGGGGGAAGAAAGCAAGGAGGAAAGGAAAGGAAAGATAGGAGGAGGTTTGAGGCATCAAAAGGTGCAAGAAAACTAGGGGGGTATGCTTTTTTTTGTTGGCATTGGAAAAAACGGCGGCCCAAGCTGTGAGCAACTGACGGGTTCAATTCCTTTGTCATCGATCGTCGCCATATAAATCCAGTCGGGAAAGAATCTCTTTTGACGAACACACCGAAAATTGTCATGTTAACAAAGCCGTATCTCCTCATCCTCCAGCGCGGGATACTCATAATTGCTCAGCGGGAAAAAAAAAGCGTGAACCGCACGGGATCCATAGTCTCTAACACTTCTCATCGTCCCCCCCCCCCTCCTTTGGGGGGGGTACAAAAAACAGATGGGGAAGGGATACAAAACTCTATGACTCGATTACTTCCTTCCCGGTTCTAGTCGAATGGTCAGTTGTTACTCGAACACACGACCCTTTTTTATTTGTCATGATTGATATGGTGTAATATGTGTACCTTGATGTTGTCGATGGTCGAGGCCTTGGAGAGTCTGAGCTCGGTCGAGTTGTTCTCGCTTGTCACATAAACGTTGAGGATGGACATTGTTCTTTGGTTTTGAATGTGAAAAGCGAAGAAAAGAAAGAATGTGTCTTAGTGAGAGGAAGGGTGATGCGAGAGGAGAAGAAGAAGAAGAGAATGAGGTGGAGGGTCGTTGTTGTTGATGTTGATGGGAATGGAACATAGATGATTCCTCTCCCTCCCCTTTTTGACTTGAGTGAGCACTGAGCAGTCCTGGCACTGGAAGTCCGATGGTATCAGCAGCGCACTTTTTTTTTTTTGAATGCAAAAAAAAAGATTTTCCCAGGCCTTTGTTATTCTAGTGATCTACGAGCCATTTGCAATTTGATATGGTGACGGCGGAGAAGGTTCTGGCTTGTTGTTTGAGACTAGCGCTGGATGATGATGGAGATGGCGTGGTCAAGATGATGAGCTAGCTGGGTAAAGGGTAAGGAGAGAACGAGCGAGAGAACAACGGATATATACAGAGAGGAGGATGTTGCTTCTTCTAGGCCTGTTTGTTGTATCGTCGTCATTTTGCAAGAGCATATGTAAATCATTTCATCTGTGATTGTCCTAATTTTGGTGGCACATACTCTGGGTGGGGTTTTTGTATTCTTGAACGTGTATGCCCCTCCTTGTCTTTCTTTCCCCACTGGGGTTTTTTTTGTGGGCCAGCCTGTCGGCCAAGTCAAAGAATAAGAATAATCAGAATTATTCCTTCACTCACTCACTCTCTCTTTCTCACTCTCTTTCTTCTTTTCAGCCTTTTTTTTTTCTTTTTGGTTTTGGCTGCACCCTTCTTTCGTCTCTTTTCCATTCCTCGCGCTCCTTGTCGCATCTCATTCCAACTCCACTCTTCTCATTCAACCACCTTTTCAATCTCACTTTCACGTTCACTCCTTCCCGCTCTTCACAGCCTATTCATTCAATACTCAATTCTCACTCCCCGACACACAACAACAACTGCACCATAATCAAACAAACAGCTCGTGTCTGTCTACTCCTACCCCGCTGACAGGCTGACACAAACACTCTGACCTCACTCTCCGCCCGACAAACAGACCACCTTGGACCCTGCTGGCGTGTGGTAAACAACCAAGAAGCGGAAAAAAAAGGCAAGGCTCTATTCTTCACCGCGTGGTTTCGGGATTCTGAGCCGATTCTTATTCTTTGTCCCTTAGTCTGGGGTATTTCTTGCCTTTTTTTATTCTCAGCAGCGTCGTCCTCTTTGTCGTGTTCTCTTCTATCTTCTTTTCCTTCCTTCCTTCCTTGCTTGTTGTCCCGTTCATTCTCACCAGCTTCTCTCCTTGCCTCCTTGCCCTTTGTCCCCCTTCCCTTCCTTTGCTTGTTCGTGTTCGTTCATTCGTCCATCAATTCGTTCATTTAGTGCCATCCAACACAACCCCTAAAACTCGATATTTTCCATTGTCGCAACCCTCGTTACTTACCCTCACGATCGTCTCTCCTGATCTTCTCTATCTTCCCCTACTCGCACTGTCGATAGTCCTCCTCCTTCTCAAGTTATCACCATACACGCATCGACCTCTTTTTACTTCTTTCTCCCCTCTTCATCTTCGCGTCTCCATCTTCCATCTTCCCATTTCTCTCCACCCACTCGGCTACATACCCAACATACATATCTCCCACGCCTGATCCAGCAAGATCCCTTTACGGACCAGATATGCATCAATTCCAGTCATTCGCTCCTCCCCAACCCCCTACCGTCGCTGAATACGCCTTCCCGAGTGTCCTCCAGTTCCTTCAATCCGAATGGCGTCGCTTCGAACGAGATAGGAATGAATGGGACATTGAAAAGTCCGAGATGAAGGTAACATACACATCAAATGACTGATACTCATCACTCTTTTCTTTACTTGTCTTATTCGATATGATTGCTAATTGGCAGCTTATTGCCTTCACTCCTTCTCCTACCCCTTCTCATTTGATTCTCCTGGCTCACCACTACCGTCTTCAAAAATAGGCCAGGATCGCGTTCTTGGAGGGCGAGAAACGTGGTGTCGACAACTCCAAGATTGACCTTATGAAGCGTGTCAAGATGCTCGAATTTGCATTGAGGCAGGAGAGGTAAGGCCTTTGTTACTTTCTTATCAGAGGGCAAAGCATTGGTCATCGTGATTTTCTGGGCTACACCTTCTGGAGGAGGAAGAAGAGGAGATGGTGCATGTTGGTTAGGACTCATTTCGTTATCATATGCTTTGGGCTCGAGCCCTTTCTTTTTCCTTCCCCTTTTTCATATCGGTCTTTCATTTCCCCTGGGGTCTTTTTTTAATGACCATGCGACGTTTGGCGTTGACGATAATGATCACATACCCTTCCCTCTGTATCTATCGAGAGTGATGTCAGCTGTGGTTATTGGGAGATGTGAAAACAGAAAGATAGAGGGTTAGGTGGTTTGTTGACAGTTTAACGACAGCTGTTGATCTATGTTTTTGTGTTTTTTTTTTGTTCTCATGATGTATCTTTTGGTTGACATAGGAGCAAGTATGTCGAGGCTAAAGATGACAACGCTGCTGCAGTCCCTGCGCAAGGCCAACTGCCCCTGGCCCATGGTATCGCCCGTAAGTGTTTGTATGCCTTGTTGTTGTTTATATGAAATAAGGACGCATGTGCTCAGGGGTAATAAGGAAAATGCGCCCATACCAAGTCTGCTGATGTGAACACGATCGCGATCGTGATGAACAAAGCGATACAAGAGTATTCAATTGCAGGCTGACAGACAAATGTTAATTGTCATTAACGCCCTTCGGCTGGTTGTTGCATTTGTTTTTTTTTGTTTGTTTGTGCCTGTATTTCCGAATCTGTGGGATCTCTTTCATAGCCTCTCATGTGAACATCAAGACTCAAAACAGAATGTCGACCTATGGACAAAACATGACCCAGGTCAGCCCGACCTCCGCAACTCCTGGCCTTGACCCTCTAGGAAGAGCCAAGAGCAGAGAGTTTCTCAGAATGTACGTTTCTTCCTCGTGGTCTTTTGACTAACTGACGACTTTTTTCTTCTGCGCGATGCACGGCCCTTTTTGACACCTCGTGTTTGCTCGCTCATCCGACCCGTTTTTCTTTCATCTCATATTCACACACCGATCGTAGATGTCTGCAGGAAATCAGCTACTTGACTGCTTCTGTTCCACAATCAATAGCCTCGGCCATGCCCCCTGCACCAACACGACTTGTCCGGAATGAAAGTGACCGAAGAGCGGCTGCTGCTGCAGGTGGAAGAAACAGAAAGAGCGACCACTACCCTGCCACACAGACGACATCAGCACCTCCTCCACTTAACCGAGCCAGCTCTGTTCCGCTCTCAACACTCCAGTCCTTTGGTAAAGGCAAGCCCGCTGTGAACAATTCTCCCGCTCTAATTGAAGACAAAGCCGAGGATGCAACCCTTCGACTGTTTGCCGTACCACATAATGCCACCCAGCCAATACCCAACCGCAACACCAATGACTCCGAAGAGTCAACACGGGCCGAACATTTTGTTAAACCAGCACCTTTGATCACTACGAACATGACCAAGCCCCCGACTGAAAAAATGGATTCGGAGAAGGACTCATCGGACGACATGGATTCTGTGGACGAAGACCCGGTGACGGTTGTGCATTCGCCATTGTCAGGAGACGACTGGCATGCCAAGCTTCAGCGAGCTGGACAGCAGCTTGCCCTTCAGGACAAGCCCAAGAAGTCTAAAAAAGCTGAGGATGACGTTCAGTTAGTACGTTTCATTTCTGTTTAGCATACCGCTAGGTCAAGTGAAAATGGCGTCAACTAACTAGCACATATATCGACATTCATGCATGACTTTTCATAGGCCAAAGATGTTCAGGACAAGTTCAACATTTCACCAGAAAGATTGAACAAGATGGTGAAGGAATGGGACAAGACAAAACTCGACGGAGTGGGATCTCAAAAGTCCATGCGCAAGAAGAAAGCCAAGGATTCAGGTACACACGATGTTACTTTTGTACAGAATGGGCGCTTTCTAGAAGTATAGAATGGCAAGCTAACATAGGGTCCTCTACCTTTTTTTTTTTTTTTTTTTTTTTGGTCTTATAGCTTTGCTCGATGAACTAGCCAATCTAACTGTCGATGAGGCAGAGGCCGATATGGGAACCAGAACAGGTGACACTGCGACTGACGAGCCGGCGCGCTGGCGGCCAAAGGTCACCCTCAGAAGGTACACTCGAAAAGCACTGAACATTAAATTGGACGCGTCAATGACATACGTCCGCTGTGCAATGCTGACCATATTTCAACACTTTAACTCCACATAGACATTTGGACACTGTCCGCTCCATCGCATTCCACCCAACCAAGAAGGCAATTCTTTCAGGATCCGAGGATGGTACTATGAAGTTCTGGAACCTGGAAACCGTACTGGGAGATTCAAGGAAAGCAGCCAGCGGCGAGATTGATCCGATTCACACCTACCGTGGCCACACTAAAGGGATCACAGCCGTTGCACTTTCCGCCGACCAAAACAAATGCTTCTCTGCCAGTCTTGATCGAACCGTCAGAGCTTATGGTCTTGTTCCTATGGACAAGGAGACATATGCCCGACTTGGTAGGCCATTCATGCAACATTTGGATTGTGTGGGTGTGTGGTAATCGATTGCTGTTGACATTTGGCCCAATTGATTCGTAACTTACTTTACATCTACTTCTTTTGCATAGATCCGAGTTTGAATTTGTCGACGTTTGTTGGACATACAGATGCAGTGTGGGATATTCGTCTGTTCCCACTCTCAATCTCTTCGTCGCAGCTGTTGGGCTCGATCTCTGCGGACGGAACTGTCAAAATTTGGGACACAGAGACCAAAGGGTCACCATTGAAGTCATCATGGAGCTATCATGGATCGGACGCCTCATCAGCGACAGCATCAACAGGACCCAAACTGCGTCCTGTGCCGACTGGACTGGACTTTTGTCCGACGGACTTGAAAAAGATGGTGGTCAGCTACTCCAACTCTGTCATCAAGCTGTTCGATATCGAGACTGGCAAGGACATCTTGACCTTCAAGAGCAACGAAACCTATGGTACGTGCGAAACTCTAGTATTGGTGGTTTGAGTGTCTCGGTGACGCGTTCATTCTGAAACAACGCATAGTTTTACTAATCGTCTACTATTTTATTGTAGATGGCACGACGGGCACACAAATCAACAAGGTCATTTGCCATCCTACGCTTCCAGTCGTCGTATCTGGACATGAGGACCGATACATTCGCTTCTTCGACCTCAAAAGTGGTAAGGATATAGGATTGTAGATGACACGCCAATCCGTCAATACAATTTCGCACATGTCTAACGTCCCTTTTCATGCTCTTTACAAACTATCTAGGGGCGTGCTCGTACTCGATGTTGACACATTTGGATGCAGTCTCGTCTCTGGACATTGACCCTGCAGGATTGGTCCTTTGTTCGGGCGGACATGACGCGTCAGTTAGGTTGTGGGATATTGCTTCAACTCAGCGGACGTGTCTGCAAGAGTTCACAGGACACCGACGCAAAGGAAACGAGGGAGTTTGCACGGTCCAATATCACCCAACCATGCCTGAGTTGCTTGCTACTGGCGGTGCTGATTCGCTCGTCAAGATTTACACCAGAAGCTAAAGGACATTGCGAATGGCGCATGGCGCATACCATACCTGTCATATCTTTGCTTTTGATGAACAATTACCATATATATATATCCCCCCTCCCCCACCAACCTCCTCCTCCTCCTCCACTCGCAACTGTTGCAGTGACCGCATAATGTTTCCTTTTTTGCTCTTTCTCATTCCATAGCATTTCCACACATAGCATCGCACAATAAAAGTATTTTCTTTTGTCAAACCTGACTGACCATGGTACATGTGGCCCTTGCAGTGATCAACCGACTTGATGATAAGTGGGCTCCCTGCGCATATACCATTACTCGAGTAATGCGGCAGACACCATTTGTTGAGTGTCACAATCCTCTTTTACCGTTGGCGACAAACCCTTTCCCTTTCCTTTCGCCTTGCCTCTCTGTCATTTTCCTTCCCCTTCCTCTTCCTCATCATTTGCATTGGAAAGAAGGGGAGGGAGGAGGAGAACATAACAGGGATAAGGATAAGAACAGTAAGTTCACGATAAAGCATTGTGGGACCCAAAAAGACGTCCCCCCCCCCCAAATAAAATGTGAGAAATGAATCGCGGGACAACGTGCTTGTTAATGTCCAGGCAAGGTAGGCATTAAAAATCGTGAGTGTTGAAAAAAAAAAAAAAAAAAAAAAGGGTGTGGACTGGCGTTTTGGCCACAGCGCGCCAACCATGCTAACGACGACGATGAAGAAGACGATGATGGGTTTACGATTGATATCTTCCAAGTCACCTTAGGCCAGATGAAAAGGAGAGGAAGGAAAGAAAATAATAGCCGAACTGCTCGTTCAATGGAGGGCTTAGAGGTCTCTTAAGAAAGGGTTTCGGTGGCATGGGCTAACGCATGGTTGCAAAGAGGGGTTGTTGTATTCACAAAATTAAAGTTTTTCCTTTTGTCCGGGTGTTGCGAGGGACGGGGCTGAGTGAAAAAAAAAAAAAAAAAAAAAGTATCACCCTCTCTTCTTTTTCCTTTTGGCCTAGGCACCCCCTTCTAACGCAAACGCGACATTTTCAACCACCGCGGAAACAAAAACAAAAACAAAAAAGAGAGATGGATTTCTTTGTCATCTCTCTCCCCACCTCCTTAGCCATGGTCCAATTTACGATTCCCTTTCATCTCTTCGCCCCCCCCCCTTCCTGCATGCATGGTTGTTTGTTTGTTCCCTAATCTACTGCGGTGTCATTTGCACAAAGACACAAAGATAAAGATGCTACGCCTCCATGCCATAAAGAAAGCGAGTGTGAAGCGAAGTATGTGATGTCAAGAAAGAGAAAGAACATGTTAGCCCTTCAGGATAAAGAAAAAAAACGCTTCGTTCTTTTTGCCATGCGAACGGTCACGCAACGCTCGATTTATTTAGTTGTTATTCAGGTTCGCCGGCTATTCTTTTTGGTTAGAAAAAAAGGGAAAAGGAAAAAGGCAGAAGATGTACCATGGCCAAGTCAATGCTAGGCGTAAAAAAAAAAAAAAAAAAAAAAAAAAAAAAGATGAAAACAAGCAAAGCAAGGGCAAATGGCAAAGGCAAAAACCAAGTCGAGTAAAGTGGGATAGAATGATAAAGGCTGAGGATTAAAAAAAAAAAAAAACGAGTGCTCACAGGTCCCTTTTGGGTGGTTGTTTTTGCCTCCTGCCCTGCCCTGCCACACGCAGGCACTAAAACAAGAGAAAACTGATCGGTTAGAGAGGGACAGGATGATGCGGATGTATGAGAGCCACCTATGGCCAAAAAGAAAATATCTGTGTCAACAAGACCGGCCGGATATTATCGAGTAATCAGTGTCGGACCTCAATTCAATGGGCTTGCATGCCTCCCATGCGCATTATGAACTCGTCAACCGACATTCTAATGGTTAAAGGTGGCAAAAGCATGCATCCTGTACCTGTGCAACGTTTAAACATCTTGACTTGAGTGCAATAAAACCAACGATTGACCCACTTCACTCTACTCCTCCTTCTTTCTTTTCTTCTCTATTTTATCCTCTTCTTCAATTTTCACTTTCCTAAGCCCCCTCACTCTTCATTCCGAACTCTCTCTCTAACTTCTTCCCAGCACTCTACCTATTGCACGCCAAATCACAGACGTACCTGTTCCTGGATTTACCTGTTTCAAATTAATCAATCAGCAAACCTACAGGAACATACCCACATACCACCAGCAAGAAAAAACACAGACTCAGCCTCAAGAAAGCAACGAACATATCGATCGACATGTCGGCAGGATACACAAAAAGCGCGTTTAAGAGGATGCGTAAGGCGCTCGAAGTATCATATGAGACCCCATTACATACTCCCGCCAGAATTGTATGGGCCCTCTGTACCTTTGGATGTAAGTTAGTCTTGTTCCATAAGAGAGGATGGAGTTTTTTCGAGCTCTGAGGAGAGGGTATTTGTCAGTTACTAACGAGCCTTTTGGTTGTGTTTTGGTTGATGGGTAGATTCTTATCCTCGGAGGCGAGTTGGTGAGAACGTTACGGTGTGCATCTTCAGGACGATTATCATCTTGATCACAAGTAAGGTTTTGTTTGTTGATGAGAAGAGAGGACAGAAGTCGTCCATTCTCTCGCTCTCTTTTCGCTCTCCCTCTCGTTCTCGAACATGGATTGACTGACTCCTTCGCTACCATTTTATACAGGACTAGGATGCATTCTGGGAACGATCTGGTACCTCCATAACTTGGTAGAGTACCTGGGACTCGGCGACGCTCGACCCTACAACGTCCTTTCCATCGAGAACGAATCCAACAACGGCACCATCGGCCCATGTAAAGACCTACAACACACTGATATTTGGGCATTTCTTTCACTGACCTTGCAATAGCAAATTACAAAGGAGACGATGATACTAAAATCGTCTTGCACTTTTGCTAGTGTTGAATATTTACAGCGCCTACAAGAATGCGGTTAACTTGACATCAATGTCGTACTACGACGACTTAAGTGGCGAATTTCCCTTGGATCCGCAGTTGGACGATAGTAACCCTCACATCCTTGTTCTTGGATCGGGCGTCGATAATTTGGATGCCGGTGAAGGCAATGACGAGTATATGCAATATATTCTTAGGCATAACCCTCTCTATGCCTCTAAATGGACTCGTGTCGGGCTGATCCATCCCAGTAAGTTTTTCTTTTCTAGCCAGAAGCGGAGGCAGCCACATAAAATAATGGATAGCGAGGTCTCCCCCTTTTTCAGTGGGGAGTAACGAACTGTTTTTGTCGTCTTGTCCAATGCCACATGCTCAACCGACTATGTTATACTTTTTTCCCCCTCCCGTTTAGACTCGACGACGAATGTAACCGATTCTCGTGATTTCGCGAACCAGTACTACGTTTACCCAGGCCACATTGTTGAGATCCGGTACGAGCCTCTGGAGTTCCACACCGTCATCCGCCAATCCGATAACACCAGTTCCCTTGAGCGGTTCAAGTACTTTTTGGGATTCGGAGGCGAAACCGTCGGATATTCTTACATGAGTTCAGTCACCCATATGCCCTTCCCGGCCACCCGCCCCGCGACCTGGGATAATCTGACGACTGTTATTATTATTCGACCGGCGTCTATCATTGCAAGCGTGTCGTATAACGAGGAGAAGACGAGTATCAGGGCGACGTTGTCGGGTATTGGAGGTCTCCTTGGGATTGTGAGCACGATTATTGTCTTCTTGTTTGGTGTCGAGGTCATGTCGCCTTGGGGTTTCATCGCAGGCATTCCGTATTTCCGCCGTAGGATTACAGGGTCGTTGGCGGAGGCGTACACATCACAGGGTGGGTTGTCCAAGGGGCCATTTACGACAGATAAATCCAACATCGGCAAATTTGATCCGGGCATGTCGACAGAGATGCGGGTTGCGATGGTCAAGGAGCAGTTGGATGAGCTCGAGTTGGTCCTCATGGAGTATTATATCGATGGAGCGGTCTTCCAGGGATATGACCAAGAGCGAAAAAAGGTCAAGGTTCAGCGGGCTGCCTCGATGAGGTCTCGTATGAACGGTGTTGATGGTCAGGTTGGAAGCGGCGATAAGGGGAGGATTATGATGATGATGGAGCCGCTGACTTTGCCAAGTCGGACACTGTTCGAAAGCCAGCACCAGCACAAGGGACAACTCCCCTCGCCCGAGCACCCACCAGTCGTCAACAACTCTTCGTCTCGCCATGCCGGTCTTGACGGACACCACCGTCGGACATCCTCTTCCACCGAAGGCGGTGGTGTGTTTGAGTACTACCAACAACAAAAACTCCAACAGCATCAACAAGAGCAACAGTCCCTGCGCCACCAAAATAACGGAAATAACCAATTCCGAAACAGCACACTCTCAGAACAAGGACTCCACCACAGCCTAACCGAAGATCCTCTCTCACCCTCCAGCAGGAATAATGTCGGCCGAGGAAGATGGAGTAGCCAACTGAATGATAGGACCCACTTTGCGATGGATATGTACGATCAGCAGGATGATCAGCAGGGTCTGTTACAGCAGGACCACCACTCCATGCACCAGACCTACCTCCAGAACACTGCCGGCGATAACTGCCCACCTTACCCACCTCGCCCGCCCAAGGACGAGGTCATCTCGATGCATCTCCAGAACGATAACAGCCTCGCCATGTCTGATTTTAACCGTAACAGCGCTTATTACAACAACAGCTCGGCACCTGCATATTCGATCGCCACAGCCGCAGCTACGACAACAGCGGTGCTTAGTTCAACATCTTCGCCACCTCAAGGCCACCTCCAGGATCCCGTGCCGTCATCTTTGTGGTGGAAGGAGGGTACAACACTGACTGAGACCATCATCGCTCCACGTTCCGCCACCACCACCACCACGAATGGCACGACCGCGGGGTCAAGACCAGTCTCAGTCCAGCCTTTGAATCCTACCTCGACTTCCTCCTCCTCCCCTCCTCCTTCTTCTTCACAACAGCAGCAACAGGAGCAGAATCGTGGGCTGGACCTTTCCAACTTGCCTAGAGAGTTCTAAGCTACACTTCATCCAGCCAAAACAAACAAACACCCCTCATATCCACATAGTTGTATCATGTGCACCCAAAAAAAAGCATAATCATTCACCCCTCCTTCTTCCTCTTCTTCATCAATCAACAACGCCCCCCCCCCCCCTTATTTTCCATCACCCATCTGCATAATAAAAACACAACATTCCTTTTTTCTCCAGGCCTGTATTGCCATGATCTTCAAAACCTGTAGCGCTACGAAAAAAAAAACAAACAACAAAAAGGCGTAAAGATAAACTGTAGAGGATTTGACCCTTTTCCCACAGCAAAAAAAAATAAGTTACCCAGAACTCACTGGTATTTCAGTCCCCCATTTTCGACCCCCGCCCCAATTCCACACTCACACCCACACCCCGCATCCCAAAAAACAGCAGCAACAAAACAAGTTAAGCAACACGGTCCCCCCCCCTCCTCACTTTCTCCAGTAGGAACAACGATATTTTTTCTGCTAGTGACAATTGTTGTTGTCTGTGCATTGAGGGTTATGGTCGTGGGTCGTTTGACGAACGATTTATCAATTTTGGGTGCCGAATGAAGGAATGATACGAATACGATTGAAAAAAAAATAAGCGTGTGCGCTTTTGTACTGTGATAGAGAGAGACTGGAAGCAACAAGGAGGGAGACATAGTGAAATCTCATGCAGCTCGACTTGATGATGATGATGATGATGATGGCGGAAACGCAATAAATGGGAAGGGAAAGGAAGGGCAAACTATTTTTTTTTTTCCTTTTGTGCATCCCCTGCATAAGTACGCATGGCCAAGGGAGAGAAAGGAGAGAGAGAGGGGGATGGCAGGAAGGAAGGACATGACAGACGGACTGACAAAACGAGGCAAGTCAGAGATATGAGAGATAGGGCGTCAAATTGTGTGTGTCAATTGAGCAGGGTAAGGGTGCACATGCACACCATGGCCCATTTCTCACTCATGCATAGCGTTGCGTGGTTGCTCTTGTTGATTTCTGTGCTGTTTTTTATTTTATGAATGCATGCTTGGAAAAAAAAGACGAGAGAAACCACATCCGATGGCTTTGCAACGCTTGTGGCAAAAAACGACGAAAAACAAACAGAACGAAAACAAAGAAAAAGAAAAAAAAAGGGTGTCAAGCAAAAAGAAAAAAACGAAAAAGAAAAAAAGGTATTGTTCAAAAACTGCATCCTGCTCATGTGCTAGCTCGCTCGCCGAGATGTTCCCTTGCTGGGGCTATCCCTGCTTGATCCTGTGCATCGTTTTTTAGGCATTGGACTGTGGCGCCTCGGCTTCGTGGATGAGCGACGACTCCTTGACGGGTGGTGATCCGTGAAGAGGGTTCACAGTTCCTGGATTAGAGTGGGGGATGTTCTCTGGTTGAGGGTGTTCTGATCCAACGGGAGTCGTCGTCTTTCCTGCCTTTGACAGCGCATAGTCTCCTGAATCAAAGTACTTGCGCTCCTATTGCATGGTGATAATAAAAGAACAAAAAAGTAAGGGTCAGCATACATACATGTATCAGACAATGAAAGAGGTAAAGAGGCCCACTGAGCACTGAGCGAGAGTGTAAACGGATGAAGGAAGAAGCGGCGTGCCAAAAAGAGAGACAGCCGAGTCGAGTTCCTGGTTTCAATTTCTCCCATTTCGCACACCACACCACACCATTGATAATCCATGACAGCAACAACAGCAAGGGTCATATATAATGCCGTCTGGTATTGCCTGTCCAACAACAACAGTTAGAAACGAAGACAACAACCAATTGTATCTGATCGTAAATCGTAGTAGTAGTGTGATAATTGACGGTAGTAATGAGGCGGTGTGGTGTGTCCCCTGGCAAACATGCCAGTACGTTTTCCCTTCTACGATCGTCCCCCTTCTCTATGATTGTCTCCCTTCCTCTTCGCTATGATCGTCTCCCTTCCTCTTCGCTATGATCATCCCCCTTCCTCTTCTCTTCCTTCTTTTTTTCCATTTCCGCGGGGTTCTTATTTTCTCTTCACTGCCGTCATCATCACTGATGTCAAGTCCTTGATTGGTGGCCCTTGTCTCTCGTTTATCTGTCTATCCCCACGCCTCCCTCTGCCAAAAGCCGACAGATAGCCTTCATTGTGCCCTTCTTATTTTCGTCACTTTGGATAGCTCCACTCAACGTCAAGGTTGAGGACAGACAGCAATAAAGAGTACGACGAGGGACGGTGTGTGGGTTCCAAAGGACCTTTCCGAAAGCGTCCAGAGAAGAAATATGAGAGATAGGAAAATATCCATGGTGTTAAAACGGTACCTTGAGCTTCTGGTTGAGGAGTCCCTTTGCGGTGGGCAATCTGTTTCCGTAGAGTCTCTGCAGCTTCTGCTCCTGCTCGCTTAGCGTCTATAAGCACATGACGGAATGAACAACGGGGGTATGCATCACCGAGTGTTAGCTTATGCTCATTCTTGTCCATGCTCCAGGCTACAACGACAGACGGCCGAGTTCCTTGTCAGGGAAGAACAGACAAGGAAGTGAGGCCAAGTAGAGAGAAAGCGAGAGTGAGGAGTAGTGTAATAAAAGGGTACCTGTGTGGGGTTGTATGCTTGTTCTGCGGCGGTTGCGCCTGCGCTTGGGTTTAAGGGAGAACTCATGGTTGTTGGTTGTTGGTTGGTTGGTTTGGAGGACGAGGAGGAGGAGGAAGAAGAAGTAGAGGAGGAGGAGGTTGGAATGAGTGTGTAGAATGAGAGAAAGAAAGTGGTGGCGAAAGGTAGTAAAGGGAAGAAGAAAGTCAAAAGGAGGAAAGAGGTAAAAAAAGAAAAGACTTAGACTTTGCGAGTGAGGCGTGTGAGACAACACTACTGAGATTTCAAGGGGACCAGAGGACAAAGTGACTGCGACCGAGGTACTGACTGGTAGAAGAGAGAAGGAAAGAAGGGGCGTAGGGGGTGGGCACCATTATTATCATCGCTACTACTGTGCTGCAAACATGTACGCCATCACTACTACTCCTGCCATAGTTTATCACCCAGGTGACTTTATTCAACAGCCGTAGCTCGACGGTACTTACATCCACAGCAATGGCAATGACATAGCTGCAGACAAAGTCGAGGCAATCGTCTCTTCATGGATAATTCATCATGATTGTCGTGATTGTCTTCGTTCCATCCTCAAGGCACATCCGGCCAACTCTCTCGGACACACCCACTCAACCTTTTATTCTTTCTTCTGTCTCCGTCTTTTTATTTCGTCTCCTGCAATAATTTGTGGAGATTTGGCGACAAACAATTGGATCTATTTGATAGCTCTTTTTTTTTTGTTGCTCCCTCGATAACAACATCTTCACTATACTACTACTTCCACCACCATCATAATTACTGCTATTACTCCAGCTCCTTTTTCTGACAACCCCTGTTACAGATCTCTTCTCCTCTTTTTACTCCCTGTGCTCCGTCATATCAGAGCAAGACCCTTTTCCAACGAATTTCAAGGTTTGATTCGAACATGGAAGAAAAGGAAGATTTGGACCGAAGTGGGTAGAAGTACATCCACCTTATCCATAGTCCCGGCTAAGGGGAAATAACAGATGGATGAGAGAAGAGAAAGGGGAGCCCGAGGTAGAAAAAGAGAGAGAAAGGGACACGAGAAAAAAAAAAGTAGAAGAGAGGAAGACACGAGAGGAGAGAAAGGAGAGATCAGAAGACAGGGAGGACAAAGGGAGGTTTAGTTGATGTGTAGAATGGGATAGAAAGAAAAAATACGAAGGGAATGCCAGTGGGATGGGAGGCCATTCATTGGGCGGGTAACAAGCTCATTCAATCTCGTTTGACAATGTTTTCTTTACCTCCGAGTCCAAGGTTTGAAGGGCGTTGGGATTTTATTTTCCGGAGGCACAATGGATGAGTAAGGCCGGGCATGAAAAAGAAGGTTGTGGGATGTGGGATGGATTACTGGTTGTCATACCGAACCAGATTGCCTTTTCGCTCTTTTTCCCTTCTTCGGCATTGAGTGTCGAGAGAAGATTTCCGTCTCCCTCTGCAGGTTCGTAGCATATCTCACTCGACCGTTTTCAGAGGACCAAGGGGGAAAGTATAATACTGCTATTGCGAAGTAAAAGAACGGCTCATGCTGCTCGGGAGAACTCGCAGATGATGGTAACCCCTTCTTCCTCTAACGATGATCGACGATCAACAGAAGAACCATCCCTATCCAGACCCCATCACCTCGCTGTTCCTGATGATTGGTATTGGTCTCAGGTATCATCAATAGTCACTGACCACTCTGTCTGTGCCTGTAGGACATCAGAGATGATTCTTGGTATACAAACAAAAATCGGTGGTCGTGGACGAACAGGACCCTGTCAACAAATACTCAACCACTTCTCTTGCAACAAAATGAACTAACAAGGAAAACGGACTTTCCGAGATGTAAATAGGGGTAGAAAGGAATAATGGGAAGGGGTAGGATGGATTGGAACAAAGGCGTGCATTCGTCGTTTGTATATTAAGATTTTAGAGTGCGATCGGGGGGACAGCAATTGATTCCCAGCCAAGGACGGGATCGTGTGGAGAGAAAGGTCAGTAAGAGGGGGAGAAGGGAGAAGAGGAAAGGAAAAAGGAAAAAGGGAAAGGAAAGGAAGAAGAGGAGGAAGAAAAAGTATGAAATGGTACGATGCACCAAGGTACATGTTCCCTGTTTTGTGTGTGTGTGTGTGTATCCCGATGCAGAGCAAGGACGGTTGTTTGTGCAGAAAAGGAGAGAAGGGGAGAGACAGGCATGTCAACAACGGCAACAACAACAATCAGTATCATCATCATCATCATCATCAATGCAAACAACAAACAAATGAGAGAAGCAAGATGTGATAGTTTGTGTATGTGTATGTTGTATGTGGCACCATGGGTTGGATTGGATGGGATTGGATGAAAGGGAAAACGGACAGGAATGAGCACTGTTGTTTGCCCACTCTCTCCTCCCCCCCGCTCTCTCTCTCTCTCTCTCTCTCTGTGTGTGTGTGTGTGTGTGTGTGTGTGTGTGTGTGTCCATTGAGAATCCTTCTTCTCCACAAAAATGATCTCTTTCCTCTTCTCTCTTCTCTTTTCTCTCCTATTCCTATATTCCTATATTCCTATTCCTCTTCTCTTTCTTCTCTGCTGTCACCTTTTTTTCTTCTTTCTTTTCTCTTTCCTCATCATCTTCACTTTCACCTTCACCCTTCACTCATTCCATCCGTCGCCCTTTCACTGTTCGCTGTCCACTGTCCACCCTCTTCCATACCATCTTGTCTTACTCATTCTAACCTTCTTCTCTCTCTCACACCCTCTCTTACGCCCACTCGTCCTACGTCTTACTTCTTATTTGCCATTCCCTACTCTTATCTTTTCTTTACTTTTCTCAGTTGTACCTATCCTTCGCTCTCTTTCTTTCCTTCCTTTTCTTCCCTCCCTCTCTCACGAACACCTCTCTCTCTCTCTTTTTCTTACTCTCACTCTCGCACTCACTCTTCGTCCTCAACACGCATATCACATCGCACGGACATGGATCCTTCAACTGGCGCCTCAGGCCCAAACTCGTCCTCCACTGCCAGCCCTGGCACCGGCCCCATCTCCCTCACCTCAAACAGCATCCCCATCAACTCCTCCAACGCCATCAACAACTCCCCACCACAGTCTGGCTCTGCCCCTCATGTCTCAGGGGCACACTCCATCTCTGCCGCACAACCCCACTCCCTCCCCAAAATGGATCGCTCCGAAATGAGAAAGGCAAAGGCCGTTAGCGACGCCATTGACAAGGCCCTCCGCGCCGACAGGGAGAGGTTGCAAAAGGAACGGAGCGCAAAGCTTTTGATCCTTGGTAAGCATACCACACACTCACTCATGCTCTTTTGACCACACTACATACCCACACTCGTCTCTCTTTGATCCATTCAATTCTACATCTTTATCTGTCCATTCATTTTATTTTCCCTCGTGTACCTCTCTCTCTCTCCCTGCCCTTGTCTCTTTTACCCCCTACTTTCTAAAACTGGGATCTATTCAAACACGGAGGGTTGTGCAGAAAGGGGTTGGTGTTATTGTTGTTGTTATCGTTCTCGATGATAATGATGATGATGCTGCTGCTGTCCGTGGTATAGATAGAGTTACAAGATGGTACAAAAAAAGTAACCAACAGGAGACATGGGGCGAATGCTATCATGAAGAAATGAAGAAACGTGGTGCTACTTGCGTTTTTTTTCCTTTCTTTTCTTTTCTTTTTGTCTGCCCGCGGCGGGCGAGGATGGAAGCGGCAACTGAAAGAAAAAGGTGTGAAGGGAGGTACAAAGGCACAAACATGTGTGTGGAGTATGCTGGGTGGGTGGATGGTTTCAGTGAAGGAACTGACCTCGTGGCGAGCACATAAAAAAAAACGTCAGGGACATCATCATCCACGGCAACAAACAAACAACAACTGTTCCATCTAGCAACAACAGGGCACAAAGCGCAACAATAACAATTGAACGTGCTGTAGTTTTTTTGTGTTCGCAAGTTCGAGATTAGCCCGGTCGCAGTAGTGGTAGTCTACTTTTTGTTTTTTTGCTCACCATTCACTTCACCCTCTCCTCCTTACCCCCTACTCTCTTCCTGCTCTTCTTGTCTCTCGCACTGCCCGATCCCTTTGTTTGTACCCATGACCCAATTGCCCTGAGCTGGAAGGTCTATCATCGACTTCGTGTTCGCCTTTTTCTTTGCAGTGGCGTGAGGACATACCTGCATAGGCAATGGTGGCAACCATGATAACAGCAGGTTAATCTTTCCTTTTTTCTGTGGGGGTGTCCTCTATACCGACTTCCATTTATTGAGTCACCAGGGAATTGATACCGATATTGGAGCGTGGTATGAGGATAGGGATGGGAAGATGGCAATACAGCCAGAGTAACGGTACGGCAACCTCCAGTATGGGACAGGACAAAAAAAACATACCAACACCTAAAAGAAAAAACAACAAATATATTCCCAATCCCACTCAAACAATCCAAACTGGTTTTCCAAGTCCCGACTACTCCCAACTCCTCAGCTCCCATTCTCGCCTTCGCTCATTTTTTTACGTTGTATTCAGAGCCGCCACGCGGCATTTTTTTCTTTCTTTTAAGAAACGAGAGTCATGGGGCCTAAGTGGGTCAAAACAGTTGTTTATGTTTTTCGTTCTTTCAGATCTTAATGTTGACACTGTGCGGCGCATTATTTCCCCTTCCCGTCTGATATTGTGTAATGGGTGGGTTGTTCGTAGTCATGTTTCCGGCGCAGCAGTAATAGTGGCAAAGAGGTAAAGGGGATTGAAGGAGGCGTGAAAGGGCGGATGCTATCAGTTCTTCAACTGTCAGCTTGCTGCTTCGAGGATGGTCATCGGTTTCTCCCTCAACCCCTTTCCACGTTTTGTTTGTACTCACTTGCAGGAGCAATTGAGGGGGTTGCAAGAACGTGTTTTCCATGACAAGGAAAAAGGAGGAAGAAGTGTCAAATGGGAAGAGAAAACTTAATTGAAATGAAGGCTGAACAGTATCGATTTCTACAATATGTTATTCAATCCTTTCAGTCCGTCGTCTACTCTGTATTGAGGGAGATATCCCCTCTTTCTGCATGTCCCTCCCCTCCCCTTGCTCCCTCCATCTATTTGCAGTAGCTTACTGACCATGAATTCGCCCCACGTTGCATCAATTATATAGGCCCATCTGAAACGGGCAAGACGACGGTTCTCAAACAGCTAAAGTTGCTTTATGGTCGCAAGGGTCTGGATGTGGAACGCCAAACATACCGGAGGGTTGTCCATCTGAATGCGATGAAGGCGATCCAGGCGTTGTCATACGGACTCCAAAAATGCAACATCCCGCTGGAAAAGTCTGAGAACATTGTTCATCTGGAGACGGTGATGCGGCTGGAGACGACATTGAAGCGGTACTCGATCACATCGATTGGATTCACCAACCCGGCCATCCCCCGTAAGATCACGGACGCAAAGGCGGAGACGGATATGTTTTTGGATATGGTTCCCGCCATTAAGGCTCTCTGGGCAGACGACGGTATCCAGGAATGCTACCGTGTCGGATCCAATATCAACCTCCAGGACTCAGCACAATAGTAAGTTTTCCTTTTTTTTTTTCTTTTTGGAATCGATGGGGCGATGTTTTTTACATTTGAGTTCGACTACGGCGATATGGCAGAAATGGCAATAGAAAAAAAAACTAGATCTCAAACTCTTTTTCCCTGCTAACCTTTTCTTCTCACATCGTTTTTCCCATTTTTTTCCTTGACTGACAGCTTTTTGGATTCAGTAGATCGTATTGCAGAGCCAGACTACGTTCCCACAGACGATGATATTTTGCAGGCACGCGTCAGGACCTTGGCCGTCTCTGAACACTACTTCAACATTGACAGTGTTCTTTACAAGTAAGTTGATCATGGCTAGAAAAATGGGGTAATGGTGTATCGATGGAAGTTTCCTTTTCTGACTATTCTATTTTACTTCAATCTTTTTAGGATTTACGATGTCGGTGGTCAAAAATCGCTGCGAAAATATTGGGCGTAAGTTTTTTGTTCTTCTCTCTTTTGTTTTATTGATGAGGTGGAGGGACACATGGCAAAACGCGTGGCGGAAGGTTAACAAAACTAAAGAAAGGAAACTGAAAAAAATGGGGGAAGGAAGAGGGAAGGGAGGCCATGGATGAAACTGGGACTGACTGTTCCTCGATTTGGAGGAGAGGGGGATCGGGAAGACACGAAGAGGGCTGGACGGACCAAAGCAGGGTAGTTGACAATCCCATGCGCACGCAACCATGTACCTTTTGCCATTTACTCTCTCTCACCCTGCCTAACGCATGGAAACAAACAACAATAAGCTGCATCATTGCGTCAACGTGGAAATGGATTTGTCAATTGGACAGGGCAGGAGGAGCAGCAGCAGGAGGAGCAAAAAGAAGGCTGGGGGAAGAGAACTTTGCAAGGGAGATGGGTATGATATAATGTTGCACGATTGGTACTATCGGGATAGGAAAAAAAACACAACCACGAAGGTTTGGAAAACAACACAAAGGAAGGACAAGGAAAATATTTTCAATATGCTTGGGCTCTCACTTTAACTTATCTCACTCAGTTAAATTGTACATTGTCTCTCCTGAACTAATCCCATCATCCTCGTTTCCTTATTTTTTTCACACTCCTTTCCAATCTCCATTCTAGTCCATACTTCGATGACGTCGATGGTATCATCTTCATGGCGGCGCTGTCGTCGTTCGACCAGTGCTGTGAGGAGGATGAGCGGATGAACCGGATGAAGGAGTGTGTGGTGCTGTTTAACTCGGTCGCCAACCACAAGCTGTTTGCCGACACGGCGTTCATACTGTTCATGAACAAGATCGATGTCTTCCAGCGCAAGCTCGATTCGGGGTCGTTGGTGAAGACACACTTTTCCGAGTATGATGGACCCAATGATTACGCCACCGCCTCGGCCTTCCTCCACAGTCGGTTCTTGCAGCAGTGCAAGGATACCGCCAAGCAGATCTATACCCACTTTACCCATGCCACTGTAAGTTGACATTTGTTTTTCTCAGTTCTGGGAAAGCGTGAATATGAGGATGTGCTAATGTTGTTGCTGTTAATGACGATAATGATGTGGCCGAACAGAATACGTTATTTTCTTTTCTTGTTTGTTCCTTGCTTTAAATTGTGCCATGTGGTGACACAACAGCACGCTTTACACGTGGCTTGTCATACCATACCATGTCCATATTTTTTTCCCTTATATTTGTTCTCCTCTTACTATCTGATTCCTATGCGCAATTTTTTTTGGGGTTCCGCCACCTGCCTTATTATTTTTCCTTCGTCATCATGCTTGATACCTGAGCTAATTCAGTCGAGCTTATTCAAACGAGCTATTCGCAATCCAAGTTGACAGTACTAATATTTTTGTCCGCTATCTTCTTTGCTTCCCATCCTCTTCGATGTCGATAGGATACCAACCAGATGAGGGTCATTGTTGTGGCCGTGAACTCGATCGTCCAACGGATGAACCTTCGCAGTTCAGGGCTGTTGTAAGAGCGGACCAGACGGACCGATTTCTTTTTTTTAATGAGGAGGTGTGATGGGGGAGGATGATGAATATACTTATACATAACATTTGATGATGGAGATGGGAGAACGGGAGGAATGGGAGGGGGGGGGGTCTACCCCCTCCGAAGAGGTAGTCGTTTTTTTTTTCTTTCTTTCTTTTTCTTTCTTTAGTTTACTTTGCTAGTCAATCGCGCGTTTCTTTTTCATGTCATTTCACTTTTATTTTTTTTTATTTTCTGCCACATAATTATTTTATTCTTTCTTTTGATTTTTTTTTCTTTCTTGTCATGTCCAAAAAAAAAAATACAAACATACCATACCAAATACCAAAAACCAATTGAAGCATGCGAGTAAGGTCATGTGGCGCAAAACTATGGGATCGTCTCCCACTGATTGACACAAAATGTAGCATTCCAAAAGGGGGTGCCTTACCCTAGTCGACACAACAAGAGTCTTGTGACACCAAAAAAAAAAAAAAAAACGGGATCGTCATCGATGGAGAGTATATATAGTACATGCATTGGGACCAGTTTACCACTCGATCAGACAAAAAAAAAAGGGTTGAGCATCTTTTGCAGAAACTGTAAAAACGGGATCGCCCATTACCGCTAACCTCTCTTTGTTGTTGTTGTTGTTGTTTTTTGTCCTTGAATCATTATTTATTTATTTATTCGATAATTTTTTTTTTGTTTTTGTTTTTGTTATTGTTTTGTTAGGTTATTCGTTAGTGTTTGTTCTGACTAAGCTAGAGATCTGGCGTGCATGTGGGGAAGCTGGGAAATAATACACGAAGAAAGAAAAGAATGAGCAAGAAATAGAATGGTAAAAAAGCAAAATGGGCAGGAAGAAAGCAAACTGAAAGAGGAAAAGAAACGCACGAAAAAGTAATGTGAAAATAGGGCTGACGCGTGAATGAATAGCTGGGAGTGGAAAAGAGAAAGTAAAAAGAAAAAAGAAAAGGGGTTGGTTTGATTTATGTTGAAAGCAAATACATTGCTCTGAATGAAATAATAACGGGATGAAACTAGGGTTTTGTTTTTTATCACGGCAGGCTGGAAATGGTAGGATGATGGGATGATGGGATGGTGGGATAGGATAGGATGGGATGAATATGTGATACGGCTGTATAGAAAGTGGAGGGGATGATTATCGGTCATGGGAGAAGAGGAGTTGTTCAGGATCTGGATTTTTGGATGAATGCCTATTGAATAAAAAGAGACAAAAAGGAAACGGTACCGTGAGTCATTGAAAACCATACCATGCCATGCCATGTCAGCCAACAGCTCTTCCCACACTAAAACACACACAGTCTTTCTCCCAGTCTCAAACACACGCCTTCTCCTCCACGTTCTCATGATACCAAAACAATTTCCATTCCCGACCCGAGACGAGACCCAACGACATGCCAGATCGGCCTTCCCACGCTGCTCTCTTCCATTTTAAATCCAGTCAGCCGAAGACAATAAAGTAATCCTTACCTGGAAGTACTTCTTGAACTGTTTGGCATCCAATTGCTGCAGGGCCTGGATGTATTCTTGCGCAAGCTCGGGCGGACAGTGGATCGATGGCAAATACACTTGGCTCAAATAGCTCAAGAACGTACCTCCCTGCTTCAACGCAATCGCCTTTTGCAATCCCGCAATCTCGCCAAGAACAAGCACCGATTGGCCATCCTGCAAGTCAAAATTGGGCTTCATAGGCACCTCGAACGTAATGCGAAGGATATGCTCATACATGAACTGGTAGAATCCAGGCGCTTCCAACTTTTCTCCTGTTCCGTCTCCACCACCACCGCTCCCAGACGATCCATTGCTCACTCCATTCTTGCCATTGGCGTGTGCTGCTGCTGCCGCCGCTCCCGAAGACTCGCCTTGACTTCCCCAAGAGTTGACAGCCTTCAATAGAATACCAAACGCCATCCTGCTCACAGGAATATCACTCAGATCCTGTGCATAGTGCAACACACTCTGAAGAATCAATCCCAAATGCTGTCCATTCACTACATTATTCCGACAAGAGATAAGCATGGTCAATTGAATTGCAATTAAGGGCCGCATAGATCAAAAGGCATGGTTAAAAGCAGTACAGGAAACCAGAACACTTACGGTCCGTGATGAGAACATTCTCGAGCTCGGACGAAAACAAGCCCATCAGGAAGGTGAGATAACTCTTGCGGAGTTCCGCCAAAGCCATGGCCTCATCCGTTCCATTGGCAACCTGGTTCAAGAAGAAAAACACCTTCTGAACAAGGGGGAAGAACAGCCCGTTCAGAATCGACATGATCGTCGCCTTGAACTTGTGCGCCACCTGGCCCATGAATGGCAAGAATTCCACCAACTCCATGACCGAGCATTCCTGCAGCAAACCAGTGATCAAGGTAGGCAAGTAGGGCTGCACATCCTGACCAAGGCAGTTGATCAAGCGACCGAATGTAAACCGGGAAGCCGAACGAATCACCTCAAAGCGAGAAAGCGTCTCGAGCGCCACCAATGTGATCTCTGCCACCTGCTTAAAGATCTGCGAGCAGGGGCTGGAGCCCATAGCAGCGGCATTGGCGGCGACCTTCTTGTTGCCCAGCATGTCTGGGAATCCCTTGGCGATACTGCCGAGCGCCATCAGACGGTGGTGCAGGGTCCAGACAAGCTCTAAATCCCGATAGCGGGGTGTTCCTGCCATTACTGTCATGTTATCCTGAATCGTTCCGTTCGAGCTCTGTTGGATCGATCGGCAAGCTTCCAGACTCTTTTGGATCTCGGACAGGAATGGGCTGACAACTACAGTCAGGTACTCAAACTGTTGCTGAGCGGGTATACATTCTTGCGAGATCAAGAGTCCAACAGCTTCAAAGAGGTAGGTCTTTGTCTCAAAGACTTGGTCCTTGAACGTGGAGAGATCGAAACCGGGGTTCAACGCTCCGGGAAGCGAAGCCTCAACCGTCAAAACATCCTGAATACTGTTCAGCACCGTCTGGAGATAGGGCGTCAACTTGAGCTTGAGATCCTTGCTGAAGCGCCAGAACAAGTACCATGCACGCGTACGGTTGGCTGAGATTGGGTGATGGAGACCACGTGCATCGACAAACGCCTCCAGGACCTCAGGAATGCAGTCGGGGCGAATTTCGAAAAAGTTGGCATAACGGCAGGCAATCTCGAAAAAGTTGGCCGAGACAGATGGGTGAGGATAGGCTGACACGCCGCTCTTGCACATCTCGAATAGGCACTCGCCCAGAGGGGTCAATGGAGCTCCTGGTTGAGGGACGGGGTTCACAATCTTGCCACCGTTAGCGCCGATCGTTGGCGCGCCAACAGCAAACTGGGGAACGCCTTTGATGGCTTCTCCGTAAAGGTAAAGCAAGTAGAGCGCCAACTCCAGATCCCTCCAATCAGAAGATCCTGCAGATCCTGTAGCCTTCTCGTTTACAAATGTCGTCAAGGTCGAGGTGACAGCAGAGTGCAAGAAGGTGGTCGTAAGGCTAGCCGAGAGAGATGCAATCTGATCGTAGAATCGCTTCAATTCCCGACGCATCTCCAAGAAATCGAGCATCTCGTCGTCGCCGATCGAGTCTTCGCCGATGGTACCGACGGATTCTGAACCTCCAGCGATAGCAACGCAAACCCAGTCCATGTCCTCGCCGTACTTCATCTTCATAACGATCGATTCCAAAATCTGGCGGAGGAGCACCTTTTGTTCCTGTGGCAACGAGCCAGTGGTCTTCTTGATCACCTTGAAGATGTTAAGAATCTCGCGCAAGAAACCAAAAACAGCCTCCGTGACATTGTTATCCTCGTCACGCAAAAACTGGAGAAGGATGGGCACCAGCTGCGAGATGTGTGTGTAGGCGGTAGGGTTGGCGGTGGGAGGGTAGTTCGAGTTGCTCTGAGGGTTGGTGTCGTTCCAGATCTGGCAAAGTTGGAGACCGAGGTTGTTGACAAGGCGAGCAATCTTTTCGCGGAACTCTGAATCAGACTGTTAAAAGAAAAGTGAGAATGGGTTGTTGGTCAGTCAAGATCAATTGGAATCATGTCCTTGGTGTAAGCATTCAATGCACTAAGCTTACAGAGATATCGAGTTGCTGCAAGACGTCAACAATGCCAAGGATGCCGATGAGCTGCAGCTTGTCCAGAGGCTTCATTCCCTTCTTGATGATATCGGTCAAGCTGTCGGCAGCAGCATTGCGGATAGACGTCGTCAACAAGAAACTGTAAATAAGAGTCACGAATCTCTCATTGACAATAAGTGAGATGTCGATCCAGGCTACAAAAATAAAGGGAAATGGTCCATGTTAGAAAGGGGCTGCCAATGAATTGTCCAGAAAGAGCCGTCGCGTCCTTGTAAATGCAGTATATTTGTCCGTGCGTCGTTGTTGACATACCCACATAGACTCCGACGATGCGAAGCAGCATCTCTGCGAAATCAAGAGAGCGGTCCTTGTACTCTGTCAACAACTCGTACCATACGTTAGCGAGTGTGGGAACATCCTGCTCTCTCATGCGATCCTTAATGTTGATGTTGAGAGTGTTCTCTTCCTTAGAGCTGACTCGGGAAATGAGAGTGTTGACGACCTCCTCATCGATCGACATCAAGATCCTGAGGAAGAGGTCCACCATCATCATGTTCGATTTCCCTGAAGACTGAGGCAGAGGGGTGATGAGGCTGAGCATGTCGGAGAAGAATGTGGTCCATGACTTCATATATGTTTGGCGGAATAGAAGTGCAACTGCATGTGCAAACTTGTTCTTGAGATCTATTGCATCGTGGATCATTTAACGATCAATGGTATCAGTCGTCCATGTTCGTTTTTTCTGAAGTAGCATAGACTCTTGGCAAAAATAATAAATAAATAGTAAATCCGCAGTTTGTACATTCTGGTCACTTACATGAAGGTTCTGAGCTCAGTGTGTTGTCGATGCCATTGTTGACGAATTCCCGTTGGATGTAGTCCATGAAGGTCTGTCGAAAGTAGTTTAGTCGTGTCTCATCCAGCGTGTTGGTTCTAAAAGCAAGGTGAAAGGAGCGAAGAGTGAGTCTGGATGATTCATCGTGTATTTCCCTTGGAGGCGTAGCTAATGCATGTCAGTTTGCACTGGCACATCCGCAGATCGTATATGACGGATGTGTGTATCGTTTCATACCTGGTCATGAGTACTTCTTCGACAACCTGTAGACAGAACATGCGGGTTTCGGGGGTGCTATTATTTTTTGTCGTTATGATTTTCAACAATTAGCAAACATAGGGGAAAATAATATTAGTGGCGTTTTTCTTCCTTCAGAAAAGGGAACCATAAACAGGAGACTGTTGGTATGATATTCCGGCATCGAATGCTGTTGCTGTGGGTGTTCTTTGCTCCTCTCCAAATGATGCCCACTCCGTATTCCCTTTATGAAAAGTATGATCCATGCAATCGAGTCATATTTGTGTACTCCTGCACCACACGACCACTAAACAACAATGGCACGCAAGGAGGCAATCGAGCAAAACGAAAACGCAAAACGCCAACAACAAGACAACAACAACAAAAAATCGCTGCGATCTGATTGGCACAAGAGTGCAAGTCTGAACGATAATGAAAAAGACAACAAAAACTCAAAAAGAACAAACGAGAACAAAACAACCAGCAAGAAGACAAAAAATACCTTTTGGGCTCCCGAATGTAGAGCGTCAGGCAAGATTGCCATCCATCAGGAGACGCCTTGACTTGTTCGCAGTATTGTGTCGCCTATTCTCATCGCAGATCAGACAAAAAGGTAGTTGAACTCATGGTCAGTCATTGCTCCCGAAAAAAAGGACAAAGCGTGATGGAGGCGCGGGTGTTGGAAGGGTGTGAAAAAAGGTGGCAGCGTGATGTCACACGTTGAAATGGTCTATAAAGAGCATAGTGTCGTACAACACCTCCGAATGGTGGCGTGAGTGCAAGTGGGAGGAAGACTTTTTTTCCAGCTTTTCAACAGGGCAGTAATGGGCGAGCAGCGCGAGTTTCCCGATGGCTTTATTCGACAGTTGGTCTTTCATGCCAGGTCTGGAAGTACATAGATCTCTCACGTCGAAAGGAAGCCTTCATCCCTTGAGGAAGGTTGTGCTGCTGTGAGAACAGACTTTCCCAGGTCCTGTTGTATTTTGACGTGGTACCCTGAAGAGTAGACTAGTGAAGTGGATGAAAACACCCTCTCGAGGGCCGTGCTGCTTCAAACGTCCACTATAAACACGGCCCCTTCGCCCCCTGTCCTGACGACCGAAAAAAATACGAAAGCAAGCCTGTCTCAGCGTCGCTCTTGATCAGCTGTCGTGTACCGTAACGATTCCCGAACGTCTACTTTTTGTCGTGTCTGCCTTTCAAACTGATCCAAGTGTGAACGGCGAGTTGGGATAAGATTTTCTTTCTCTCTCTATCCTGTGTTTGTGCAGCCTTGGTTTGTGGAATGAGTTGTAAAAGTGGAACAAGGTCAAAGTATGGCGGGAAAAAATAATATGAAAGGACGATGGTGGGCAAAGGGAAGGAAGGTGCGAAAGAGTCATATTATGCATGGGGAGGGAAGGAGAGAAAAGGCGAGAGTGGACGCACCTGTTGCTTCAGAGCAGGGTCTGCGGTGGGGCTGAGTGCGCAAGCAACGGCTTCTTCGATGTGGTCCATGTAGCAGTAGTAGTTGCTGTAGGTGGAGGTGTAGTTGTCGTGTGAGTGTGGGTGTGAATTAGAGGCAACTGACTCCTTTTACTGTCGTTGTGGTTGGTGTGAGAGAATGAGAGTGAGTGGAAGAGAGTGAAGCAGGCGAGAGTGAGGATGAAGAAAAAGAGGTGGCAAAAAGAAAAGAAGAAGTGGAGGCAAAGTAAAGTAGAAGAAGAACGACAAAGGAAGAAAGAAGAAGAAGAACGAAGAAGAAGAAGTGGTGGCAAACAGCAAAAAAAAGAAAGCGATCAACCAACAACAGTCGTCGTTCCTTTTCTTTGCTTTGTGCTCTTTTGCCTGCTTGCTTACACTGTTTTTTTCTCGCCAGTGACGTAGCATATGGTCACGTGTATCTGATCCCCTCTTGCCGCTCCACTTTGTTTTTTCCACCGTTCAAAGTGTCCACTTCACATTTACTACTACTTCAGGTTCATTCTCATCATCAACAATGACAACAACAACACCAACGTCCTTATCTAGTCTGGAGCAATACACATGGGCATCGCCACTCGCCCCATCCATGGAGCCTGAAGGTATTGACCTATTGTCACTTTATCTCTTTTTCGAACTCCCCCTCCCCCTTGAACTACTTCGTACCTGACTTTGTATTTATTTAACAAGCCCCTTGCACTACCTTATCACCACCCTGCTAATAGAATATGTATTCATCCTAAGCTGTCTACAACCCTACATCGACATGGCACGTCTCTGCAGGATGGCTCAGAGGAAACAACAGTTCGAACAACCTTCATCTTCCATCGTCCTGGCACTATCATGTATGAACCAATACGAAATCAAACGAGCATGTCAGGAGTGGCGCGCCATTATTGTCCATATCGATCCCGAATGTACGGCCCTCCAAAGATCTGTCGCCGCGCGCGATCGCCAATCCTATTTCTGGTCAACCATTCAAACCGTGATCTGGGGATCAGCTCTCGCAGCAGTTGGGTTGAGGCAAAACAATATTATCCGACATGGTCATCAATGGCCCTCATCTCGACTCGCGTCTGTCTCTGCAGTCGTTCTGGGTTGTGTGTTGACGGCCTCGTGTGCAGTCAAGACTCTGGGGGCCATGAAGGCGATCCCACGCGGGTATGATGTAGTCAAGGTTCGGGACGAGGAAGCAGGCACGAATCATTTGTTCCTGGTGCGGCGCGACTATACCCAGAAGAACAGTGTGCGAATCGTGCCGATGTACCTGCTTTCGGGACTGGGCCTTGGTACCATCATCCTAGGGGCCCGGATTGCGTTTAAGATCAGGAAGATTGCCAATTGAGCGGGATCTTAAAACAATTAAAAAATACCTTGGACCTCTGGCTGGTACCTTTTAGCAGTCATTGGATCCTGATCCTATCAATACGTGTGTTTCTGAGATACGTCGCGTGAAAGCTGATTTGCTGTTCTCGCCCTACCCTGACTGAGACAAGCTGCTTTTGCAAGTGGAGTTGTCAGTCATGCAAACTCATTCTGAACAAGTGACGAGGGGCGAGAGTGGACCGTGTTGTAAAATTAGACGAGGGAGAGAGAGATAAAGAAACAAAGAGAGAAAAGCCTTCAACGGCGAGTTCCACCGCGCCTCTTCACTTGGGCGTGTACGACAAAAATAAAAAATAACCGAATAGAGTACTAGTACAGCCAATGTTTCACGAGGGTCCTTCCTCTCTTTGATGTTTCCAATGGATTGGGTCGTTCAAGACCGTGCATTTGGGCTGACTTTCTGACAACGCTCAAAAAATATATAGAAGCAGAAAGAAGGGTGCTCGGATAATAATTGCAGAAGTGGGGGAGTGAGTGACAACAAGTTATTTGTTTGTGCATGGTTGAAAGGATGATGCAGTGCATAAATGTGGAAAGGACATCTTCAGACCTATGTACATCCACTCCCTTCCCTTTTTCACACTTATAAAAGTTCGTGGACCCCTGTTTCTTGTCAGCCCCTGTCGCCGGTGTTGTTGCTAACAACCAAAAAATACCCAGCTGAGAGAAACATTGGAATTCTACCCTCATCCTTTCGCCACATCAGCCAGTTTTGTAACTCCCCTCCCATTTTGCAGGCAACCTTTCCATCGAATAAGTGGCGACATACCGCATGGGGAGAGAGGATATTATGTGTAGCGCATAACAGACAAGAGAGAATAGGATTGGACTTTTGCCATACAGGCCTCAAAGATACGTGGCGTCCAGTTGGTATATAAATCATGGTTACAATTTGTTACCCGGAAAAGAGAGAAGGGCGTTGTTCTTGCTTTGTCGTTGAGGAGGTGAAGTGCATGTTGACTTGTGTGTGTGTGTGTGTGTGTGTGTGTGTGTGTGTGTGTGTGTGGGAGTGTGTTGTCCACGTTGTCTGTTTTGTGCGCACAAGCAAGTCAGTCGCTTGTATTGTCGGTCGGAGTGAGCGTAACATATTTCGCCTCCACTTCCCCTTCTCTTCGTTTCTTCTCGTTCATCTTGCCTCTTCTTAAATAGTTCTCTTCTTAAATAGTTCTCTTCTTCTTTTGTTCCTCTTCTTTCTTCTTCAGTCCTCGTCATCCTCTTCTTCGTTTCTTTCGTTCTTCGTTTCCCTTCTTCATTTTCCCACTCTCTCTTCTCTTTCCTTGTCTTTCCTTCCCTCTTCATCCTTTCCTCCCCACGCCGAATATTATTCGCTCCGTCTCTCCTTCCTTCGTCATTCACTTTCTTCCCCCTACACATTTTTGTATCATCGCATATCCGCATATCCCCATCATTGACTTGGATTAGTTACCCTGGCACCATCACCACCACCACCACCTTCCTACTTCACATCCCCCTCAATCATACACAGACACTACACCACAAATGGCCAAGGATACCTCCACCTCGTCCTCCAACCGGTTCAGTTTCAATGGCCACACCGCCAACCTCACCAACTCAGGAAGCAACAATAGCAATAGCAACAATGGCATCCTTCCTTCATACAGCAATCCAGGGTCGAGGGACCGATCCCCCGACCTAGAGTCAGCCTACAGCAGCAGCAACAGTAACAGCAATAACAGAGCCATCAAAAAGTCAAGGACACCCTCCCGGACACCCTCTCCACCACTCCTATCAGATCGATTCTCACCAACACTTTTCACCATTCCCTTTGCCCCACTCCTAAAACGCCGTCTGTTGTCCAAGAAGCCATGTCTCCTTCTGGGTGCCTTGACAGTGGGTCTCCTACTCCCGATCTGGATCTTTACAACGGGAGTCATCACCCTCGACTCCTTCAATGATGCCATCCGGTACCTGCCCGGTTACCATTATTTCGCTAACAATTTGCTCTACCTCGTCATGTTCCTCCTCCTCGTCTCCTTCACCGTCCTCGCCACCCTTCCCATCCTCCCCATCTTCATCCTTGGCCTGCCCTTCCATCTTTTGATCTTTTCTATTTTCAACAAGTTGATGAGCGACTGGTTGTGGTGGTGCGTTGGCTGTTACATCGTCTTGTTCCTGGCTCCTGTCGGGTCAACTGTCCTTGCTCGGATCAAGGCTACGGTTGCTCGACATCATGATGGTGGTCGACGAGAGATTCTTATCCGACACAAGTACAATCCAACAACATCTTCCAACCCTTCTTACGTCAAGTACTCTCCTCTTCATCCTAACGACACCACCAACCCTAACAGCAGCAGCGTCATCATCAACAACCTCAACAACAAGGAGGGTCAGGATTCAGACCTGATCTTTGACTCCTTCTCACCCACTTCATCTTCTCGCTCGGGATTATTCGCCATCGAAAGGAAATTCGAGTATGGCGTCCACCTCTTCAGCAAATCCAACCGCACCTCGACTCGCTGGCGATTGCTGCTCGCCATCGCATTCTGGCTTAGCTACGTGGTCCCCGTAACACTCAGGAACGAGGCTCGTGATTTTGACCCCGCACGGGCAACCCCCTCCTTCGACATTCAACACCCCGAATGGCTTTGTCCAGTATCGACAACCGACGAGAGCACGAGCGGCTTTGAGGGAGAACCTCGCCAGAGCAGCTTTGAGGGCTACTGGGAAGAATATCTCGAGTTCCATAGGGAGATGGTTCTACCCGAATCCCAGGGTGGAGTTCCCGAAAGCGAGAAACGGTTCATGATCTTCCAGCCTAGTGATGATGGACTCGGAAACCGGTTGCAGGCGCTTTTGAGTTCTGTGGTCATGGCCATGGTGACTCGTCGTGCCATTGTCCTTGACTGGCTTGCCATGCCCCAATGCAATGTAAGTTACTTCTCTTTGTACTATTTTATTCCTCTTTCCTCTACCCCCATTGTCAACTTTTTTTTCGGGACAGAACAAACGAAAAAGGCGGTTGAATCTGTAAAGTAGGCTTGGATTTGAATGGATTGTTATTGGGCTTGGAATGTTTTTATTTTGAATTGAAATGGACTGAATAATCAAAGAGATGGTGTGCATGAGTCCATCTGCGCGGTTTATTTTGTTTCATTCTTGTTTCTTTGAGGGTGTCAGCTAGGGCAGGGAGAAAGTAGAGTAGTCGATGGCCCTTTTCCTCTTCCCTCAGTGCTTATTGACGAAAAAATAGAAGGAAGGGGGGAGAAAGGGAGAGGCATGGAGTCGGCTTTATTGTTTACTTCAAAACCACGCACTATTTTTTTGTCAGCCTGCTTTTCAGAGTCAACTCGACACTCTCTCCATGAACCCACGACCTTCGACTTCTTCATCGATGCACAACAGCCCTTTGCCTTGTTATTGCTCGACCCTTGAAAATGTTTGTGCATGGTCTATTCTTCCGTGAAGGGCTGAAGAGGGACAGAAAGAAGGATTTGTCGAATAAAAAGAAATAGAGGGGTGAGGGGTGGGAGAGGGAACGATGTTACTATCAATGGGTACCTGTGTCAGTGGCCGTGGAAAGAGGAGGGTGTGTGTGTGAATGAGTTTTTGCGCGTTATTTTTTTTGTTGGTCAAAACAGAAACAGAGGGAGGGGCTAAACACCAAAGACCGCTGCCAGATCGTTGTTGCAAAACAAAAGAGCTGACCAACCAACTGGCCAGGTCGGAGCACACACTCCATCCTTCGAGGGGCAGATCGGTTCACGTTCTATGGGATAACGTGTGCATTCGTGCTCATATTGATCGAAACTCGTTTTTGTGGTACAAACAACAAAGAGTAAGTACACATGAGGTGACAGAAGGAAGGGAGGAAGTTGAGTACATGTGGAATGACAGATGGTGCATCTATAAAGCATAACAAGTGGACAACGGTTACCCATAAGTGCTCTCAACCCTTCCCTACTATTGCTGGCACGCGCAAAAAGACGACCCGCAGACGCAACAATTGCTCATATTTGTTTTCTTTGGGGTCGACGTAACGAGACAAGCGTGATAGGTGGATAGATGCACCGGGCTACCGGCTTATGGTTCACTCTCCTCCTGCACTTTTCTCCCGGGTGAACATTCACCAGAATAATACCCAGAACAATCTCCGTGCGCGAATTTAACACCAAACAAAAACCCACTTTCTAATCTCCCCCTCAACGAACAATCTAGGCAAACTTCACAGACCTCTTCCAACAACCCGAAGGCCTCACTTGGGACCTCAACACTACCCTCCCCAACCACAAAACCCTCCCATCTTACAAAACCAAACCTGAAATTTGGTACCCATACTGCCGGAACTGTGCCCTCCGTTCACCCATCACCCCTGAATCGACATGGTCCAACCTTCTCTGTGAAGCCGACCTGGGTCTCAACACCACCACGCCCATCGTCCAGATCTTTAGTACACAATGGTTCCTCCCAGTCATTCAACATAACCCGCATTGGAAACGGGAACTGTGTCATATGTTCCCTGGGGGTGGGAAGAATGCGTTCCAAGTGTTGGCGAGGAAGCTGTTGAAACCTTCGAGAGTTGTGCAGGACAAGATTGATAGTGTGATGGAGAGAGTCCCGGAGGGGGTGACGTTGATTGGGTTGCAGGTAAGGAGGACGGAGAATAATGCAGTCGGACAGGGGATTGAGGATTCGTTCTTGAGTTGTGCGGCCGATGTTGTTCAGGAGGTAGAGGTAGAGGAGGAGGAGGAGTCGAGGTTGGCTGCTGGCAGCAAGATGGCTACTATCGACAGGCGGCAAGCTTCTCCAAACGGGAGGACACTGGGCGATCAGGAAGAAGAATCATCACACTCACCGTCAATTGTCCAGAGAGGCCACTACCTCGGACAGGACATCGACCTTGATCTGGATCTCACCGACAACCGCAACATCAACGACGTCCAGACAGGAGGATCAAAAAAGACCTCGAGACGATTCGCATACTACCTCGCCACAGACTACCGCCCAACCCGCGCCCATTTCCAGAAAGCCCTCGGCGACCAACTCCTTGTCCTCGAAAACACCTTTCAATCCACAAAACCACCCGTCTCCCCCCTCGTCCTCTCCGGCACCAACGACGAAGGCGACTCCCTCGACATCTCCCCTCCCGAATCTTCATCCATCGACGACAACGAAACCAACCCATCCTCCCCAGCATCCTCTTCACCATCCTCTTCCTCCTCCTCCTCACAATCAGAAGCCGTCGTCCGGAACTCAGTCCAAGGCGTCCAAATAGCAGTCGCAGAGATGTTCCTCCTCGCCCAAGCCGACCGGATCATCTCATCCCCTTACTCAACTTTCGGATATTTCGCCCACGGATATGCAAACGTCCAACCCAACATTGTCAAACGCGATGGCACCTGTATCAAGCGTCGATCGACTCAACCCTGCTTCCAGTACTGGTTCGGGTTTGCGAATGGAGGTGCCAAGTGTAATATCCGGTCAACGATTGAGATGAGTGAGGATTATGATTGCTGGCTGTAAAAAGCTCCCTTCCGATCAAAACCTACCCACCAACCACCAAAACATAATGATAGAGCATCAAAACAAAAAAACAAAAAAACAAAAACGCATTTCATCAAAAACAAACAACAACCCCGTTGTACATTAATAAAACAACGGCGACAGAGACAATAGAGAACGGTATGCAGGATGCTTTTTAATGCTGTGGGTGGATTTTTAGTCCTCAGAGTCATTCACCTTCTTGGCCTTGCCACGACTACTACCACCACCACCTCCCCCTCCGCTATCACCAAGACCACTCACCGTCCCTTTCCGCCTCCCCGTCCCTTCAATCCCCGCCGCGCCTCCTCCACTTCCATCAAGGCCAGACCCAGACTCACTCCCAAGAGCAGCCAAAGCACGAGCAGTCGACGCACGATGCTCCTCAAGAGCCCTAATAGACCGCTCAACGCCATCATCATCCATCATCTCCTCGGGCAACGCATCCCTCATCCACTGCATCTCATAGTCGCGCACCTTCTCCTCCATAATCCGCTGCAGCATATCCGTCGCTGTCTGATCGCCCGGTCGAATCGACAACGCCTTGTGGTACGCCTCCATCGCATCGTTGGTTTCACCCATGATCTGGTAGATGAATCCAAGTCCTACTAATGCTGATGCCCGAGTCGGTCCTGGTTTTGCTATACTGTCAACCTTGAGGAAGTATATCTCCGCTTCCTTGTAATTTCTGAAGAATGAAAAACGAAGAAAAAAAAAATCAGTACCAAATGAATGCCGCCATAATTATACCACAGCACTTACAAAAACGTCAAAAACGTCAAAAAAAAAAAAAAAAACCTCACCCTTGTTTCCGGTAGGCGTGGGCAAGGTTGAGCCAAGTGGTTTCCCAGATGACATTCTTGCGCTGAGAGTGCTCCAGCTTCTTGACAACCTTGTGGAGAGAAGTAATCGCTTCATCGTACCGTCCCAGCTGGTAATACATCACCCCCATCTCGTTCAACAGTAACGGGTCAGAGTCACAGATCGTCAGACACGCGTCAAAATACTTTTCTGCCAGTGCCGCATTGTTTTGCTGCAAGTGCTGCATCCCAATGTACATTGGTCCCAAGTGTGATCTAAAGTTCCATAGCAATAAGTACAACATATACACAAAGTTAGCAACCTATTACCGAGTGAACAAAAAAGAGTGAAGCTTACTTTCGACGGCGAAGCAACAATTGATAGCACTTGCCCTTGAAAGAGCCTGGTACTCGTTCCGTATGCAGAGATGGCTTTTTCATGCTCACCCTCCAGCGCAAAAGTATGCCCAAAGCCAATCCAGGCCGGTCCATAATGTGAATCGATCGTTGAAGCCTTGATAAAGTACCGCCTGGCCTCCGGGATGTTTCCAATCAAGTAATAGTACACCCCAACCGCAAACCATGTCACCGCCTCCTTTGGGTGTTGATCCACCAGCTCATGGCCAATCAAGAAGAGTTCGTTCTTGTGATCTAGTTCGTACAGGGACACCAGATGCATGGGTATACACGCCAAGTTGAACTTGTCCATTTCCAAAATCCTATTTTCGTGTGCCAAAGGTTTGCCTGTAAGCTGACGAGAAATAACACCATGTTCAAACAAAAAGTTTGCAAGGGACTAAAAAGCATACCTTTTGGTGCACTCGAGGCACTTTTCGAAGCGACCCTGGGTAAAGTAAACATCTGCCTTGGCGTGAAGCAAATCCGCATTCTCTGTCTGGAACTTGGCCGCCAATGTCGTGTATATCTCCTCCTGCTCTTCAAATCGATCGTACTAATAACGAAAGAAAGCCTTCGTCAGTCATGCCGCTCTCATCCATCCAGAAATTCAATGCGGCCAAATGATCCGAGCGTGAGAGACTTGCCTTTTTCATCTTTGATTGGTATAGCATCTTGACAAAGTCTGCATCCTGTCCATGAAGCTGTTTGCTGAATTCAAGTCCATTGATGAGTTCCTGCTCTAGATATATAAGAAGACCATGTTAGAAGCTGTCTCGTTCGACTCTGTCGCACGCGCCCATGTAAACGGCGATCGTCATAATGCTCCATTCATGTAAGCTTATACCTTCACTGGTCGTCAGCATGTTGTTGGAGATCATGATATCGAGGGCATCGTAGCACTTGACATCAATCCTGAGCGCTTCCTTGAAACACTGCTTTGCCACATCGATGTTGTGCAGATTCTTGAACACGATACCTCTCAAAAAGCACATCGACGCCTCCAGCTAGTCCAGTTGAGAGAGGGTAATACGATCCAGCATGTTAGCCTTAAATGTTCGCTTCGAAGCTTCAAATATCCAACAAACACGTATTTTTGATTGTATAATTACTTTGATTCCTCCTTCGCCGCTGTTGGATTGTTGGCTGTCAGAAACCTCGCTCTTGATCAAAAACTGGTTCTCTTCTCCCAAATATTCCAATGCTTCCTGCCACGTTTGCGTTCGAATCTATTGGTATTTCAATATGTTAATCCATGGCCTTCAAGTTTGGTTTGTGATACAAAGACACCTTGCGGACGAAATTGACCTTGCCTCCACATGACATATGAAGTTCACTTGATTACTTACCAAGCATTGCACCGCCAGGAATCGACACGCGACGGACGACTCGACCAAGTTCTGCTTCTTCAAGAGGTTGATCGCGCGGCCATACTCTCCCATCAAATAATACACTTGAGAGAGCCAAAACACATCGTTTGAGTCATCTATGAGTCCAGCATTTGATTAGAGTCAGAAGCCAGGTCAAAATAGATAGGTCATATAACCACAGAGCAAACTCCAGCGCATCAGTGCAACTTACCAGTAATGCTGAGGACTTTGTCTCCCCAATAGGCTGCAGTTCTGTACATATGTTGGTGCATAGCATCTGTCCGCCAAGCCCGCATACTGCCAACCGTATCCAGTTCCCGATCCTGGTCCCGATCCAAATACCGAGACCGATTCGTCTCTTCAGGTGCAAAGAAGTCGACCGCGCTTGTGTGGCCATCGGCATCGAACACTCCATAGTCTCCATGTCGATCAGCAGATAGTGGTATATCGCTTCTCCCAGAGCCCGGTATAGTTGACAGGCCAGAGCCAAAGATTGACCGTATCCCGCTTCCTGTTCCAGGAGCACTGATCGCTGTGAAGGGGCCTCCTGCGGCAAACGCACTTGACGTAGAGGCAGCACTTCCGTAACCTTTGACTGGCGATGGCAACGAGATATCAAGCCAACTCGCCGGCGACTTTGCAAAAGGCGATGGGATCACGCGCATATTTTGATTAAACGAAGAATGCGCGTTGTTTCCTGGAGTGGCATGTGCTTTTCTCGTCAACGCATTCGGTGTCCGCTGTCCTGCACCAAGTCCTCCTCCTGCTGACGATGATGGTCCACCAGGCGATAGGTCCACCAGGGACGCTATTGCATTGTTGAAGCTGCTGTTACCTGTTCCTGGTCCGTTTAGACTTCCGTTGGCACTGGTGGTCCGGGTAAGATTGAACTGTGGGAGCGTTGGACCACGATCGGCGCGCGGTGTAGTGTTCGAGGCTGTTGAAGAGGCAGATCCAGGAGTAGCGCCACCACCACCAGGTGTTCCAAAGCTAGTCCGATCGTTGTATCCTCCACCTCCACCGCTTCCTCCAGCTGACGGCCGTGTCGGAGTAGTGTAGCTGGTGTTTGGTGAGGTGGCCATGCTCCACGTTCCTGATCCATGGCCACGTCCGTGAGTTGGTGTGTGCCCGTGAGCTTGACTGGAACTTGCTGCACCGGGGGTTTGATTATGGCTTGGACCTGGCGTGGAGCGGGTTGCCCTCAGACGAGAATTATAGTTGTTATTGGGAGTCTGAAAGGCTGGTTGGTTGGTGTCGCTGTGGGTGCTGGTTTGGCGTTGTCTAGTATTGGGTGTGGTAGGCTCGGCGCCATGGGAGCTGGTCCCTATGCTCGGTTGACGTGTCCGTTTGTTGGGGGCCATGGGGTGAGACGATGAGGGGGAGTGTGTGTCCCTCGAGCCTCTTTGTCCTTGTTTATCGACAGTGGTGTTTGTTGGTGATGTCGAGGTGGCAGTGGTGGGGTTGAATGCGGATGCAGGTTTGTCGCGAGTGTGGAAGAGAGAACAAAAGGAACGAAAGAAAAGGCTGGCTAAGTGTGGTGGTGGTGGACAGGGTGGTGACAAAATAGTGGCGGAGCAGTCACGGCTGCCTCTTGCACTGCATGTCAGGAACAGTATCTTGCAGGAAGGAGGAGGAGGAGGGTCCGGAGAGAGACTTTTTACTCCACATGCCGAGTGGAGATATGCGCACATGGACAAGCATTCACATCAACTCATACGAGAGATACAGAAGTGGCAAAGGGAAATAGCTTTTGCCGGTAGCGGTATCCGTGGATGCATGGGCAATGGAAGGAGGGTGAGTCACTTGGGACATGTCCGCTTTATCCACAAAATGTAGAGTGAGCTAGCGAGCGGACACAAAAAAAAAAAAAAGACAAGCAAAAGAAGCACAGAGATTGATATCGTTGAGATGGCGCGATCAAACGTCGTTTTGTGAGACCCATTTATTTGTTGTTGTTGTTGTTCCCTTTCTTTCGTTCTTTCTCTTTTTTTTTTTTCGTTTCTTCATTCATAACTTGCACACTTCCTCTCCACTCTCGCCTCGGACACGCGGATACCGTAATATCATCCACACCTACCTCCCTTCACACCAAACTATCACATTTATACGCACCAATATAAAATGACTTCCACAGAAAACATCCAAAAGGTCCCCGCCATCAAGTCGACCATGCACCCCATCCTCAAGAAGCTCGCCCACGACCCACAATCATTCACCACCGAAGACGCTACCATCGCCACAAAAGAGATCATGGAAGGGCGTGCCACCCACGCCCAGATTGGCGCCTACCTCTTTGGCCTCAAACTCAACAAGCTCGATGCTGAACCCGCCATCGTCGCCTCTTGCGCAATCGAAATGAGCAACCACGGCCTGCCCATTCCCTTTGACAACTACTCGCATCTCCCCGAACAGCTGGTCGATATTGTCGGAACTGGAGGAGATGGACATGATACCTTCAACGTCAGCACCACAGCCGCCATCGTCGCTGCCGGAGCTGGAGTCAAGGTTGCAAAGGTAAGGAAGAGCACTTGCAACGGAGTGAGCAATACGTACGATACTGCATGACACATACAGAGAAAGATAATTAAGATAAAGTTATCTATCAAGGACGCTATGATCGCCTTCCTTCATCCATGGCTTCTCCAATTGACACTCCTCCTAATTCACTTTTGTCTACCTCTTAATGAAAAAAAAATAGCACGGTAACAGAGCAGCTTCGTCTGCTTGTGGATCGGCCGACATTCTGGAAAAGATTGGCTGCAGGATTGACAATGTCAAGCCAGAAAAGGTTGCAACCCTGTTGGAGGACCATGGATTCTGCTTCCTCTTTGCGCAGACCTACCACCCCGCCATGAAGAACACTAGCATCCCCCGCAAGGAATTAGGCGTCCCCTCCATCTTCAACCTCATGGGTCCCCTCAGCAACCCTGCCAAGCCCAGGAGAGTCGTCGTCGGTGTCCACTCCAGAGGGCTCGGAGCTCTTATGATCCAGAGTTTGAAGTTGATGGGTTTGATTGCTGGTATGGTCGTCTGTGGCGCCAATGGATTAGACGAGATCAGCCCCGAGGGCGAGACTCATGTACGTATTCATGCATCATTCTTCATGGTCGTTTTTTAGGACAATCTCGGAGATCAATTGATTGTTGTTGTTGCTTGTCTTTCTTTGAGCGACCAGGCTGGATGTAGAAACGACAGATTTCTAGTCATTTTCAATTTTTTTTATATGTGACTCATGACTGACCTGACCCATATGCACATCCTCAATCAACGTTAATTATTATATAGGTCTGGAAGTTGGTTGACGGAGAAATCATCGAAGAGGACATCTCACCCGCCCAGTTCGGTCTTCCCTCCCACCCATTGACAGCCGTCAAGGGAGGCGGGCCCGAAGAGAACGCTGCTATCCTCGACGACTTGCTCAACAACAAGTTCAAGTCCCCTGGTCACCCCATTCTTGACTTTGTCCTCCTCAACGCCGCTGCACTCTTGGTCGTTGCTGGCAAGGCTGATAACTTTGAGGATGCCGTTGTCCTCGCAAGAGAGTCTGTCGAGAGTGGGAAAGCTCGCTTGGCCTTGGAGGGATTCAGGCGCGATATTCAATAAGGGATCCTGTTGTCTTGTACCATATGACTTTCGACATCAAAAAATAAAAAACAGCGCCCTGCAATTCGCAACTCTTTGTCTTTTCTAACTTGTTAACAACCATTGCTGCGGTTGTCAACCTTCTTTTTAACTTTCAGGAGCTAGTCATTTGAGGAACATGATTGCTGCCAGGTTTATCATCGTTGGAGTAGCATCAATATCGCGACATGTAGAAAATGGACGCTGCTCTTTATTATTAGCAATAACGGAAGATGCAAAGGACGTTATGCCATGGTCTATGTCTCCTTGCCGTCCAGATTTCTGCTTCGTCCTCGCAATTTCTTGACGTCCCTACGTAGGCGGAGCCTCCTAAGAAGGAGACTCCGCCGCAAGGAAATAAAGAGAAATATGAATGAGGAAAGAGTTCCCAAATGTAGTAACTGAGTCAAGACGAACGAAAGAGAACGCCATCCATCACCAAGAGAAAAGGCCAGCACATTTAAGTCGCAAGTCAACCTAGCGACACCACCCCTCATCACCAAAAGTCCTTCTCTGCCAAAATAAATAGCGAAGAAACTAATGGCTATGGAAAAAAGGAAACAAGAACGGGCCAAAGCCAGGTTATGGTTTTCCTTCTCCAAGAAGCGTGGCTCCACATCCTCCCATGGAGTTGCCTTTCACAGAGCACCCCCTATCCCCAATGGCATTGGTCAACGATAGGGTCCCCGTCCAGTGATGTCAAGATGTAGAATGAAGAAAAGAAACTGCACGGTAAGAGAAAAGGATAGCACATTCAAGTCGCAAGTTCAACCTAGCAACACCACCCCTTCACCACCAAAAATTTGACCTTCTTGCCAGTTGACGAAGGGTTATCAAATTGGCTATGGAAGAAGAAGAAAACTGAAAAGGGTGTTTTCGTGTTTCTTCTCCCCCCAAGAAAGCGTGGCTCCACAAGCCCATGTTATATGGACTTTTCCTTTTCTCAAAGCACTCCCCCATCCCCATGGCTAGTGGCGATTGGGTGCCTCGTCGTTCCGTTGTTGTTGTTTCGCAGTTCTTTTTCAGTTCCTGAACGATCCCTTTCGTCGTCTTTGTGTATGTCTTTCCTTGCTTGAATAGTAGTCGTCATACCTTTGGCATCCGTCGTGTGTGCTGTGGATGTGTGGTTGGAGGTGGTGAAGAGACAAGGAGAGATGATCTTGTCTAGCCATGTTCACTTGACATTCCCAAGCCTCCTTGATAAAACCACGTGACAATTCGACTCGCCTTGAACGTCCTTTTTCATACTAACAAATAACAACCAGACGCCAACAACCACCGCTGACGACGATGAACGCGTTTCAAGTCAGGTATATCGAGGTCACACCGGGACAGGACATCTCGGCCAAAAACTGGGCAATGCTGTCTGATGCGACAGACGTCAACTCGCTGGAATCCGTCTGGACATCACAAGTCCTTTATTCCCTCCGCTCGTCGACCATTCAAGAGGACTTGGAGGCCTTTTCGCGACTTTCTCGACAAACGAAACGCGATCGAGCAGCGATCTTTCAGTCTGTGATAGTTGATGTATGTGTCGTCTGTGAGGGGTGGTAGCCGCAAGCAACCAGGAAGTATTGATCGTTCTAAATATTTTGATCAATATTACCTTAACAAGTCTCACTTTTTGTCGTAGATCAATCACCTACGAGCGCTCCGCCCTATCGTGTCCCGTCAGGAGATCGCTGTAGCGGAAGATCATACAGATGAGCTGGAGAGAACTCTGCTTCGGAAACGGAAACTGGTTGAGAATCAAGGAAGGCCAGTCAAGCGTGTCCTCGCGTCACCGCCCTCTTCAACTACATCCATCTCGGCCACATCTATATCCACCTCCTCTTCGACTACTACCAGTACAGCCACCTCTTCCGATAGTTCACTTAAACCAGAGACAACAGAACCAGAATCGACGACTGGGCACCCCATCCGCAACAAAGGTACTTCTCGACCGCCTGTGGACTCACCCAAGATTCTCTCTTCGGGTGCCCTGTCTGCGTTTGAGAAACAAGCAGCACAGAAGGGAGATGTTTGGACCTTGAAGACCGGGACCGTTGTGGACGATATTATTGTTGAGTACACACGGAGTTCAAAGACAGAGTCAGCAGCACACTCGTTCATCTTTGATACGTCCAACCTTGATCTGATGGAACTGTTTTCGGAGGAGGAGCAGGATGAGATCCTTGCACCCAAGAGACCTGCACCAGAAAACGACCCCGACTTGGTCCAGTACTTGATGACTTTCAACCACCCCACTATGAGCAAGCTACGGACACGGCTACGCAACAACGATGCCGACCAAGTGGACGACAACAAGGACCACCTGGTGACCGACCGACGATGGGTATACAAGACCGTCTTGGGGATGGCAGATGTCTTTGACGGATCTCGACGGCGATACCGACAAGTCCAAACCGAGCGATGGTTAGAACTCCACCTGTGGCGACTGATCGACGAGTACGTCTTTGACCATCCAGACATCCAGTTAGTCCGTGGAGAATCGACAAGTATGGCGAGCACGTTCAGGAAAAACGGTACTGGTCGAGGAGGCTCGGAGCGGAAAAAGATGGGTCGCAGGATCGACGGTCTCTACTTGAGCTGCCATCAAGACATTGAACTTGGCGGGATCGAACTCGGTATGGACGAACAGGACGCAGTCGGGACAAAGTATCAATATGACGGACTCAAGTTACAAAAGTTGTTGAAGGATCAATTGGACTATGCACTCCTCCACTCGACAGCGTCCAAGGTGGATTTTGAGACACTAGGACTACAGCTGTCGGGGAGGACTATGCAGGTTCTAACGATGGACTGGGTCGGTGGCAAGTTCTACCGGTTTAGGAGAGACGACCCTGAGAAGTTACCATTGGACGCGTCGAATATCTCGGATCTTTTGGTGGTCATGTCGACGATTATGAGGTTTCATGCACGGATGCAAGAGAATGCTGCAAGACCTGGGTCGGTTACGTCTGAGGAGCTTTCGTCAAGGCTCTTGGGGTCATCCCCGAGCACGCCAAAAAAGAATCGTCATCGACCACTCCCTACTGCGGTCAGTCCATCATCTAGCCAGCAAACAAGGCCATAAATAAAGTAATAGTGTTATTTATCGTTGCTTCTCTTGATGTTGTAGAACGGAGGGTGGCGTTGCTGTCAGGGTGGCGGAGCAGATGTAAAAAAGTGCCTGGGTGACGATGAAAAAGAGAGAGGCGATATCACTTTATTTGGGTACAAAAGGCATCTGTGCCCTTTCCCTTTTTTCCTTGCATTCACACTTTTGATTCCTCTACATCGCATTCACCACCCTCATCACTCTCCATCAACCACCCACCTCCCCTCCATACACCTCGCTTTCATCCTACCCTCCCTCCACCAAAACACACCATCTATGGCGACAACAGAACGCAAACATGTCACCATATCATCCCTCCCCCCAGAACTAATCGCCCAAATTGCCCTTGGTCTCCAACACTCCGACCTACTCCACTGCACACTCACCAACCGAGAATGGCACCTTATCTTCACCCCACAGCTCTGGCGGTTCATCAAGACCGACCTGTGCACGCATACGCTCCTCAAGCCTTCAAGAATAAATTCAACACTCCCCACCTTGCAAAAGTTTAACGCCTCGATTGCGAGTGGCGGATTGGTTGAGAACGGACACTTGGTTGAGGCACTTCATCTTGGGTACTATGAGGTCCTTGAGTTGTTGGGGCCTTCTACTTCTCTTTCAGCTGGTTGTAGAAAAGAAGTAGAGGTAGCTGAAGCAGGATCGGAGACGGCAGAAAAGCAGCACACCGACGACAACGACGGCAAGAACATCAAGGACGACAAGAGCGCCAGGGAAGAGAACGGCAGCTGCGATCGACAGTCAACGAGAGAATTCATATCCATGTGCACAAACCTGCTTAGACTCCACGTCGGTTCTGGATTCGACCCGGCAGACAGGAACTTTGGCACCATGTACTCAGCAACCTCCTCTGCCACCGCCACCGCCACCACCACCACCACCGCTACCACCACTACCACCACCAGAACCCCGTCTGCGGCTGGAAACGCTTTTGCCTTTGGCACCGCTACCCCTGCATCTGGAACCATTGCACCATTGTTTGGAAACACATCTGGTTCCGCTGCAGGCACCACGGCGAACTTTGGGACTATGTCTGGCTTCGGGAACACCACCGCGTCTGGAACCGAGGGGAGTAGTTTTGGATTCGGTGCAGGTACAGCTACATCAGGAGCCCGTGCCAGCACTTCTGGATCCGGCGCCAGTACTTCTGGATCCGGCGCCAGTACTTCTAGCTTTGGAGGCACGTCTGAGTCCGGAGCCAGCGGTTCAGGCTTTGGAAATAGCACCAGTACCGGCTTTGGCAACAGCAGTACCTGGGGCTTTGGCACCACCAGCAGTGCTGGCTTTGGCAACAACAGCAGTGTCGGGTTCGGCGGCACTACTTCTGGCTTTGGTAGTACTACGTCGGGTTTCGGGAGCACCACCACGGGAGTTGGAACCGGTACTTCTGGATTCGGAGGCGGAACTAGTTTCGGTGGCGGCACCACTTCCAGCTTTGGTACCGCAACCTCTGAATCTGGCAGTGGTACATCTGGAAACGGCACCACCTCGGGCTTTGGGAGCACGTCTGGATTCGGTGGTAGCACCACGGGTAGCCTTGGCAACAGCAGCGGTACCACCTTTGGCTTAGGAAGCATTGCCTCTGCCTTAGAAAGCATTACCTCTGGATTCGGCACTACCGCTGGCTTCGGAAGCACAACCTCTGGATTCGGCACAACCGCTGGCTTCGGAGGCACAACCTCTGGCTCTGGAAGCACCAGTGGTACCACCTCCGGGTTTGGGAGCGCCATTTCAGGAGTCGGTACTGGTACTTCTGGATTCGGAGGCGCGACAGGATTTGGCGGCAGCACCACCGCCACCACTACCACTACTGGATTCGGCGGCATCACCTCTGCCTTTAGTACCCCCACCTCTGGATTTGGCAGTGTCACATCTGGAATCGGCACCACTTCGGGCTTTGGAAGCACGTCTGGATTCGGCGGTGGCACCATATCTGGCTTTGGGATTGGCGCCAGTAGCACGACTCTTGGACCCGCCAGGGCCTCGGGCTTTGGCAACACCGCTGGATTCGGCACCGCGTCTGGATTTGGAAGCACCTCTGGATTCGGAAGCACTGGTGGCATTGGTGCCACAACCTCTACAGTTGATGGGTCAGAGTCCCTCACCCTCAATGCTCCGATTCCTGCTCTCTCAACCGATCCCACCCCCACCGTGCTGTCTGGATCTGCGTCCGGAGCTACGGCATTGGTCACAGGAGCCACAGCCATGACCCCATTCGGCGCGCAACCTACATTTACCCCAGACGACAACAACACCTCATTAATCCTCGCAAGTCCACCAGCTGACATCAACACCTGGAGAATCAGGCCCATCCCTGCACAGCGAAACCAACTCATCGACCACCCTATCGACCTCTCCTTCCTGGTCTCGCTTCTCCATCAGAACAACCAGCTTCGGCAGTTGAGTCTCAAAGGGCGGCTTTTGGATTACTTTGGTGGCGTGGTTGGAGATCTTGCGGATGTGTTTAGTGTCTTGCCAGCCAGTCTTGTCAGCCTGAGGTTCAATGGGTTCCGGGGCTCGTCGTTGAATCCGATGGCGAGACTTACTGCTGAGCAACGGAGGGCTATCGAGGAGAAGGAGGAAAAGGAGGAGAAGGAAGGGTCATCTTCTCGACGGCGTCGTCGATGGTCGCCACCTCTGCCGTCGCCACTACCAAAACCGCAGACTCTACACACTCTTCGAAAGATCCGGATCCTCTCTTGTCGAATCAGGGATTCACTTTTAGTCTCCCTCTTCGAGAGAAGTCCTAATTTGCAGTCACTCCGCATAGCCGCCGCCAAGAACCATGTCATCCGCGCCGATATCACAACCGCTCTTCGAAACTCTTGTCCACGCCTCAATGAGCTCATTCTGTCGGGGGAGCTAGGAACTGATGAGGATCTTGCTCGGATGATCTCTGCTAGCACGGCCGGGTGGGTCACCCTCGCGATCCCGGCCCTGAAACCCTATCTGTTCGATCTCTATGGGCCTACTCACAACGAGGAACCACGATCGCCCTTTGGACCGCTTTCGACGGCAGCCTTGTTCGAACACGCGTCAACGCTCGAGAACTTGCTGATGGACAAAAGCCCAGGATTTGTGAGTCGGGATGTTCATCGACTCCTTTGTTCTGCCCCTCGACTACGCCGGTTGATGCTCATGTCCCTCGCCTATCAAAGTGGAAACGGTGCTTACCTACATGCCCATGATCTGATGGATATTTCTAAAAGTGAGCAACAGTGGGCATGTCGATCGCTTGAAGAGTTCTCCTGCGAGATCGTTGGTGTGCCCCGACCTGACATAGGGCTCGAAGTCGCGGCCCTGGTCGATCCACTGACCCCGCACTTACAATCGGCTCTGGAAGCAAGCTACGCAGTCCATCGGAAGATCTACAGTCGGTTCGCACGGCTCCCTCACCTCAATAGGCTTGTACTCGGGAAAGGGCAATCGGGCGGCGCGTCCAGTGTGCATAGTGGATCGTATCTCTCCATGTCGCTCGAGAGTGGCTTGAACATCCTAGGTGACTTGAAAGAGCTTCAGACTGTCGACTGTGACGAACTCACGACAAAATTCTGGACGGATCCTGTTCAGCAGTGGGCAAAGGACCATTGGCCGCAATACAACAAAAAGGGTGATCAACATCAACCTCTTTATACGTTTTGGCAGCTGGCTGGGTGTTGGGATACGGGGGTTTCTACCATCGATGATCCCTTTCATGACTTCATGTAACACTTTTTCCTTTTATTTTCTTGTAATACAATATCATTTTTTTCTCTCATTAATAAAAAAAAAAGTGCATTAGTTTTTATTTTTTATTTAGCTGTGGTGGGTCAAGGTCTTTTCGCGATTTGCAACATTATTTTCCTTGGGCCTGGGCTTTTCTCTCTCACACAGGAATAGTTCTCGCACGGGCACGTGAATAGACGCCGACTTCTTCCTGGCAGTTGGGACAAGAATGGATAATATCCTTGCAGGAGGTCATGCACAGTGGGAACAAGCAGCATCCGCACGATGTGATCCCTGCAAGACACAACGCCAGTATCCCAATGTACGTGCAGGATCCTAACATGATTTGAAAGAAAAAGAAAAAAAAAAACAACATAAATAAATAACAGTAGCAGGAGAGAAGGGAGAAGAGATGGAGAAAAAAAGACAATGTGAACCGTATCCCTTATCCCCAACCAAATTTTACATATGGAGATGAGTTCTCCCAACTGTATGTTGTGTGTTACTGAACGAAACAGATAGGATATGAGATGAGATGAGATGCAACAAACGTAATCTGTTCTTACCATTCTCGGTAGAAGTCTCTGTCAGGACAAGGTGATGACAACAAGGACAGACCACAACTCCAGCTTTCGTCTTCAGGTCCTCGATACGTGTCGGGGGTCTTGCGAGAACCAACGGCGACGTTGCTACTGGAGCTGGTCCCAAATACCGTTGGGCCTGAGGCGACTGTGATACTTGATGATGTTGATGTGGATATGGTTGGTAGTATGGCTGGTGCTGTGGTTGCTGCTGCTGCTGCTGCTGCTGTTGATATTGATAAGAGCTTTCATGTGTCGGTATTGCCTGGTACGGTGACTTTGGCTGGTGCTGCTGATGGAACTGGTGGTGTTGGTACGGCGACTGCGGTGTTGAAGGTGAAGTAGTCTGTGATTGAGTAACCTGCTGGTTGTGTAACTGGGGATAAAGTCTTGGAGTCGCCGAGGAAGAACCAGCAGAGGGAGAAGGGGCAGGAGGAGCAGATGGTCCAGTGTGCTGATGGGCGCCTTGGTGGGGTGAAGATAAGTAAGGCGACGAGGGTGCTTCTGAGGTCAGGGTATATGGAGGTGGTTGTGAAGCTGGGTCGTCTTGGTCCTGCTCGTAACCGTGTCCGAGAGGGGAGTATCCATTTGGGTTCATTGTGCTGGGTTGTTGGTTGGTTGGTTGGCTGTGGGTGAGGGTGAGTGCGGAATGAGTTGTTGCGTGTGTGTTGGCAATGAATGAATGAATGAGAAGAGAAAAGGAAGTGGAGAAGAGTGCAATGGTGTGACCAGGAAGAGATCTCCTTTTTCTGGAGAGGAAAATGGTCAGGCGCCTGCCCTTCCCTCGTTCATGCTCTCCCACGGAATGCAGTCACTTTTTTATGTCAGGTTCTTTATTTGATCCATGTACACTGTACGACAAACACAACGCGAACGGACAATGACCCGTGCTTTGCAAACACCTTCCCAACGACAAGATAAACAAACATGCCTTCTGCTTTCATCACTGCTCCACTAGCGTGTGTTCTTGAACCACAATCTATTGAAAGTGCGATATTTTGTAAGCATACACAAAAGACTAGTCAACAAAGATCTACCAAAAGAAACCCATGGTGAATAGGCATGAGAGCATGCCTGATTCAATGAATGCAACTTTCGGTTGGAACCTTCGAAGAAGAAAAAAAAGTTGCTGATGGTGCTTTTTAACTAAACCTTAGTGATCGTCGCACTTTTTATGAACGCGAAACAAACGCGTTTGACTCTTTTTGGGAAATAGCATTGATTTTCGCTTATGCTATGAGTGTTGAGTGTTGTTCTATCTTCTCCTCCCTCTTTCTTTCCTTTGTCTCCCTCCCCTCCCCTCCTCTCCTCTCTGCTCTTCCTTCTTCGCAGGTCGACCCATTCTCTCATTCCTCTCGTTGTACTTATTCCTCTCGTTGTTCTCATTCACCGTCTTCCGTCCTTTCACTCGTCGCAAACCCATCCCTCAGTCACCATACACTTCACGTTTGCCATGTGCTTTTTTGCTTCTTCCAAATTCATCAATTCATCATACATACATCCCTCATTCCAACACACATTCACCTTAACTCCTTTTTATTTCGTCTCATGAACTAAGACACCAAGGAAATGAGGTTCGCACAATGGCCAAGGGCCTATTTCCCTCCACAAAGTCACGGAGCCAAGATGAAAAAGTAAAAGGACCTTCAGGACGTGTTTGATTTCATACAAGGGTATTGTGTTTGATCGTTTTGGCGTTGACCCGAGACAAACGCGTATTTATCAATGATCAATGATATGATGGCAACGCGTCTTCACCCACCAGGATAGACAGGTATAAATTCCCCCTCTCTCCCCCCACATCTTCTTTCTTTCTTTCTTTCTTTCTTTCTTTCTTGTCTCTTTCTTCTTTCTTTTCGCATTTTCTTTCCTTCCTTCTTCTTTTTCCTCCCATTTTCCTTCTTCCTTTCATTCTTTCTTTTTTTTTCTCTGCCCTTTTCTTCTATCGTATTACACTCATAATTTTCTTATATCTTACTATCCCGGCTTGCCCACACGCTCTCGCCTCGACCTACGTGCGACTCAAGAACCTCCAAGGACCGGCATCTTCACCAACCAACGCCCGCCAACATTACCAATCCACCCCACCGCCTTCGGAATAAGGGGGAAATAGAAGAAATGAAGGAGGAGGCGACATATGGGTAAACAAGTACCGAAGAGGGCTGCAGGAGCCAACAATAGAGAATTTAATAAAGGGAGGTAACTATGAATGAACATACAAAGAAGGAAGCGAACCCTCACTATTTGCATACACACAGTGCAAACAGGTGGTGGATGTCTTAACCTTCAAGGGGAAGAGTCCACACGTCATCCAGACACCGCGCTTTTCATTTCTTTGCGCCTTGTGCACACACAAACAATGACCGGCACAATAAATGAACACCACCATCATCACCAATCGAACGCCTTCCCTCCATGATTTTGTTTCCCACGGGAATTAGAGGGAATTTGTCTTGAATACCTTTATGATTTTTCAGCTGTGTAACCGTCGTTTCTCTTTTGTGCACAGACAACTCCTTTACCTTTCTCAAAAAAAAAAAGTGGACCGGTGGGTTGAAGTCTTTCACCTGCAATAGTCCAAAAGACAAGCCCGAACTCCTTCATCTGATAAAGCGAAGGAAGGGAGGAGGAGAGCCACAAATGAAGGATAAGAAAGGACAAGGACGCCTTCTTGATCACATGTCTTCCCGATACTCTCATATGCATAAAAGCACTGATGTTGGTCATTGCCTCAAAGCGGAGGAGAAAAATAAGAAAGGTTTATTTTCGTGGTCCCTACAGTATGTTAGTCGACACGAGAAATAATAATGGCTATTGTTGCATACATCACCACTATGTCCTTTTAGACCTCCTGTCATGCATTGCCTCGTCGCGTGATGTCGTGTCGTGTCGTGTCGTGTCGTGTCGTGTCGTGTGGTGGAGTATCTATACCAAAAGTAAGGGATACAACCCTTGACGATGCCATAGTCCCTGAAGGGACACATTTACTAGTCCCGACTTGGTCCCTTTTTTTGCCTCCTTTGCTTTTTGTCTGGTAATGTAAACATGCCATTCCGAAGTAGATGCGCATCATTGCACATAAACTAGGCAAAGAAGGCATATCGTCCTTTTTTTATTCTTCCATTCCTTCCCAGCCCAAGGATGCCGCCTCGGTTCTATTTTACCTTAACCCTCCTTCCCTTCCTCCTTCCTCGATCGCCACCATCTATGCACTAGTTTTTTTTTGGTTTGTCTATCTTTGTGCATGCTGTTTCCTCCATCTTTTTTTCTGCTTCCTTTCTTCCTTTTGATCCCCACTCTTGTTGGGGTTATTCCTTCTTATCAATTTTTACTGCCCCTTTGATTTGTACTTCGCCGTCCTTCTCTCTTTGCCTCTTCCCTCTCTTCCGTGTCCCCTCTCTCCGCAATGACGCTCTTTGTTCTCAAAATCAAAGGACTGGCGTGGCCCCTTAGTTTTTTTTTGTTTGTGTCTGTTCCCTTGGTTTCTTTTTATTCGCTCACACGACCCCAACAGGTCTTCTTCTTCCTCACCTCCATCTCCTCGATTTCACTTCCTCGTTCTATCCCTATTGCAGGCAAGCATATTTTTCCCTCTTTCGTTTACTTTTGATCTCCTTTATGCTGTTTTTCCTTTTCTTCCGTCACAACGCGCGGCCCACACTCTTTTTTTGTCATCGCGTTTGAGATTCCCTTCTTGTGCTGTTTGCTGATAAGGGTGTACTAGATATTCTCCCAGTCCATCGCCAGTCTGCCTTTTGCGTGTGTCTTTGCCTTCTACTTTTTCACGCTATCTCCATCTCAGTTCTTATTCCCAGGTAGACAAACAAGATCTCCTTTCCCGTCAGCTCTTGAACCACAGACCCCACGCATATCCTACCATCATACAAAGCGCGAAAAGGACAAGTTCGAAAAGTCCAGAACATTACCCAGGTTCCTGCATCTTTTTCTCACTTATTCATTTTGCCCTGTCTTTCGTTTGCCTTTGCCTGGAACCTCCTTCATCAACCCCTTTCCTTCGCCCCTGTCTTCCCTTCCTCTTGGGGTTTCTTCTTGCATATTATATCTCAATCCCCCCCTAGGAAAGAAAGCGAATTTTTTTTCCTGCGTCTTTCGGATGCTCATCTTCAATGTGTTGAAAACTGTTGTGGTCCTTCTTTTTCACCTTCCCTTTGCTTTCCCTCTTGTACTCTTGATTTTATGTACCTTGCTTTTCAAGCACTTCTTTGTCCCACCCACCCACCTCCTCGCACCGCACAGTCCCTTCCACGCCGTCCTCTTCGACCTTACCTAAAAAAAATCAAGGGAGGGAGTAGAAATTTCTTTAAAACGTCCACTCTCTATCCCGTTCTTTTCTTTCATCTTTTCCTTCCCGCGCAGTCCAACCCATTCTACACAACCTCCTTCGTCACTCCCACCCTTTCAGCTCACTCCCCCCACCACAACAATGCGTCCCACAACAACAACTCCAAAAAGTCCGCCACTCATCCTCATCCTCATCCTCGCCCTCCTCTTCTCCTCTACAACCACATCAGACGCTCGAGCGATATCACATAAGCGCACTCCAGACTCAAACGATGATAATGGCGGTAGCAACCCCTTGGTCGTATACCCACCTGGCTATAACCCTGACCACATACTGTACCCACCCGACAAGGTCCCCGGACCTCTCCACACCGACAACAAGCGGCGAAAGCGATCCGATACCCAACTGAGGGCAGAGGCGGAGGAAGGGACGGGGGCGAGGATTGAGAAACGAAGCCTCTTCTCACGTCTCTTAAACTCCAATCTTCTCCACCGTCGACCTACCATGCGCCACCTCTACAACCTCAACATGGACGACGACACCAATGGTGACACCAATGATGGAGGGGCGGAGAGGTATGCGTACTGGAACGCAGAGGAAGAAGAGGAGGAGAGGATTGACGAGGAGGATGACTTGGAACGACGTGTTGGGATCTATGAGGATGACGATGACGAAGGGTTTGAGGATGTAGGGATCGTGAATCAAGTTATCAGAGGAACTAGTACCCCTCTTATCATTGAACCGTTTATCCGCCACCCTGCACACGGTAGCAGTCTCTTCGACACAGATATCGGCAGCGGTAGCAATGGCAACGACCGTGCTGGTGACCATGACGAGAAGATCAGTTACGATGACGACGGTGATGATGAAGAAGACTTGGATAGGATCCGAGCCAGTCAGCCCTGGTACCTACACCAATATACATCATCCTCCTCTCCAAAACACCACAACGACAAGAACAATGACGACGACGCTGATATCATCGAGAGTCAGATCTGGATAATCGACGAATGGGACGAGGACTTTGATGGTGTCGAGGAGACGATTGACGACTTCATCGATTGGATCGATGACCTCGACCATGTCCGTGCGCGTTCTGCTGGTGATCACTCTGGCAACAACTTCCCTCTTTGGCGTCTCTTCTCATGAAAACGCACCGTCTGCTAAGGAAGAGGAGGATAGACTTACAATCTTTGTACATACTATACATATTTGAACATAACAACAGTCTCACTTTTTTCTTCTTGCAAAATATAGCTCCTCATAATGTTTTTTTATGTTCATCAGTTTAGCGCTACGAAAGGAGGTCATAAAGAAAACAAGAGCATAAAAAAAAGGGTGGAGCAATTGAAGGGCAAAAGTAAAAGAACATGAGAGGTGAAAATACAAAGAAAGAGTCTAAATGGTAATAGTAATAATGTAGTTGTAGTGTAGTAGGTGATAATGTTATACAATGCAAGAAAGAAAAAGTAAAAAAACAACTCCTTCAAGCGGTTCCTTCAGGTGCTGCAGTAGTGTTGGTCCCACAGCAACAGAAGCTGTTGACGAGGTCAACAATACCCAACCGCATCCTCTCAACCTCCTCCTTCAAGACCCGGTGCTCGTCAACACCATTGTTCACAAAGGCGACCTTACGGAGCTGCTCGAATTCACGGCCGACCTCACCTGGTAAGGTCAGGAATAAGGTGCTGGGAGAACTCATAAGGAACAAGGTCCCAAACACCAGAGCCCCCTCATGCTGCTGTCTTGCCAGTCTGGCTTCCTGTGACTGCGAATCGTCTCCTGAGAACACAGGAGCCGGGAAGGCGGAGGAAACGAGCGTGTACAGCTTGGTCGAACGGATCGATTCAATCAACTCGGTGGTGTCCCGGAGACGATGTGCCTGCTGTTGACTGATCCAAAACGCATACTCGCGGGGGACTCCTTGGAGGACAACGGAGATCATCCGGTTGAGGGTCTGGGGGTTGTCAATCTGCATCCTGCTGGGAAGGTCCTTGCAGAATGTCTGTGCCAACGAAGTCCAGCTCATCTTGTTGTCGATCGTATGTGCTGTCGTATTGCTCAAGGTAGCTGCTCCTGATGAGCATGTGCTGACGGGTGTAGTAGTTGATGCTGATGCTGCCGTCGCGTTCTTGGCATCCCCAAGAATCTCCTCTGCTGATGGTGCTGTTGCTGTTCCTGTACTGTTCAAGTTGAGTTTCTCCAAGTCCTTTGCGGTCGCTGTCAAGGTGGACGATGCAGTTTTTGGGATCTTGCACAATGAGATAGCGGGCTGGTCGGGGTTGGCTGACAGGAGAAAGTATCCACGAGAGGATCCCGTTTCGGCGTCAACAGGGAACAACGACTGCCAGAGCTTCTCGACCGAGACAAAGTACGATGGGTACTTGAACCGGGCAGTATCCAAGACCAGAACCATTCCTGCCTCGGGAACATATCCACCAATGGGGCTAAAGTCAATTAGGCAAAAACAAATGCATGATTAGATTTCAGTTGATCATGCAGCTCCCGATCGCATAGAAAAGAAGATGCTGTGGTTAAAATTACCTGAAGTGGCCATCTCCAGTCTGTCCAAGAGCCTTCCTCGAGAAGGACACAACCATATGGATATCATCTCGACTGCAGACCATCTCCAGATCTTGCTTGAACTGCTCGAGGGAGACCTGATTGGCACGGCGGACTTGCACGTCGCAATGGCACTTGCTCAGACAGGCAAATTGGTTGAACGTGATCCCTTTGGCCTTGACCTGTTCTGCTGGAGCACAGCATTCGAGCAACTCGTCGCTGTACCATCTCCAAGCGCCCTTCCATTGGCGCTGTGGGTCGACCTCCAACGAATTGAGCACCATCGCCAGTGAGCTTGGTCCACAATATGCAGGCTCGCTCTGTGTTGTGAAATTGCCTACTAGAGAGAAGTAGCCTTCACCTGTGCGCACATGAAGATAAAAAAGGAAAAAAAAGGAGGCTAAGTTAACGTGGATGAAAAAGGAGAAAGTAAAAGTGGCCGTGCCCTTCCATCCAACCTTCCAAAACAACAATAACAAAGGCATGCTAACAAAATAATAATTACCATATCCTTCGCTCAGCATCTCTCGAAACAGCTGCTTTCCTTCGGGACTGGTAAAACTGATGAGATGTTCAGGCAGCTTGCGGCGGTAGAAAGAGTTCTTCAAGTTCAGGTTATCGCACGAAGGCTTCTTGGCGGCTTGACCAGAGAGTCCAGTAGGGTCATACGAGAACGGGAGAGCAGCAGCAACGGCAGGTCGACTGTTCACGACCGCTGCAACAGTGGCTCCATTGACTCTTGAGTTCGAGGCTGGGCCACCCTTACGAACAGAGACAGCAGGTGCTGAGCAAGGAGTCGAGGGGACGGCGGGTGAGGCGACAGGCGCGCTAACGGTAGGCTTAGATGCGATTGAGCTTGTCGAGAAGCGGGCACCACCGCCTACTACTGCCACAGACGGGAGAGTGGGATTGCGGTGTTGGTGAAAGTGAAGGTGACGGTATGATTGGTGGCAGGGGCAGGATGGGCGGGTGGAGGGGGTGAGACGAGTGTTGTTGAGGGAATGGAGGAGACGGTTCTTTGTGGCGATCAAAGTGCGATTCGTTGCCATTGTGGATTAGATTGGGTACGTATAAGGTGAGACGGGTGTCGCGGATGCGAAGAGAAGGTAGAGATGTATGAGTGAAGGAGGAGAGAAGAAAGCAAAGAAGTGAGGAAGTGGGCGTGGGACAGGGAGAAGGTAAGTTAAGGAACGAAAAGAAGAGAAAGGGAAGGAAGTGGAAGATATAAAAAAGAAGGGCAATCGATAATGGGCGACTGAGGAACGGGTGCTCTTTTTCATTCATTCGACACACACGCTCACGGGTGGGTTCAGGCAGAAGAAAAAAAAATGGTATCAGACCAGAAGAAGAACGTGACCACGAAAATCATACGGGTGGCTTGGGATCTGATAAGCTCACACCTCCAAAAACCAGTTTTCTTATTCAATCTGATAAGACAGAGGTGTTTCCTCCCCATGCGCAACTGTACTTTTGAGTTTGAGGGCCTCGTTCTGGCTTCTTTGCGCCCATTGAACCTGAGCTGACCTCGAAACAGAAAAAAAAAGGTTTCAAGCACTAGCATATGTACATGCACCCATATCTTGCCAATCGACCAAAGAAAAGAGCCTACTTTTCATCATTTTATCTCTTACCCGACTTGTTCCTTCCTTCCTCTTTTCCTTCTTGCTTTCAAGTATCAGACCATTCATCCCCGCTTCCTTATTTACCCATTGTACTCAGCTGTTATGTTTGCTCTCACTATGGTTTTTTGCAGCCTCACTTCTTCTCAGCTCATGCACCTCCATCACCTCACTTTTCTTATACCTCATGACCCTGTCCTTCATTAAAACGAGAATCAACACAGGCACGTCCCTGTGTCCTCGTGTCCCTTGAGTTTTTTTTTGGACTCTAGTGCTGCACATATCTCAGCACAGGACACACAGTTCTGCAACTTCTGTTGGACTGCTTCCAAGCCCTCCCTTCCCCACTCTCTTTCCCACCACCACCACCACAGCTGTAGATAAAAAATTGCACGAGGGCAGCCAACAAAAATAGAGACTGTCGCATCATTCATTTCACATCCCGACCTCCTCACTTCCCCCTCGTCCCACTTTTATTTCGATCTGATAACCAAATTGTTCCAACCCACTAGGTTATTTGGTATTGTTTTACAGGGTCAACGAGCAAACAGATTTTTTTCAGTCGTCACTGTCAAAGGCCGCGTTCAAACAGAGGGGGTGGATTGCGCAGACAAAAGTTACATATTTAAGTACGGGCAGATATGTATGTATATGTGTATTTATATGTGTATGTGTATGTGTATGTGTATGTGAATGTGTGTGTGTATGTATGTGTATGTGTATGTCGTGTGCGTCTGCGTGTGCGTGAGAGAGAGAGAGAGAGCTTCCAATCGCATGGTTCAAACTTGTTTTATTTCCTGTAAAGCAATGGATTTTGCGTCCAATAGACTGCTTTTCTCAGTAAGCAAGGTGACTGGAGTTAAATGAGGATCGCATCATCCATACCCGTACCAGCGCCAGAGTTGCCCCCCGCTCCTGGTCCAGCTCCAGTTCCTGATCCATTGCCACCTCCAGCCGCTCCACCAGGTCCACCAGGTCCAGAAGGGGGTGATCTCGTCCCAGTCACAGATCCAGGACGACTGCTTACTTGCGACAGCTCTAGCCTGGCGCCTCTCGAAGGACTCGCGGCTCCAAACGGGGAAGTCGATCTTGCAGCCGCAGTGTGAGAAGAAGGTGGAGGGGGAGGCGTACGAGGGGCATTGGTGCCATTGCCGCCCGTTGCTGTGGTTGGAAGCTGTGATGCAGCACCAGCAGCCCCTCCAAAGAACGTGGACGATGATAACGCACCCGTCATCTCTGGACTCTTGTACCTGACTGGAATCTCTGGTCGTTTGGCGTTTGGCGATGGTGCTTGCTTTTGTGCTTGCTGCTGTTGCTGTTGTTCCATCATTTCCAGGGTCGCCCTGACACTAGGAGGGGATGCCATCCTGGGGAATCCGTCTTCTTGAGCCGCCCGAACGGCTGGGTTCGCAAGCAGCTCTCCCATCGCCACACTGAACTTTTTGAGCACCCGGGTGAGCTCGTAAAAGTATCCTGGTGAACGGGTGTCCTCCATTTCTGTCAATCGATCGTAAATTTCCTATTCGCCGGCAAATAAAAGGGTAATTAGCATTGTTATCCTGCCAGGTGTGGTTTATGACTTGTCAGAGGCGGGTTCATGGGCAAGAGACATACCTGGGGCTTGATATCGCCTGTGACCTCGCTTGCTTTGTTGTGGATGTAAACGCAATCAAAGAAGAACTTCCTTGTGACATGTAAAGCCTCCAGATACTAAGAGGAGCAAACGTACCAGCATCCAAGAGAGAGAAAAAAAAAAGAGTAAGACTTGCGGAGGTTAATCCTTGTCTCTGACATTAATTCGTCCACAGATTTCATATGGCGATTCGACTTTCAAGCACCTCTTTGTCTGGAAGGGTTGGTAGGACGTCGGACCGCGTGTAGATCATGATAGCTCGAACTGTTGGACAATCATTTGCGCTGATATCCACTTTCTGCAAACTATGCAACAACAAAAAACCGAATAAAGAAAAAAGTGGTGTTGTTAGGTCAAGTAGGGTGGGCGAGGTACAAGGCACGACTCCTGAGTCCATTGTTGAATTCTTACATCAACTCGAATAAGCTGGTCGAATCTAAGGTGACAAGAAAACAAGGAACAAAACGTCAGTACGACTATGACCTATTAGGCGTTTTACGGAACAAGCAAACAACGTCAGCATGCCACACGTGTACTCACCAAAGCTGGGAAACTTTCCCATCGTGTAGAGCTCATCGACTGCATGTTCAAGAAGAACAGTATCCGTTGTAAAATCCACATGCTAGAGATAAAGAGAAGCATAGAACTATGCGTCAGTCCAGCCTTCACGTCACTATCAAGTACGCAGCTCACGACGCCCCTCAGTTTAAGGACATAAGAGAACATACCCAGACGGCCTTCTCTCCCAAGATGATGACTGCAAACTCGTGTTCAGCGTTCCACTTTGACTTTTGCGCAATAAACCATTTCAGCACTTGCTTAGTCCTGTTGATTCTCGTATCGCTATGACAGTCAGAGGTCCAAAAGCAAATACGGCAATATATTAACAAGCGTCCTCCCCATGAAGAGCAGGTGAAGAGGTGGTGATTTTGGCGCACAGTTCCTGCTTACTTCAACTTTTCGCCAATCATGAAGTGCTCGTCCATCGAGAGGTCCAAGTCGATACAGAAGATCTATAAGCCCCAGCGAAAGAACGTCATAGAAGTGAGTCAGCTCGCCTGTCGAACGGTGCTGAAAAGGTCGGCGTTCGTGTCGTGGCACGGTATTGCTTTGAATTCCTTTGCATGCCGCTTACAATCTTTTCATTCTGGGTGGCCAAGACAGAGCGCGATCCGACATCCATGTCCATGTCCGTCGAGTGACTCTGTGCTTGTTCATCGAGCATCCTGATTCTTGTTGCTGTTGCTGTTGTGTGTGTAGAAGGTTGTTACATCAGAACACGCCAACAGAAAGCTTGGCTTTGTACATCTCGTGTTCAAAGGGAGGCGTGACTGGTCAAATAGCGCCACCAAAATCAAAAAAGTGTCGTTTCTTCGATTTTTATTTTATTTCGCCTTCCACGGCCTAAAGCTATTGCGAAGGTGTAGTTGGAGTGCTCGGCCTTGGCGATCCAGGGTTGGAGACACCAGCCTTTGCTCCCAATCTTCTTGCAGGATTGAGAAGAGGCTGGAACGCGAATTTCGTTCTATCGGTCAGATAAGTTAAGAGAGGTATCAAGTTAGTATTTTGTGCCTTCCAACGCCACCCGTTCATTGTTCTATGAAACATAAGCAGCAACACGAAACGCGACGCTTACCTGCACGTTGAGCAAACAGGAGAGAAGCTGCAGAAGACTATAGCGTCAGAAGTGTCAATGGTGCCAAAAAAAGGAGGCATTAGTGACCACGTCGCACCCCAACAAACAATTGTTGCCCAACGCATCAAAAAGTTGAAGATATGATACGTACTTGAGAGGCACACAGAACACACGAAACCAATATCGACAATTTTCTTGTGGCAGAAGCACGCCGCACGAAAATCGACTTGATCTTGTCCTGGCAGGTATAGGTAGCTCCTTGCAAACATATCCGGCAAGAAGGAGAACTAAAACGCGTAGAGGAAGAGAAATATTTAGCTCCGCATCCATTAAATGATTGGCATTCTGTTTTATTTTCATCCTGCGATAAACAAGGTCAGTCGTAGCTTACCATCAAGACCTGCAAGAGACCACGGGGATCGTTTGGACGCATGTAGATGCCCTCAGTGATGTGCGCAGCTTGCTGTAAGAAGACTGCATCCTCGCCCCAAATTTTGCACACATCGATAGGGATATTCTATGCGAAGTGAACGGAAGTATCAGCGTGGTTAAATTAACCTATCCATTTGGTGGCAAAACATGCCAAAAAAAACACTCTCAGATCGGCTACTTACTGCTTTCTGCGCGGAAAAGATGCAGTTCATGATGGGGATGTAATCGGAAGAAGAGTCTGGCGAGACCGTCAAGACGAGTATCCTGGGCTTGATATGTCCCAACGCGTCCAGTTTGAGAGTTTGATTGATATCTACAGTTCATAATACATCGTAAGTCTCTTGTGCAATTATCGCCTACTGCGAAATCAACCAAAGCCCACTCGGACGCCACAAAAAGCACTTACAGCACAATCCGAGTGAAAGCGAAGCTGCGATTTTGGACGACCCCAAATCCTTCTCTTCCAATGTCGGTTTGGGATCCCGAAGTAACCGTTCGACTCCTTCAAGGACAGCTTCGTTGACAACCTTGAAGCTCTGATACGCATTAGCGTCCTTCTTGGTCGGAACCTTGCCTCCTGGAATCGGCTCGTTTGGTGTTGGATAAAGGAATTTACTATGATTTTCAGAAGTCGAAGAGCTTCCGAGTTAGATTGCCTACATGGTAAATTCACTCAGGCCACGCAAAAAATTGTGCATCATTTGAGAAGTAAAACCCGTTGTACCTGACGCCGACATGACTGGCAATGACGGCTAACTTGTTGTCGTGTCTCCCGGCAAGGTGGGCGTTCATGAAGGCGAGGATATGCTGGAGGGCCTCGTTGAGCTTCAGTGGAGCTGAGGGGTGCTCCCATTCAAATGGGTTGGTGTCAATGACCATGACCAACAGGTTCGAGTCGTCTAGAGAATGAAAGAATAGCAATGCATGGTTAGTCTCTCAGAGTGTTTTTAATGTATAGAGCAACAAAGCTCAAGCATTCGTTGACAAGAGAGTGCTCCATGCCTTCACTCGTTGAAATGTCTTTCATGGTGGTAGTGGCGGCGAAGATGAGTGAAACGAACAGAAGAGATTTTTTTTTGCAGCAAGGTGGGACTTTTTATATGAAATTAGTCGGCTCCCACGTGACCAACTGGGGACATCAAAAATGTTTGCATGCTTCTTTATTCGCATTCACTCGTACGTCTCCAGGGGAGAGAAGGTGTATTCTGAGTACATGTAGCGATTCTCTGTGACAGGGTGGAGGAACTGGACTCTCAGAAACCCTTCTTGGTTGATGGCGATGTAGGCGCTTGTTGACAGAGCGCATGCCCGCAGCATGTGCAAGACATGTGTAAAGTTGTAGCTCACCTGGATATCATGCTCGTAGGCCAGTTGGCACGAGTCGAGGACATCGCCAAGAGAGTAGTTGATATCCAAGGCCTCGACTGTTCCCAGGCTGGAAATCCGGAAATTGGGGGTGTCAGGCGAGAGGCGCAAGATCACGCTCGGGCTCGTGGCATCCAGATCCCGAAGACCTTCATCCAGCCACTTTGACTAGCGCAGATATACACAGAAGCAGGCCGTTGTCAGGTAGAGAAGGTGAACTGAGGCACAAAGACCACATCTAATCGTAACACACATAGCATACCTTCATTGAAACAGTTGAGATGACCTCTTCGTTGAAGTCGTGGACAACAGGCACCTCTGGGTCAAGAGTTGGGATGCCGCACGTGGTGATTACTCCGTGATCCTCCATCCTGCGGACAAAATTGAAAACGAGGAATTCTGATGAGAAAGAATGGCCAGAGTCGAATAGGAACATATGCGAGAGCATGGTGTTCAACGGTGCCGCGTCCAGGTGGACAACTTACGTCAGGTACAATTTGGACCCAGGGCCGTTATAAATCATTTTGACGGCTGTCACGGCTACAAGGGATGTCGGTGCCTGGTTATCCTTTCCTCCTGCTTGCGTGCTTTGTGATGCGTTGTACTTTGAGCCACTTGCACCACCACTGCCGCCTCCATAACCACCATAACGTCCGGATCCACCACTATTAATACCAAATCCGCCAGCAGTTCCAAACATGTTCAAGCAGTTCAACAGGGTCGAGAGACTGATCCCAAAGATGGCCCTCCCTTCGTTATCATAGCCCTCTGGCCACTTTTCGGTGTATTCTGATGGATCAAACTGGGAGCCTTGTTGTGAGCGCAGATCGAGGTGTTCCTGTTCCTTTGCGGGATAGACGTATTTGAAGTCGTCAAAGAGCGACTTTGGAACCAGACATCGTGAAAAGATACAACGTGATTCTTCCAGGTTAAAGAATATCCCGTCAGGACCAATGTTGCAGATTGCCGTCTATTATATCAATATGAGAATGGCATCAGCATCAATGGAACTGGTAGGAGGAGAAAGTAAGAGACGAAAGGCTTTGAAATAAGGGCGTGGGGCTCATACATCTTTAAAGTTCACGGTCTTGATCATTGTCGCCAGATGACGCGCATCTTGGAGACGCCCGGAGAAGCGGCTATGTGCAGGCCAAGAAGGGCACGTAAAATGTCATAAAAAAAAGGAGAGGTGAGTGGCTGGAAACAGCTAGGAGTGAAGGAGTGTACAGTGCAATAAAGGGAAAATAAAAGGGGCTCGTAAGGGGGAGAGAGGGCCGTTACCCTTGGATGTTGTTGTGTGCCATGGAAGAGAGTGTTGGTTGTTGAATTAGTGATGTAGAGTGAAAGACGGGTGAAGGTTGGTGAATGAGAGAAGAATGGAGGCAAGGCGTGTGTGAGGGAAAGAAAGGGATCAACACCCCTCCCGCCTTTTTGAAGGAGCTAAAAAATGGTGGCAACAAGCGGACTGCCGACAGGCAATTGGCCAGCGCCGGAAAGTGGCTTGCCCTCTTCTTGTACTCACTCCAGTTCACCCTTCTGACCACCACCCATTGTCTCTGCCTCTTCGTCTTTCTCTTCTTCCTCTTCTTCTTCTCCACAACACCGTGCGCCACAACTTCATTCACTCTCAACGCACTCCAATCTTCCACTCCACATCGACATTCAAACTGGCGGACAACCAAGGCACAGCAACCCCTTGCGAGGGTTCCATGGACACCTCCCCTGACCATGTCCCACAAAACGGAATCGCACCAGCCCTCACCGCTCCCTCTGCCTCCACAACAAGAACCGAGGCGGAGACGTGTGAAACGACAGCTCGAGTGGGTCTGACAATCGATACTCTAGCAGCAGAGTGCGGAACATCATCCTCAGGACAGACTACTCCAAGGACCGGTTCAGTGTATGCAAAAGGGGGCCGTGGGGCATCAGGTGGACGTACCAAATTGGCGACCAGTGCACATTCAAGATGACTCAACTGTATGCTTTTGCTTTCGCCCAATTGGTTCTTTCTAGTGTCCTTCAGTCGCCAAGTCGGAGGCACCATCCTACAACCCTCACTCCTGGTCTGGTAAGCCATCATTACTCTTCTTATCACCTGCTCCTTCAACCGTCGACATGACTGCTTCGATCCTTGAGCATCAGTACAACCAGTACAACTCCTAACCGTAAAAAAACATATGTTTCAATCGTATAGCCCTATCCTCATCAAAGGACCCAGTCGCTCCACGCCAACAGGAATCCCAGAATGCAGCAGTCGTCAGTCATTCGACATTCACGGAATCATACATACTCGGACTCCAACACACAGTTTGCAGGCGCATTGACAACACGAGGGCGAGGCGAAGAATTATCCATGCATGATGCAGATGTGACAAGATCGGCTTCATCCACAGGAATTCACACTTCGTCAGTGACGCCCTCACCAAACCAGCAATTGATGTCCATGTATGTATCATATCTACAGGGAAGGGAGATAAACATGCTGCGGGGAGACAGACATGAAGGAGCTCACACATGTCTTTATTGGACACGCATTTAGATATCTGCGTCAGTTCCTCCAGGGCTGCGGAGTCGCTTCTTGCAGCACGCCTCTCTGTGCTTCAAATCCAGGATTTCCACTCAAAGACCCAAGCGAGATTGCAGTAAAGGCTGTTGAGATGGCAGCAAAAGGAACTGGAGACTTGTGTCCACGACTTGAGACCAGACCCGCATCAGCAACGACCCAGCGTGAGATTGTCGCAGGTACGTTTTCTTCTTTTTTCAAATCATCGCCATTGCAACAGGAACGTGTTAGGAGAGGGCTCAAACGCTAACATAGGAGTATGTTTGGCGATCGTAGATCCAACTATTGACTTGGATATCGTCACGTTCAAGGCGCTCATCGAACAGTGTAAACGGGATCAGTCGTACGACGCACTTCTTGCCCGCCTTCAGATCGTCTTCTCTTCGCTCTCTAGACTGTCAATGAGCTTTGCGGATGTAGGTCGCGATCATCTTTCAAAGTTTCTACAGCGGAATGGCGGGGATATTTAGAAATAATGTTCATCAGTAGCTGACCTCAATTCCAACATTGTTCTCCTCAACTAGCCCAACATGGATGCAAAGAACCCACTATCGCTGCTGCTGTCGGATGTTCAACAGGCGTACTGGCTGTTGCGTGAGTGCCCTCCTGAGGCACAAATATTGATTGCGTCGGCAGCAGAACGGATCATGAGCTCAGTCTCCGCCATGCCCAACTTGGTCACTCCAAGACTGATGAAAGGCATCCTCATTATCTTCATGGTACCGTACACTTCTCTGGATATCGGTGCGGGGCGAATTTTGTTTGTGAGAAGCTGCAAGTTGGCAGAAAAGGCTAACGACCGCTACTTATATGTCTTGCTACTGATAGTATCCGATACTGAAAGAACGGCCATGGCAGAGCAGTCTTGTCGCGAACTTGTGTCAGATCGTGTGGAGATCCTCATCAGCATGTCAACGAGTGCTCAAGTACTACCTTGTTACACCAAGACCTAGCTCTGGCGATGGAGTGGCGTCTCTTGAAGAGACCATGGCCTGGCTTGTGTGGTTGGTTCATCGATTCATAAACATGAGGGTCGAGATGATCGAAGGATATGTCACAAGAGCTGGTCTCCCCTCTAGCACCGCAAATTTGGATGACAATGTGATATCCGCCTTACAGTGCCTGCACTTTTTCTGTTAGTAACAATGTCGTATCGGTCGCTCATTGATATGTTAAAGGTGCTTTGTGTGTGGTTGTACTAACGCACTCACTTATGTTTTGAACCTGAATATGTAGACCATGTCAATCAAGAGGCAAAGTTGATCAAGTACACGGAGTTCTACAATGAATCGCTGAATGGGTTCATCGACTTTATGGACGATTTCAAGCGGTTCCGCGAAAAGGTGTTTGCCCTCTGCAACTTCCCATTCGTGTTGACTGTGACAACCAAGGCCAACATCCTGAAACTTGAGTCGTCAGTGCTGATGCGGGAAAAGTTACAGGTAAAAGCGTTGAAAGGAGAGCAAGGGTCATGAGCGGGAACGACGGGGAAAACAGAGTTAAATCACTCACACGACTATGTTTTCTTTTACAGCTGGCTTTTTTTAGAGCATTATTTGCTGGAGTGAACCCTCCTTACCTTTTGCTCACCATTCGACGAGACTACATCATCGAGGATGCTCTTGTCCAGCTTCAGCACAAGTCGCACGAGGACCTCAAGAAGCAGCTCAAGGTCAAGTTTGTCAACGAGGAGGGGATCGATGAGGGCGGAGTCCAAAAGGAATTCTTCCAGCTGGCCATGCGTGAGCTCATCGATCCCAAGTATGGTGCGTTTTTTGCGGATCAAATTTTGTCTTTGTCAAACCTTGATCGGATTGTGTGCTGGAAGATGGCTACGACCTACAGTGGACCACATCTGATCTTTTTTACTTCGTCCTCTGTTTGACCCCGTGAAATGTATTCAAAATTATAGGGATGTTTACCTTGAACGACGAGTCTCGGCTGTGTTGGTTCGCTCAAAGCCCGTTGGAGGATGAGCTGGCCTTGGATGAGTACAACATGGTGGGCCGTCTAATAGGTCTGGCCATCTACAACGGGATCATCTTGGACATCCACTTCCCGCTGGCCCTCTACAAGAAGCTGGCCCTTGCGGCCGAGTCTCAAGGAGATCTGAGCCGTCTAGACGAGCAGTGGGACCTTGATGATCTCATGGAAATAGATCCAGTACGAGTCACGCTGCATTGCTTGTTTGTTTGTCCTTTTTTCGCATGCTTGTATATATGCAAGCCAGCTTATTTGCTTGCTTTCTTGTGTGCATGATCAGCGTGAGCCTTGCATTGCATACTAACCAAGATGTGTTTGTTTGTTTCTAGACTTTGGCAAAAGGTCTTCGGCAACTAGAGACCTTTGAAGGTGATGTTCTGGAGGCTTACGACCGGACATTCCAAGTCGAGTACGAATCATTTGGCCAGACGTTCCAGCACGATCTCATCCCTGACGGAGTAAATATTCCTTTGACAAACGCGAACCGAACCGAGTTTGTAAAGGAGTACCTCAAGTTCTACTTCACAACATCCATCGCCAAACAGTTCAACGCTTTTAGCGAGGGATTCCACCTCGTCACACTTGGAAGCGCCATTCAGGTATCAACAATAGCTCTTGCTGGTACTTTTCTTAAGATTTGAGCGACACTCAGTCACTAATTCGTCCCTTGTCCTTTTCCTTGTTACATATAGCTCTTTAGGCCTGAAGAAGTCGAACAATTGATCTGTGGTTCGCCGGACCTCGACTTCAATGCGCTTGAGCAGATCACGCAGTACGAGGGAGGGTTCCACGCTAAGTCAAGGATCATTCGGTGGTTCTGGGAGACTGTGCATGCGTACGAGGATAAGGACAAGAAGCGGTTACTGTTCTTTGCAACAGGGTCGGATCGAGTGCCAATAGGAGGACTTGGCCATCTCTCATTTACGATATCCAAGAACGGACCCGATTCGATGCGCCTGCCGACGTCCCATACATGTTACAACACGCTCATGCTCTGCGCCTACTCGTCCAAAGAGAGGTTACAGGAACGTCTCATGACGGCCATAGGCAACGCTGAAGGGTTTGGGCTTATGTAGGGCACTTGAAAAATAAAGTTTTGTGACTGTCGAAAAAGGTGTTTACTTTTTTTCTTTTTTTTCTTTTGGTCCCTTGAGGCAGACAAGGCATCACTGCACGCAACTATTCACTCTCAGTCTTTCTCATTGCAACACCTTCTTCACACCACACTCGACATAATGACCACACCCGAGAAGACCATCACCCCCGACATTGTCGCCACCGAGAACACTACCGAGGCTGGCAGCAGCAGCAGCAACCCCTTCTTAACTACCGATGAGACCCACGACAGAGCCATCAGCCTCGTCCTCGATACCTCGCCTTTCCTGCGCGGTGGAGCCTCCAAGCTGAGAGCCCTGGCGGACAAGTTCTATACCATCCCCGAGGTCCTGAACGAAATTAGAGACAAGCAGGCGCGCAAGGATCTCGACATGCTCCCTTTTGATATCCAGGTCATCAACCCCAACGAGTCCTCTGTCCGCGCTGGTTAGTTCTCTTCTCTTTCAAGTTATCATCTGCGACTTTGCAAAGCGCATGCCCATATGCATTTGTATATGACCAGTGCCTGTGGTGTGAATCGTTTATTTACCCTTGTGCTCTTTATATGAAACAATTTTATTAGTTGCTGCCTTTGCCAGGAAGACAGGAGATTCTGCTGTTCTGTCCGCAACCGATCTTCGTGTCTTGGCCCTGACTTACCAGCTGGAATTCGAGAACTGTGGCATGAAGCGTATCCGTGCCGAACCCGTCCGCGCTAACGTCCAGCCCACTGGCAACAAGCCCCCAGCAACCCCCAGACGCACCAAGAACTCTGCAAAGGAAATTACTGGCGATTTCGAGGATGAGGAGCCCACAACTACCGCTGAGGACAGCCAACAGCAAGAGCAAGGAAACACTGTGTTGGAGGAGGAGGAGGAGTCTGATGATGATGAGGAGGAGGCAGTTGCAGCTGAGGATCAGGATGTTCAGGAGATTTCAGGAAAGCTCGAGAACTTGACGACAGTGGAGGGAAAGACCGAGTCTGCAGAGCAGAAGGAGACCAAGGATGCTTCAGAGTCGACTCCAGCAGCAACAGAGGAGAACAACGAGGACGATGATGATGATGGTGAGTGGATCACACCCGAGAACGTCAAAAAGTTCAAGCGCCACGGCACATTGAAGCCCAAGAAGAAGGCCCGCAAGACGCTGTTGATGCAGGTTGCCTGTACGACGGCCGATTACGCGATGCAGAATGTTCTCCTCCAGATGGGTCTCAACCTGTTGTCGATCGACGGACTTCGGATCAGCAAAGTCAAGAATTGGGTCCTGAGGTGCCATGCCTGCACCAAGGTGACCCACGACATGGAGAAGAAGTTCTGCCCCAGCTGTGGAAACTCGACGTTGATGAGGACCTCGACTAGCACAGACCAGAACGGCAACGTCAAGTACTACCTCAAGAAGAACATGGTCTACAACCTCCGCGGCACCAAATACTCAATCCCGGCCCCCAAGGGAGGTCGCAAGAACAACGATTTGATTCTGAGGGAGGACCAGCGCGAGTTTGAGTTGTCGATGAAGTTCCAGAGACGCCAGAAGAAGATTGATGCTTTTGACCCGGATTACGTGCCCCGTCTGCTTGAGGGCCAGATCGATGTCAGGAACCCCTTTGGAGCACCTGTCATTGGATATGGCAAACGGAACCCAAACGCTGTCAAGAAGAACCAGACCCTCAGGAGGAGAAGATAAAGATGTCCATTCAAGGACACACTTTTTCATGCGCAATCTTCCCTCATATTCATTCTGTTACCTTTTTTTTCCGTTTGCATTTGCATATCCATCATTAAAAACCAACTCTCACCTCACTTCATATCCCTCGAGCTTGTCATTTTTCCCAGCCCCTTGGTCTCTGCCCCAGCACAGAACAAACAAAGCGGGGATAAACACCACAGGGATGTTTACTTTGCACCGCCCTAGGGAGGTGCCCAACACACGTGACATCTACTACCAACAGTTCGTCCGCGCCGTAGGTAAATTGTGACCCGTTTCTCTGTCCTATTTGAAATCAGAAAAGAGGGGTCGCAGCACGCCATTTTTCGCAAAGTTGAATGATTTTCACCCTCTTCCCATCAACAGCCCTCTCCTTCTCCCTTCTCTCGCTCGATCCCTTTCTTTTTCTCTCTCCCTCTCTCTTCTTGGAAGCCTCTCCCCAATTTCCCAACGTCCCTTCTGTTTGTGTATGTCTCTTTGCGTGTTTACTTCAGCTTTTGCTCTTATCTCCCGCCGCATGCTGCTGTTATCATCAAACATTTCTGCCTTTTCTTCAAGGTGGAGCTCGTTTGCTGAAAGTAGTGGTGTGGTGTGGTGTGTAGGTACAACCAACTGTCTGGTTGCATGTTGTGCTTAACTGGCCAAATCGTGTTCAGCGATCGATCCCTACTTCTCCTCCTTCAATCGCTGAAACTCAATTGAAGGACGGGCGTTGTTGTTACTTTTGTTGTCCATCCATGGAGAACAGGCAGCTGTGATGACGAATTTTGGACCGCCGTTCGTAATGTGTACAGCGTTGCCGTGCGGCTATACCTTTTTTTTTTTTTGTTTATCATTACCTTTACAGTTTTTTTTATTGAATCATCGCCTTTTCTTACTTGCTCCATTATACACGCCCGTTCTTTGCGTTATCAAGACTTCAAGACAAAACGACGCGATCGATTTCTCATACACCTCACCCATCCACGTATAATATTTTTTTATTGTTGATTGTTGTTGTGCCGGCAACAAAAATATGCACATGCTAAAGTGTGGTCCAAACACAGTTTAACAAGGGGGGAAGGAACTGGATGGGAAGGGAAAGGAAGGGTGATGCCTCCCTTGTTTTCTATTTTTTTTCTTCATGGTCAGAACACAGTTTGAACAAAGAACAAAAAACAAGGAGAAAGGCGTGGTTGTGGTACTACCTTTCGTCCAACTGGAAGATTCATTTGTTCATTCGCTTTTCATTCAGCTTCCAATGACTTCTATTCACGCGTTTCTCCGAAGATACACCACGCTTTTTCAGCACCCTTTCTTTACCTTTCATTCAGCCACGGTCATGCTCATGGGTTCCATCAAAAGTATCCTTCGTTCATAAAAACAAAGAGGGTTCTTTTCGTTCCTTGAAGAAAGGTTAAAAGTACTCCATTTGCGTAAGGAGGACGCGTCCTTTTCTTTATTTGTCAATCGGCCCAGTGGATCATCGCCGCAGTTTCAGAAGTAGCGTGGGATAAGAGGCATGGATGCAAACGAAGAAAAGGAGAGAAAGTGCGAGGAAAGTGGGTTATCGAAAGACAAGCGTCATTCCACCCCTTTGACATTGAAGTTCCTCCACTCATTGCCTTCTTGGAGCCCTTGCACCCTTTTCCCTAATTCAACATTTGTCAACAGAAAGCTCTTTGACCTTCCCCTTTTTTCCCGTGAGAGGGGCTGACAGTCAAATGTCGTTGTCCAGCAGCATCGGTAGTAGCAAGCAAAGAAGCGGATAAAGACAAAAAGAAGCGTTCATGTGTAACTGTGTGCGCCGCCCCATGGTGGGTTGGATTTTAAGCAATTGACGAAGAACCTTCCGATATCGTGTCATCGCGTGAAGCTTTTGCTGTGGACCACCCAATTTTTTTCCCCTCTCCTGTCCATGCCCGTGTCCATTGTCCATGGCCAAATCCTGCTTGTGTTCACACACTTTCAAATATACCGTTCTGTTTGTTTGTAGTTGTTTGTTGTTTGTTGTTATGAGTGGTGGTTGCGTACATCATCATCATCATCCACTTGTGCAAGGTGTGTTTTTTGTGCTCCTTATTTTCTCCCTGTTTGCATTTGCTTCTCTCTGTGTTGTTGTTGTACTTGCGCCCAACCAATGGATGACAAGAGAAACTATGCCATCCATTATCCTTCTTTCTGTGTCTCTGCCATTCAGTCAGTCAGTCATTCAGTCAATCATTCAGTTTGTTTCTGCTGGCGATTGACGATGTGTTATGTCCGTGACGAACTCAAAAAACAGGGCTCACTTTCCTTATTCATTGACCTTCCCTGTCCCTCTCGGATCCTGGATGTCCGATATGTAACTGCAAATGGCAACATTTCAACTTCTTACCGTTGCGTTCCCTTTTCCTTTCCCTTTTCCTCCTTTGTAAAGGAAAGAGATAACCTTGAAAAGAACAGAAAGAGACGACTTTTGTTTCCAGGATAGCATCATCGGACACTTCACCAGCGCAATCGCCGATGATATTTGGCCCTGTCCAATTGAATCCTCAATGACAAACCCCTTTTGTGTGCCTCATTTTTCTTATTTCTATTTTTCCCTTTCTTCCTTTTGTTCATCCTCCTCTTTCTCTTCCTTTTTCTTTTCTTTTTCTTACTCTTCACATCGTTGTATTTAAACATTCGATCTGCCGCTGCATCCACTTACGTTTACTTTCTTCTCTTTTTTTGTTTCAGCTCTTTCTTTTTCTCTGATTCAGCAATCGACCCTTGCTTGTACTTTATACCCTGTGGTCAGTCCACAAGACGTTACCCCTTGCCTCGATTTCAGATCAGCCTTTTCTTGTCTTCTCTTCGTCCTACCCTCCAAAGCTCTTATTATTCTCACCATTACTTTCGTCGCCAGTGATCCGAGACAACCGCCGATAACCATTAGCCGCCCTGGCCCTCTGTCCTGGTCCTCATCCGCTCAAACTGTGGAAAAAAATCAAACCAGGCCACAAAACGTCCACAGCTCAACCATAAACCAACAAAAATGAACGGCCACATAAACCAATACCCCGCCGCAACAGCCGCAGCGACCTACAACCAGCATCAACACGCGCACCCTCATCACCCGCAACAACATCACCACACACAGCATATCCTTATCACTTCTTCCCGGAGTAGGAGCAGTAACGGCAAGGATACCGATCATGGCCAGGACGCGCCTTCAACGGGAGGCAGTGGCGAGAACAACAACGACAACAACGATGATCCAGAACATCTGCCGGACGACGATCTGATCCGGTGGGCGAATGCTCAATTCACGGTCGACTATCAACCGGGTGTCCATTCTTATGAGGACGAGCTTGCGCTCAAGATTGCGCATTCGCAGCGGCAGCAGTATCATGCTCAGCAGCAACAGGCTGCTTTGCTTCACCAGCAGCAGCAGCAGCAGTTAGGTCAGGGACAGAGGCAGTTCCAGGCGATCGATGGTACTATGCATAGCGGATATATTGATTCGGCATCCGGACAAGGTATGACAGAGAGACAGACAAGACAAAGGATGATGGAAAACAGCAGTGTACACATGTACACCACACAACGACATATGCCTCTACACGCATGGATAGTTTTTGCCACAACCAACACCTTCCCCCCCCCCCCCCCTTTTTTTTTTTTGGCTTTATGCTTCGTCAATGCCGTATCCCATACTTGGTGTTTTGGTACCCCTCTCCTCCTCTGCATTACTTCACTATGCACCTCTTCGGCGCTTTTGTTCTTTGGGACAGTTTCAGCAGTTCAGGGTCCCGACTGAAACTAACACATACACTCTCGCTTCTTATGCTCAATTCACTCTATTTTAGATTCACGGACAGACTTATCTCTAGTCGAGCGGCCAAGGCAACGGAACCCTCAAAAGCAACAACAGCAAGCGGGAGGACAGCTCCGTGTACACTACGATCCTCGTGTTCAACAACCCATCTACGCTCAACAACAACAACAACAACAACAGGCTTACCTAATCCAACAGCAGCAACAGTTTCAGGCATACCCCCCTACAGGAGGTTTCCCATCTTCACTACCGTCCTCTCTACCCTCTCAGTTGGCTGGTGTCGCTATCCCTCAGCAAGGAGGCGGAAGTGCACAGCAGTTTTTGGGTCATGTGACTACGTCTGGGTCGGACGACCCTTCAACAAGCAGCTCTAGAACGACAGCAGAAACGACAGCAGGAACGACGGGGAACAGGGGTCGTGTAAATAGCGTCAGTGCTCTGTCGTCACTCTCACTCCTCTCGCCCAGTCACACACAGCCTTCCAATCCCTCTCTCGGTTACTTTTCGCACCAAGAGAAGCTCCAACAACTCGAGAGTGAGCTGGAAGAGTATGAGAACGAATTGGCGGAGGAACGTCGTCTTCAGCAAAAGGAACGTGCATCGTCCTCTTCATCTGCGTCCTCTACTACTTCTGCATCGAACCAGTTTCATCCCCACCAGCAACAGCAACAACAGATTCACCACCAAAGAGGGTATTACCAGGACCAAGACCAGGATGATATGATGGACGACATGACCTTCAGCGCCATACACAGCGCGGTCCAATCCCCACAAGGCGACGACGCCATGAACGACGACGACGACGACCCAAACCTATACCAGAACCAACCTCTTTCCTTGGACCCAGAAGAAGCGGCCCGCCAGGCAGCCGACGCAGAAGAAGACAAACGTCGCCGCAACACCGCAGCATCCGCCCGATTCCGTCAAAAGAAACGTCTCCGCGAACAAATCCTCGAAAAGACCGCCAAGGAGATGACCGTAAAATCCGAAATCCTCGAGGCCCGTGCGAGAGAACTCGAAATGGAAATCAAGTGGTTACGGGGGCTAATTGTCGAAAAAGGGAGTGCCTCGGTTGGGTTGCAGGGTGTGGGGCCGGCGGTGTTGCCAGGTGGTGTTGTAATATCTGGAGGCGTTGGGCCAGGAGGGGTGGGGTTGTTGTCGAGCTCGTTGCCGAATTCGTCGTCGTTTTTGGGACCAGATTCGTTTGCGGGGAGTTCGAAAGCCGCAGCGGCCGCAGCGAGGAGGCCACGGAAGGTCCCACCGCCTCTTGCTGCCAAACCTGCGCCACCTTCCAACTAGGTGTTCGACAAAGGGGGGCAGGAAAGCAAAACACCCACAGACACACACCCTGCACTTTTATTCATTCCATCACATCATACATACTCATTTGCATAATAAAACCATTTTCGCTATCGTACCCATCTCGACGTTCATACAATCACAGCGTCCATTCAGTTGAACTTTTGTCGTCATTGGTCTGTGCTCTCCTGTCACGCAGCCAGTTCTCGAGTAGAAAGAAATGAAAAAGAAAAGGAAAGAGAAAAGTCTATCCTCTCTCTGCTCCTCCTCTCACTCCCACTCTCACTTCCTTTCCTTTCCTTGCTCGCATTTCGTTGAAATGATTAGTCACCCCTTTTCTCTCTATCTCACACACCTATCTTCCTTGGTGCATTATTTTTCAGGGATAGAGAAGATATAACAGTTGAGAGAAAATGGGATATCCCTTATGGAGGCGAAATTCTTAAGGTTTACAAGGTTTTTGGTTTATAAGGACGCTCGAAAATGGACGTACTGATGATGGTCAAGGCGGCCGAGACTTCGTTACTTTGTCGGACAGAGAGGGACAGAGTAGCGAGGAGAGAGAGAGAGAGAGGAGAGAGAGAGAGATTAATTCACATTTTCTGGTCCATCCTCCATTCACCCTTGGCCATTGTCCTCTTTGTCTTTCGCTTCTGTTTCAACCCTTGGATGGATGCAATAAAGACAGCATTTCTTATTTTACTCATTCATCTCTATTATGCATGCTCTCCCTCCAAAAATTGACCCTTGCTGTCATGAATAGAATGAGAAGACGGGATTGATTGATTGTACTTCTCGTCCTGCTTCTTCATTTACGGTTGTATTGAGTGTTGGCCATTTTTCTGCAAGTCCACTCTTGATAGGCTTTGGATTGATGTGCATATATGCATGGGGAGGTGATGGAGCTATGCTTTGTCAAACACCTCTTGATCTCTGGATGTGTGTTTTACACCTTATTTTACAGGATTCTGTTAACAACCTGCAGAGTCATGGTCCTCGTTGAAATGAAGTACGGTATAGGGGTGAAAGAAGTGATTTTCCGTGCAGTGCATGTAAAGCAATTTTCCACTGGTCCAAAAGACAAGGGCGGTGAAATAATTTGGATCATGAAATGGATGGAAGTCAGACCCCTACAAGAGGGCAGCATGGATTTCGGACAGATGGGCCTAGCATAAGGCCGAGTTCCCCCTCTCTCCAATCCGTCCTTTCACTCACAAGCCACCCACCCTCGTCCTCGAGAGAGGAAGAACGCTCCCTCTCCAGGTTGGTTTCACGTCATCCTCCCGTTCGACTGTTTATCACAAACACTAAAGCACCTTCCATTCTTCATCTTTTCCTCCTTCGCCATTCTTTATTCTCTTCTCTCTACCTTCACTTTTCCCAAATACCTGCACACACTCCCCACACCACACACACCACCCATTCTCCTCTATCGAAAGTGACACCGACCCACCAACTACGGGCGCGTCGACGCCCAACTCCAAGTATCTGGAGCAAACCTCCACGTCGTCAACAACAACCCACAAGCACCTTCTGCTGCCACCCCATCCCCTCTATCCTCTTTCTCAGGCCTCTTGACGTCCTTCTGATCCGACAGCCTGAAAAGGCACTGCAGCTCCCCTCACCCTCACCACATCTGGACCTGGATTTCGAAAAGTCCGTCTCGGCATGGATCAGCTGCCCCTCTGCCACCTCCTTCGCCTTATCCATGTGCCTTGGCTGCGCTGCAGCCACCACGTCCTCCTCGTCGTGTGGATAGGCGAGGTTTGCGAAGGACGTCCTACTTATTTGTGATTTCTTATCTACAAAATCTTCCTATCAATCGCTTGCATGGCGAATGAGCCATGTACGATCACCTTATTTTTCGGTCCTCCTAACGGAGATCAACCCCCCCCCCCCCCCTCTCCTCTCTTCTTCTCCTCCGCCTCCTCCTTCCCTACATTCCTCATTCACAGCCCGCCTACCTATTTCCGTCGCCAAGCTCGTCTTGACACACTACGTCTCCCATTTTTTTTATGTTTCCATACTACCTCATTCTCAGTCAGCATCAAGTCCAAGCCTTATGATCTTTTTTTTATTTTCGTTTAGTATGCCATTCGCAGGGGCGGCCGTTTTCTATTTTTTGGTGGCACTTGAGATGCCATTTTTTCCACTTTTTTTTTATATAATTCCTATTCTCCCTATTTACGGCCTTCAATCATAGCGCGCCCCGCTCCCTTTCCTCACCTACTCCTCTCTCCCGGTTTTCTGCATCGACAATCATCGTCGTCCTTGCAGAAGTACAGGGATGTTTTCCATTTTATATTTGATCCCCTCTCGGATCGTCCTCGGCGAAAAACTCTCCACTTATTTCACATGTTTAACCCACCCCCCACCTCCTCTTCTTTGTTATTTTTATCGACAAACGCGCGTCGATTCACAAAAAAAACCCGCAAACACAATGCTGAATGGGAGATTCGGGGAATTGGGAAAGCAACAAGTCGCGACGTGCTCGTCAGCGTCCTGTAGCGGCTACTTTCCTTTATTTGTTTTTCCTCTATCCCCCCCCCCTCCCTATTTTCTTTTCACAATTTTTATGGATTGGTGTGAATCCTACTAGAGGATTCACTTCCTTTCCTTTTTTGCTTCCCGACTCGGGCACTATAAATGTTGCTCAGGAACAAGCTTATAGTTAGAGAACCAACTTATTTACACGTCATTTTTCCTTCATATTATCTCTTCACACAAATAAAAGATCGATTCAACAAAAAAAGCACCAAAGAAACTGACTTGCATGCTACTTGGAGCATATGGGACGCGATGAAAAAGAAAAAAAAAAAAAAAAAAGCAAAAGGCAAAAGGCAAAAGGCGAAAAACAACTTGGACCATCAATCGAGACCAAGACAACGGCCCACCGACGATCCAAATAAAATTCAAGGGGGTCAATAATAACCGGTTTATGGTCGAGTGCCACCAACATGCGCCATTGTGCAGTCACACTCTCACAAAACTTACTGCAGAAAGCAGAGGGGCCAAGGTGCAGGTATCGCAATCTCTTAGTGCCCGCACATCTACCATGGCTGATTGAATTGGTTTTTGGCATTGTAATTCCTTACTTTGCAAACGATTCAAAAAAAAAAGAGTCCAACATCTATATTTTATTGCTCCTTCCTTCTATCCATCCTCCCACCACCCCACTCCCTGGACCCTCACTCCGCAACGCTCAGATCAACCAGACCATAGCAAGCATAAGCACAGGAATGACCAGATTATCATTCTGCTCCGAGACAGCCTCCAGCATCGCCGCAACAGAGACCGCAATCCCGTACCGGATCACACCCCAAAGCGTCCACGACACCGCCGACCAATCATTCCAAGTCGAGAACGACAACAACGCCGCGGGCGGCAAACTCGATGGCATTGCCCTCGGTGGCGACGTCTTTGTTCCTCCTCCTCCTCCAGCCGAGCCCGTAGCATCAGCGACACCACCAGCAAGAGAAGAAGCCTTCTGTAACAGCAAGCTGGACGCAGAATCACCAAATACAAAGCTCATCAACCACATCCCGACGAAAATAGCTCCCGCCGCTACCATGACAGATCCGACAAACGCAACAGTGCCCTCGACGGTCTTGATTGTCCCCGGCCACCGGTGTCGTCCAAACCGCTTGCCAACAATCGACGCCATCGCATCTCCAACGCCCAGGGCAAAGATTCCCGAAAGTCCTGCCAGGATGTGATGTTCTGCCAACCAGACGGGTACCGCGCAGCCCATAAGCAGGTACAAATGGCTCAGGATGATAGGTCCGCCATCACGGCCGTCTAAGAACCCGACCAGGAACAGGTGGATCTCTTTACCGAATGGAACCACTGCAAAGTATCGGATGTACTCCAAGAAGATCAATGCTGCTAAACCCACAGAGAACGCGATATGCATAAACGGTTCCTACAAATTGCAAGCAAAGACAATCGTGAGTTGTCAGAAATAACTCAAACCAAATAGAAAAAACCGCCACCAAATTCAACCAAACTTACGTCGGTGAGGTATCCAGGGACGAACATGAGGACGGCAAGGGCATGGTAGTACTTGCGGCGGTTGTTCAGCGAGCCCATAATCGACCGCCGGCGGATCGTCGAGTTCATCCAGTAAAAGAAGCCAATCGAGCACCCGACCGCTAAGACCCAATACAGACACAAACCCAAACGGCTCCATCCAATCTGGATCCCCATCAACGTCTGAAGACTGCCACCGAGGAAGCTGCTTCCAAAGCCCTCACCACTCTCGGCCGGCTTAGTCAGGGGATCCATCACAAGCGACGACTGACCTCTCGACGACGACAACGACGCGACCAACTCGGGCGTAAAGATCCGTGTCATCAGCATAAACTCGATCAGCCACAGGAACGGGTTCTGGCCCAACACACGCTCACACCGGGGCATGATTAGTCCCAGGACAATCACCAGCAGTCCCGAATACACGATTCCAGCAGCGACCTTCTTCTTGAACTCCCGCTTCTGAAGATCAGCAGCCTTGGCTCCCTTGGTCGGCATCTGCGCCAATCGTCGGCAATACATCAACACAGGGGTCAACAGGACTCCAATCAACAGCATCCCGACAACTAACGTCAGCAGGAACAAGAACTGCGGGTTCTCCAGAACAGCCCCAGGCGGCGATGGCGGGCTCGTCATAAAGTTCATCCTCAGGGTCTCGTTGATCAACAATGTCACCACCTGCGCCAAGATCGTCAACTCGCCGAACGTAAACGAGCGGCGGTAAAAGTACGCAAATCCAATCATCAACAACTGGAACACATTCTGGTTCAACATCACCATCCCCGCTCCAGTGTTCTCCAGGCCCGGAATCCATTTGAACCGTGCCAAGAGCGTGATCATGCAAGTGTATGCTCCACCAAATCCTAATGCGATGATCCAGATCTCTTCCCGATCGCTTGTCTTCTCGGCCTCGGACGATCCTATCAAAAGACTTGGGTGGTGCATCTGATCCGCGGAAAACATGAAAACATCCTGAATATCCTGTTGCTGCTGCTGGTGCTGCTGTTGTTGCTGGTGCTGTGGGGTCTGTCGATAAGGCTGAGTCAGGGCAATGGACGAAGGAGCAGAGGAGGCGGCAGAGAGTGAAGGCGATGACGGTGACGACGGTGACGAGATGGCATTCGCGGTGTGATGTGGAGGATACAAATTCTTGGGGTATAAACCGCCGCTGGCTGTGCTCAAGTTGTTGGTCGAGGTCGAAGCTGAAATAGTCGTTGACGAAGCTGGTACTGGTGTCATGGATATAGGTGGGGGTAGAACAATGCTGTCGAGGACTGTGCTATTGAAGACACCACTGGATGGTCGTTTCCCATACTGTTGCTGATAGACCTTGCCATTCCTGGGTCCTGATGGCTCTTCAAAGACCTTCAACAACAACATATGGATCAAGATGGAAGCTCCAAAGGTCATCGACAAGGCCATACTCGACAAGACCGTTTCTGCTGTTTTGATTCCTGAGATTCCTGTCGATGAGAACTTTTCGTCCGTCACTGTCTGAACAAACTTGGCGGCCAACACAACGGGGACCAGCACCGTTGCAAAGATCGATCCATTGTCTGCTCCCTTTCTAAAAACGTGTTTGTAGTTTTGATAACACAGTCGAAAATCCGTCAGCCCAATTGAATCCAAGTAGATAAACACGCGCTACAAATAAAGCTGACTGTCCTCTGCCAACGGAAACGTACCTATACCAGTGAGCTTCTGATCCCCAGACTCTCCACTGGGGTGCAGCACCCTCGCTTGTTCGACAAAAACGACTCTGTAAACTTCCAAAGACGGGATCCATGATTCCAGCTCCATTTCCAGTCCCACTCGTCCCATGTGCGCTCTCCTGGTTCAACAATAGATTCTCTTCATGCAAGTCCGCTGCCCGTTCCCGATACAAGGCCTCGTCATCTTCGCTCTCCTCGTCCGTATCAGCGGCGGCGGCTGCTGCAGTGGCAATAGTCTGGGGCACCGTCATATTAAGGTACCGACTCGATCGCTTCTTGAGAGGTTGTAATGGCACATTCTTGTGAACAGGGAACTGAAGTCGACGATCATGTGCCGTCAAGAACAAAGCGTGGACGAAAGCCAACAGGACAAATCCTGAATAATCGTCGAAAAAGGTAAAAAGGAGTGGGTAATTAGTATATTTACGCAATCAAGAGGATCAAAGTACATCCACATTCCAATAGAACCAACTATCAATCGCCAACACAAAGGTGTACACAGGTACAAAAAACAAACAACAGTCCTCGCTCTTGTGGACTATTTTTTTTTTGTTGGGCTATTGGGGCAGAGCATGGCATGTGCACACCGCCATCGGTTGTTGTTTTGGGATCCAAAGAAAATCATCACTCCAAGTAAAATACAAGAATGGATAACTTGGTCTCACCTGCGCCTAGTGCCCAGGCATCCTTGGCCAGTGTTGGCATGACGGTATGATGGTATTGTGGGTTTTGGTTTACTCGTGCTCCGGCTCCTCCTCGATGTCGATCCTCGTACGAAAGGCTACTCTTGCCCTCGCGAAATGAAGTAGCCCCATCGTCCTGAACCTGACTATAATCTAGCGTCATCATGCGGTATCCTGCCAAGAGGCCCATCCCAACCATCAATGCACGCTCGATCCGGACTCGCAGCAAATTGGCCCGCCTCCTCCTCTGTGCTGGGTTAGGACCACCAGACGTGGCCCTGCTGCCGCTGCTTAATCCTCCTCCGAGCTGGAAGAAAGAGGTTAGTCCCCGTGGAGTTGTTGAAGATGCTCCTGTGGAACCATTCATCCTTGCAGACGACGATGCACCACCTCCTAGAAGTGCTGTTGATCCGGTGTGAGGCATCGAGGATGACCTTTGGTGGCCAGGAGCATACCGACCGCCGCCTAGTCCTCCTCCTGCCCTCCTACCAGTGGTGGTATCAAGGCTGTCCTGACGACTATGAGTCCGGGTGTAGTGCTGCTGCTGTTGAGATGTAGTTGTGTGGTGGCGCATCGTCAATCCCTGAACGCCACCATCTCTTAGTCCTCCAATTCCTCCTCCGCTACTGCCATGGCCCTTCCCTCCTCCTCCTCCACTCAAGTATCTGGCACCCTTGCTGCTGCTGTCATCCTTTGAACAGTACTCTGATGACTTTTGCGAGTCCTGCATCATTAAGAGTTGTCGTTCTTTTGTTGCTCCTGCCGAAAGTGGTGGCTGTGGTGGTGTGGGTTCTTTTGGGTAAGATGGAGAGAATGAACCCTGGAGGGTTGCGGTGGATGATGAAGAAGAGGGAGAAGAGGCGGTTGAGGAGAAAGCAGAGTGTTGGGTGGTGTCGAGGAGGATTGTTCCTTCTTGTTGGGTTGAAGCGGAATCCTGTGTCATCATGAAAAGAAAAAGGAAGGATGATCGGGTTTAAGTTTCTCTTTTTGTTGCTGTAGGTGTTGGCGTTGGTGTTCTCGTCTATGGCCTTTTAGTTTAATTGTATGTCCTGAGAGAAAGTGTTGAATGAAGGAGAGAGATAGAAGGTGAAAAGAGGGGGTGTTGCACCTCCGAGGGCTGTGGTATGAGTGAGTGTTTGAAGAACAAGGGTGCGAGTCTTTTCTGGGCGGTGAGGTTGATCGAAGAGAGAAAGGAGAAGGAAGGAAGGCTAAGAGGTTAAAAGGGTTAAAGAAGAGTCGATGAAAGTCAAGAAAAGATAAAAAAAGAATGAGAGAACGTGGTGGCGTATCTTACAGAAAGGATGTCAAGGAAGGAAAGAGAGAGTATGGCAGAAAAGGTGAACGGAACACACGCTTATATCACTCGGACTAATTTTGACCGAGCAAGACTGGCGATGGGGTGGATGGCTGAAAGAAGAAGCATATAAGCCATGGATCATACACATCTGGACATTCACATGGGAATGGGTGGCGGATATGTTTCTTTATCGATGAATCCAGCACCTCACTCGTCCGTCCATCTGTCTGGGTCCTCCTCTCGCACATCCATCATCCCCGATTCAACCACCGCCCTAATTCACCTGCTGCTCAGTGCTCTTCTTTCTCTTTCTCTACAACATATTAAAACAATCAAGGCACTTTCTCCTTTTTCTCAAGAACAAGTATGAATGCCTTCAAGCTTGGCGCAATTCACACCACATGTAAGGGGGTAGCAGTGACACACACACACAAGCATACCATTGAACATCATTCATCCCCTTTTTTTATTTGTATCCTTTTTCATCTCCTGCTGTAACTTTGCCCGTGTTTGTTCCCACTTTTTTACTTCACCTTCTAAGGTTGTCAAAGTCAGGTCTGATTTTTTCCTTTCATCAATTTGGTTAATGAGAATAAAAGAAATAATTACATTTGTTTTGGGTTTCTAAAAGTACAATAGGTAAGGTAGCCAAATAGCTAAGTGAGATGTAAGGGGGGTAAATAATAATAAAAAGCTATATAAACAGTCGACGCCCTAGAGGAAACTCTTCCTCTAGACCCTCATCTTCTTCACAGCACGGCCCAACTTCATTTCCGGCTGACGATCCTCAAACGACTCCATCTTCGCCTTCTCACTCATCTCATTCGAGGAGGAAGACGAGTGGCGTTGGTGCTTCTTGTTGGACACCAGAATCTTAGCTGCCTCAGTAATCGAAGACTCTTCCTCCTCTGACAAGGACGCCGTCGACGTCTGAGGCGAGACTGTGCTTGAACGGCTTGCGACTTCTGAAGGTGGGGGCGAGGGCAGGTGCTGTCTTGCATGTCCGTGACCATGGCTTTGATTATGGTTGTGGTTGTGGTAGCTCCAGTTGTCGGCATTATGGTGGTGGTGGAGACCGAGGGGTGTATCATCATCAATGGAAGAGGTGATCGTAGCTAACTTCATCTTCTCATGACGAACACGAACTTGTTGTTGCTCGACTGCCTTGACAGCGGGGGTGGGGGAGACATCCTCCTCCTCCTCCTTGATCTCCTCCAACCGCGTCACCTCTTCCATCTCCTCGTCGTCCTCATCATCACTCACGGGCATCGACAACGATCCGTCAGCGTACGCCGACGTTGCAGGTGGGATCAAGAGTCCAATATCCTCCGCGCTCTATATATTCACATTCAAGAAGTCATCGTTAGCCGGTTGTAAATATTGTGCCCCAAAAAATAAACAACGAGTGTGAACCAGGAGATAAAAATGAGCAGATGTGGTGCTTACCCTAGAGAGCTTAGGGTCGACGAGAAGCTTCTGAGAACGAGCAATGTAATGAGTCATTTGGCGCTCCAAAACAATGAGAGGGTACTTGGACGCGACATCGACAAAGTGCTGCTCAACTGATGTGCCATTCATCGTCAAGAACTACATAGTGAAAAGGGAAGGAGGACAAAACGCCATGTTAAAATCCATTCCAAGCTATTATTCTCAAGGTGCACAGGAAACACATTTCAAAGACCATAGCATACCTCTTGGAGGCGATCATCCTTGGCTTTCTTGAAGGCTTCGTACTCGGCAGTCTTAACAAACAGAATGTCATCCTGACGATCCTGAGTAGTGATGCCAGTGGCCTCGTTGCTGTTAGTCTGGCCCTGGAAGGAAGCCCGACGACCATTGAGGGTACCCTCGGTCGCACTGCTGTTGCTGCTATTGCCTTCGTCGTTGTTACCATCCTTGGCAGGCTCCTCCTCGTCCTCCGCCAAATCACCATACGAAAAGACGTCCAGCAAAGTGTCCACTCCAGTGGTGCCATCACAGAGGTACGACTCGATTACTGCCTGAGTCATCATCTCCAGCAAGAGACGGTACCAACCCTCCAGAACACGGCCTTCGCTCTCGTCCTTGGCGCCATGCTTCTCAGCTAGACATTGCGCAATATCCCGGTAGCTCATGGCGGAGCACTTCAAGAAGGCGGGGATGGCATCCACAAGTCCTGCGACGCGCTGCTGGCGAGTGTTGGTGTTGCTGTTGTTGCTGTTGGCGTTGGTGTTCGCGTTGGCAGTGGCAACCCTCTTCTTCTGCTCCAATGCCTTGTGTTGCTGCTGTTGCATCTTGGCCAACGTACAACAGGTACGCTGGCAGTCCTTGCGATGGTGACGACGGCAATACGAGGCCGAAGAGACAGGTTGAGCAAAGAAGGAGCGGGTTTTTTGTCCCTGGGGACTGTTGGCAAGGTGTTGCTGGATAGCAGCCCGAGAGGCCCCATGACGGGACTGGAAGGCCGAGTAGATGTTGAGGCCTGCAGTGTTGTTGGTCGAGGAGGCAACGTCGAAACGACCAAAGACCATCGAGGTCAGCTGACAGAGGTGCAAACGATGCTTCAGATGTCTGGGCAGTGTCTGCAGCGGGCCGCTGGAACGGTGTGATTTGAGGATGCCTAATAATATGCAATAGGTATGGGAGAGGAGGGTAGGGATGGGATGGGGTGGATGAGGCAGATGGGATAGAAGATGAGTCAGTTGAGTCCTTCTTGCGGATGACAAGATTGTTTGGTTTTCCTCCGTGTCCCCACCATATGCAAATACAGATGCATAAGGGATCATTTCTACCCAATTGCACACAAGGGTGTAAGCACATTTAAGACATCGCCACGGACACACACACGCACACGCGCAAATCCATCTCCTTTTTATCCTTTGCCATGTAATCTGCTACACTCCTCTTCTCCGGTCAAGGTACTCGTGTAGGGGTATATCCTTTTGCGTGCTTCAAACCCAGGAGAATAAAGAAAATAAGAACCAAACGCGGAAGTTGCCTTTTATAGATGAGGGCGAGAAGGTATGAAGAGGCGCCTTTCAGCATTTTTAACACGCGTTGGGAGTTCTTGTTCGGAAGAAAACGCAACGAAGATAGGCAGAAAGTATAAACGAACGGTCAAGATTTCCAGCAGGAAGACAGTATGCGAGAGAAAAGAAAAAAAAATAGAGAGCGCTTCGGGTGAAGAACGGAAAAGACTGGGTAGAGCGGAGCAACAAAAAAAATCCGTGTGGAGAAGGGGGAAAAAAGAGGAAAACGTTGACAAGGCAGGAGACTTTTTTTTAGAGATGGATGAGAGACAAACGGGGAGGGAGGGAGGAAGGGAGAGAGGACACATCTCATGCACATTTATCTCCATCCATGCACAAAGATAGAGAAAAGGGAAATGGAGGAAAAGGAAATGAAGCTTACCGTCAACGATGGCCTCGACGTTGGAGCCCTTGCGGCCGAGGACAACAGCCTCGTCAACAAGGGTGCGCTGGCGACGGCGCCAGTCATCCTGCTTGAGGGCAGACATGGGAGGCTGGTGAAGTTCCTCAAGCTTCTTGATCTGCTGCTCGACTGCCTGTTCTTGGGTTGAGGCGAGGTACTGGGCCTCTGCCTGCTTGAGACGCGTCTCGATGGAGACATGGAAACAGTGGTCGAGGATACGGTGGTGTGTCGATGGAGTGGATGAGGGAATGTTCTTGTTATTATTGCTGTTGTTGTTGATAGGAGTAGAAGATTGTTGTTGACGATGAAGGTTGGGTGAGAGCGTGGGCGAAGAGCGTGGAGAGGTAGCTGCAGTTGACGCAGAGGACAACAGGGGGGAGGGAGGAGAGCAAGGCGTGTGGGGGATGTAGGTAGCAGAGGGGTGGAAGAATGTCCAGGAGGGGTGGGGATCGTACTCGGGGAGGATAGCTGGTGTTGAAGAAGTTGAAGGCGAGGGAGAAGCAGACTTTGATGCCGAGGGCAGACGGTTGAGGGTCGTGTGGACCTGCATTAGTTGTGATGAATGTGTGTGGGGTAAAGTAGTGATCGAAGGGAGAGGGGATATTGGATGTGTTTAATAATAACAGGTGACGAGTGATGGATGAGCTTGTTTGGAAGTGATGGTGTCAGGGCAATCAATCACTTATGGAGAGGATGATATGAGGGTTGGGTGGAATGTGTGTATATGCAGTGAGAGTGAAGGGGGAGGGAGCTACAAAGACTGTAAGGAAAAGTGGGATGGTCGTTCAAGGTCAAGGAATAGCAAAATGGAATTAGGTATCTTTGAAAAAGTGGAGAGAAGACAAGACGAAGAAAAAGAAGAGCCAAGGAGTGAATGTGAGAGTGTATGCGAGAGTGAATGAGTGAGTGAATGAGAGATGATTGAATGAGTTGAGGGATTGACCAAAGAGAAAGGACGGAGGGAAAGAAAGATAAAGAAAAAGAAAACAAAAGGGAAATAACAATAAAAGAAAAAAAGAACCCGGCCGGGTGGGGATAGCAAAAGAACGCCATCTTTTATGCCTTTTGTTCACCACGGAATTCCGTTGTCCGTCCTGTCCGTCCGTCCTGTCCGTCCGTTCGTCGCTCTTTTCTCCATAGTCTTTTTTTTTTTCTCTCCTCCTTCGGTTGCACACGGACAGACTGGCAGCAACACAACAACAACAAAAGGACGAGCAGCCAATCATATCCTCCGAGTGCTGAGAGATAGCAGGCCGCCAGACACCATCTTTTGTCGCCATTCATTCAGTTTTATTCAATCGAAAACCCTGCTTAAAAATCTATATTGAGTACACTCCGCCTGTACATTTGTTTATTTTTCTTGCCCAATGACCCTCCCTCCTTCCTCTCACTCACACGGCCTTGTCCGATCCACGCTCTCCTCTTGCACTCGATAATCTTATCGCAACCCGTGTAGGTCCCCTCCTTCTCCTTCCTTCTCAATTCGTGTTGAATAATCCCCTTGCAAAAAAAAAAATTCTTTCCTCATACTCACACTTGTTGCATTACGATCATTCATGCTTGCCCGCAAAATAGTCATACACTAATACGAACAAGGGTCATAACACTCACTTCTCACCTTCTCTCCCACGTTTGACGGGTGTCACAGTCCACTCGGTAACCTACTCTGAACCATGTCTTCCTCTCATCCCTTTATTCCTGCACATGATACTTGCACGCCCTTCCGGATCCTGCCTCCAGCTTGCTCTGTTCACTTTGATTTTTCAACTCTCTCTCACTCGTTCTTGAATGTCGCCACTAAGAGTCGATGATGGAGAACGATAAACCCTCCCTCCTTCCTTTGCTTTCTGCCCCTCCCTTCTTTCGTTCTTCAGCTCCTATTCTTTCCTGTTCCTTGTTCTTCCTTGACCCTTTTTTCCTTCTTTGGAACCGGCACAAAAAACAATAGCAATCATCGGAAAAAGTCGAGATAAAAAGTATCGCCGACACCAGACATACCTTTTATTCTTCCTCCTCTTTCACTCCCTCCTTTCTCCTCACTGGCCAGTATCCTACTAGAGTCGAAAGGACAGCATGTACGTAATGAATCATAAGAATCCTCTCACTTGAACAGTCGAGCATCATACATGACATGACCCGAAGGAACACAAAAATGCGCAAGGGTTCAGTTTGAGTCCAGCAGGATCAGAAAACAATCTCCTTGAGCACAAAGGACAGGAGGCACTCACATGTTTAGCAAAGAATCAACATGTATTTGACGACGGAGACAATTGAACGCGCGCGTGAATGCGAATGACTTGTCTTCATTTACTATCATCCCCAAGAAGACAAAACGTGTTGCCTAATCATACCATGGGCGTTTTCCTCTTTCTGCTTTTTGGGGACATGTGTGCCTTCAACAACCGTTTGGCTATCTCCAGCACAAAAGAAGTAGCAACATGGGTGCGTTGCCTTTCACATTCGGTCCAATTGCTCAAGCCAGCCTGCTGTGCATCAAATAATGGTTGTAGTAACAAATGGGAGAGACAGAAGGGGGAACATCGTCCTGTTGCTCAATTCACCCACTCTTTATTTCTATCATCTCCCTTCCTCGCTTGTACCCTCACTCAAATACCAATCTTCAAATAAAACTAAGGAATGGAGCAGCGTTGTGAGTAGGACAAAAACCGGCGTGAGAAATGGCTCCAAAAAATGGATATTTGATCGAAAACGATTCTCTCTGTTCATCTTTTTTTCATCCCACTTTCGCCTTTCGCCCACTTCAGATATCTGATGTACCCATCGAAATGGCAATGCTTCGGGACCACACCCGCATGTTTGTTACAAAAGGAGGGAGATTGCATTCAAGGGCATGGGACATAGAACACGATCGAACAAAAAAGTAAAGATGAGAGGATGGGTGCAAAAAAAAAAGAGAGCATTTGGTGCATCTGTTGCATGATTCAATTTGTCTTCTGTTGGGCGGCACGATGTGTTGTGTAGCCCTTTTCATGCATTGTTCCTTTCTTCTTGCCGAGCAGAGTCAAGCCAAACGGCAACGGACAGGTGATTGCCCTGTTAACAGGGTGTTCTCTCTTAGGACGTTCCCTCAATTGTTAGCTCCGACTTATTGTTTTATCGTACCCCGCCTTTCTCTCCACATCCAAGGGCATTCAAAGATCATGTCTCAAGCAAAAGGAAGCAATTGAGGGACAATTGTTATGATCATGAGACATTGCAGGAGAGCACCATGATGAATACATAGAAAATACCCAATCTTGGTGTCTTGCCTATCGCGCTTCATGTGTTGAAGGATGGAGGGCTATCTCAATGCCGGTATGTTTCATTGCGCATGAGTGCGAATGAAAGCAAGACAATGGACAGACATGCAAACATGCATTCTGCATGTGCAATATTTCTTTCAATTTCAAACAGGTGAGTGAGCTCACAGACACTCAATCGCACTCTCGAACGCACCCCAGAATCACATTCTTGCCCCTTGTATGTTTTTGCCATTCTAAGCAACGCAAAAGCACAAAACAATAACGAAACCCTCTCCGACAGAGGAGTGGAATAAAACACAACAGTGGCCGCCTAGACTGTTAACTGCTGGATATGACAATGTCATACGCCCCTTCATTCTTCTCGAAGTTTAGCTTTTTTCGTCCCCACCCATGTGTTCGGATCCTCGTTGAATATGCCATATTTATCAACGGTACCCACTGTTCAGCGTTGATTCCCCAGTACGACTTCCACTCCTGTTCAGGGGACATGCGGACGGACGCGTCAGTCAGAACAACCCAGTCGAGAGCGCAAAGAAACTGTCAGCCCCACTTGGAAAAGGACACGCTCCCTACCCCTTGTTGCAATCTTCGGCATAATACGTGTTCCTCATTTTCTTACCCCCACTCATCCTCTTCCTTCCATCTTGCTCTTTCAATCATGTCGATTTTTCTCTCCCATTCCTCCCCTCCGCACAGACATAAAAGGATCGTCTGGGGTGTTACCACTTTACGTTTACGATCATGATTTTAGAAGAGAGCAAGGGGGAGAGAGTGCGTCCCGATAGGTGTGCGATATGGTTTTTTGTTTTTTGCGGGGAAGTATTCAAAAGATGTGCTGTAATGTGCTGTGAGTCGAGTTTAGTCCCTTTCCTTCGCCCTGCCTTGACCAGTTGGTGGTCCAAGGGCAACTGGCATGTCAGTTCTATTCGATCATGCCCTCTTTTGTTCGACAATTGATTCCCCTCATTTTTCCTGCATGATAGCAAGAAGAGTACATCCTCACACATAAAATCAATATGCCCTTGAATATAATCGTGGGCGATGCTACTCCAAGATAATGAAAGGGAATGGAACGATGGAACGATGCAACGATGGAACGATGGAACGATGGAACATACCATTATCAGATAATGCACAAACAACGCGAACACGAACACAAAGGAGAGGATCCGGAATGACCTACCCTCTCATCTCCGTGTATTTCCTTCTGTTACTTTACTTCTTTACACCCTCCTCCTTTCTCAATTCCCTGCCTATGCGCCCTATCGCGATAAAGTCATTCGAGACTGCGGGGAAGAACGCCAAAGTGCACATCTACAAACAGGACGCGGACGGCTACTTGCATCCAGTACACACACCATCCCCGTTCATCAGACATTATCTCAGACAAACTAACTGCATTTCACCAATCGCGCTAAACAATACAAATCCCGCCGTCATAATCCCTCGTTGTTTGCCTTATCCCCTAGTTTGTTTGTGGTGCAAATTTGCACCACATTTTTTTCGATTTATCCAGGTTTCCAATAAAACGGGTTAGAAGACTACATCGTGGGAGTGTCCTTGTCGTCTTCGTCACATTACATTCATCACTCTCGAATTCAGCTCTTTTTTTCTCATCATCATCCCGCAACCCATTACCTTTTTTTTCTCACACATCGACTTCACCCTACTCACTCATGGACTCCAGTCTCGAGTTCCTCGGTTCCTTTGACGTTTCTGACTCTCAAGGCACCGTAGTAGCATCTGCGGAGGAGGTTGACGAGGCACAGGAGGAGGAGGAGTTGTTTTCGGTCCGTTGTCGTACTCGACCAACGCCTGGTACAGATAGCTCTGGGGACGAGGAGGAGGAGGAGAAGGCAGGAGATGAAGGGGTGATAGATGCTACAGCTCCACCGACAAAGAAAATGAAGGCTGCCAAGAAGGCTGCTAAGAAGCCCGTTCGTGAGACTAGAGAACTCCCGCCTGTACTAGATTTCGACAATATCTTTCGCCACTACAAGGATGGACACCCAGCACAATCCAACCTTCCCCGTGCACTTCGACTCGACAGTGAACTATCACCATTGACAATTTTCACACTCTTCTTCTCCGACCCAGTATTGACGGATTTGGCAGACAACACTAACGCATATGCAGCATCAAAAGGAGCCGGCACAGGAGAGGGATCGCGCCAATGGGTAAAGACCACACCTGACGAACTGCGCACATTCCTCGGCATCATTGTCTACATGGGCGTGTTCAGGCAGAACTCTGTCTCTGAGTATTGGTCAACCTTCCCTGAATGTCCTCAACACAACATCACTACCTTCATGTCCCTCGTCCGCTTCGAACAACTGAAGCGTTTTTTTCATGTCTCCAACCCCAACGAGCCTGAGCAACATTGGTTCTCAAAAGTAGAGCCTGTGATAGATAGGTGCTTCGCTTCCTTTTCTTTTATTTAACGAAGAGAGTTACCACTCTTGCCCTCTGCTAGGCTATAAAAGCTAACTGCGACAATCGCCAGACCCACTTCAGGTTCTTACCGTGTTCTGGATGGACAATAGACCTGTCTCCATACTCTTCACCGTCCATGCCCTCAGCCTCGGCGACAACGACTGATCCGTTGTCCAAGATCGCAGACGCCCTCGAGAGACAAGCGCCAGCGCAAAGTCAGTGCGGGCTGCTCATAAAGGACGTTCCATGGCGTTACTTCCCATCCCAAAATCATCGATGACAACAACCACCACATGAACGGAGTCGACATTGCCGACCAGTTATGCAGCTACTATTCGACTCAGCTCAGGACTTATCGCGCATGGGCTCCGATCTTCTTCTGATTACTGGATACAACAATCATCAATGCGTACCTTATCAACAAACTCTTCGGCTCTTCCATGCATCAAAGGGAGTTCCGATAGTTCCTGGCTAAGGATCTGATAGTGTCCGCCAAATGTCGCGACACCCCTACCTAAGTATCCCCTTATGTCTCGAAAAAATTCAAGGGACCAAACGATGAATTACTGAACTACTCATGACTGGCTGCATCCTGTGCAGATAAAATAAACGAGAAGGCATAACACAAGCATATCCTCAACCCACCCAGCGAATCTGCTCTCTCTGCAAGGTCTTCTTTGCACCAAGAATGATTTAGGAGTATCATACGCGCCCTGAGTTTTAGAAAGGGTCCTGTGCCCGCGCCGATAGCGTTGCATCTCAGTGTCTGTCCACTGAGGCTGAAATGCATGGGATTGGTGCGAAAGAACCATCCTACCCCTTAATTCGCTCACTGACGTTCACGGTGACTGAGCGGCTGAGGCTGAGTGAATGAAGACCACCAGCTTCTTTTTCACCGTTCTGCATCGCCTCGTGTCCCTTTCTTTTAAACTACCCCCTTCTCCCCCTTCTCCTAAACTGCCCCCCTTCTCAATTGAGCTTCAACAGACCTATGTAAGGCCGATGTTGAAAGTGATTGCGACCCGTGCTATTGAGAGAATCTATGAAATCAGACTCGCGCTAACCATCAACCTTCAATTGTGAATTACTTAGAATTACAGCAATGGGCATCACAAATCTCACCGGGTGGATCAAGGCGACAGACGGAGTGGAGGAAGATCTAACCAAGAAGAGATGTGAAGTAGATTTTGCGTCGATGTTTTTTGCGTTGGTGAACTCGCTGAGTTTCCATAAAACAGTGCAGTTCGCTGCAAAGTCCGCCCGATGTCAATTATCTACTCACACAACAACATCGACACAGCAGACTTCATCCGGCCCAGAGCGAGCAGCCGACGTCGATGGCGCGGGCATGTCTACTCACACAACAACATCTACACGGCAGGCTTCATCCAGCCCAAAACGAGCAGCCGACGTCGACGATGCGGACACCGCCGACACTGCTTCCTCTAACAAACGCCTCCGACCCCTCCAAATCAGCTCCGGGTCGTCGACTCTCGTTGAAGACATGCAGCGATTGCTGGCAACACAGCCATCCCAGATTCGGTTCGACGAGAGCGGCGCTCTGACCACAATCTGCGCCCAGGAAAAGGTCATTGTAAGTACCATAAATCATACCATCTGGAGAAAAGCTAAATGGATTGTACTGATCTGGAAAAAAGTTAAATGATTCATGCTATCTGGAGAAAAGCTAAATTGCTGTGACCAAAATAATAATTCGCTGTTTCCAATAGGATTTTCGATCTGTCGGAGCCGCAATTGAGAAGATTCTCTCCTCACGATTGTCTAAGGACATCACAATGCTCCATATGGATGGTCTACGATCAATGGAGAAGGAATGGGCGCACGGCAAACGAGATCAGGCGCTGTCCAAGCAGTTGGAAACACTTGAACGAGATTACACGGAGGGCAAGCTGCACAACAAAAGACAGCTATACAAACGCCTGAAGGCGTCGTACCGAGCACCACCGGAGGCATTGCGCGCCGTTTCGGAAGTACTGCGTCAGAGTGGATGGACGATTTGCCAATGTCTCAACCAAAGCGACACGTGCATTGCGCGGACAGTCAACAACGCTGCCGTACCCGGAGATATCCGAGTTATCACCAAGGACTCCGATCTCATGGCATTCGAGTCAATCATGTCCGTCACCATGCCAGTCAAGAACACTTGGACTACTTTCCACAAAGATGAGCTTCTGAACGAGCATGGCCTTCCGACCCCTGTACATCTAACGCTTGCCGCTCTGGTATCGAACAACGACTACACCAACGGAGTTTTTTCCTATGGCTTGACATCCAATGTCGATACGATCCGTCAGTTCAAGATGACAGGTCTTGATGGAACGGTTGGCCAAGATCGAGTGGAGGTGGTTCGGATCTATGTTAGGCGCTACCTTGACATAATACACCAAAAGGCCCGTACAATCAAGGACTCAGCCACCCAAAGCGCACGTCGTCGACTGCGATGCAATCCTAACCCAACGGTGAAGGCACACGACAAGGATCTGAGGAGGATCGAAACGGCCGATCGACAGCTGCGTGTAGATGTGACAGAATTCGGCCATGCTCTCAAGACATTCGTGCTTTGCGAGGAAACCACTCTGGACAACAACAGGATCAGCCCGGCGGCCGATACACACACACGACTGATGGCCATAATTAAGGAAACAGAATTCAACAAAGCCTACAATGATTGGCGTCGCTTTTCCGCGAGTCGGACGGGATCGTTGCCGCCTGGGCTGCTAGTAGATCCAGCTTCTCAGGGGGCGGCGACAGACGCAGAGGCAACGCCACCACCACTCCCAACGGCACCCAAGGCAGGATCAGCACCATATCCGCAAGCTACATCAGCGGGATCACCTTCCATCAGGCAGACGCATGGCCCAGCCGAACATCCACCATCGCACAAGCAAAAGATTAAAAAACAACGCCGACATGGTTCACGTGCCCTCCAGCGGCGACGACAGAAGTGGCGTCGTTCCAGGTATATCTTTTCTCCTGGTATTTTTCTCCGCCTTGTCCAGCTATATACATATATTTCCACCTTAACACAACTCATTGCAAAATCGCATCTAGATTCCGCTCGCGCACAGACGTGCAAGATCGCTATGTGCCGGACACTGTTTTCCTAGAAAAGGCCAGCCCTGTTGATGTCGTGGAACTTTCAGGATTGAAGCCGTCGACCCCCCGTCCTTCAAAGCCCAAGGAGCAATCCCCCCGTATCGACCAAGTGCCTGCCCCCGCTGCCAAGAAGAAAAAGAAAAAACTCCTTGGCGAACCTAAAGGAATAGCTGGACCCAAGGCCTTGAAGAGAGCGTTCCAGTCTGTTTTCGCAACGGTCACGCTCACGACTGGATCCCTGCAAGGCTGCCTAGGAAGATCAACCAATCTGTCGAAAGCAGAGGTTGCGCAGCTAACCCAACACGTGAGTTCGGCAGTCTCTACCGTCAATAGCGCCAAACACATTGTGTACAAGCTTATCGAGATGCGCATTCTACAGCCGCTGATCGAGACTGGACTGAACCAGGCAGAGGATGGACCGGACGAGAGCTTCCTAGAGAAGATCCTGGATTCCGATTGGGCGGAAAGGTTTGTCCAAAACCTACTGTCCTTCGTCTTGAGGAATTCCATTGTCCCCCAAGGACGTCCACCCGCGTCGGACAAGAGCAAGGATGCTGTCGCTGAAGCAATCTCGACGTTTAACGAGTTCAAGAAGACGCTGTGCCCAGGGTTCAAAGCCCTCAACTCAACGGATCTGGCTTTGAGTAATATCATCGCGGAACTTGCACCCAAGATCTGCCTAGATCAGAAACTGCATTACAGGAGAATACCGGAGACTCTTAGAACAAAGGTACCATCTATCCATATCCATTCAGTTTGTCAAATATTTTCAATGGGGTGTAAAACATATTTTAACACTCCTTTTGTTTATGCAATGCCAGCTCTCCAAGCTGTCCATTGATTGCGATGGTCTTCCTGAAATAGATCAAGATGGCACCGACGCTGGTGGTGATGCCGGGGCTGCTGACGTTAACGAGGGTGTGGACGACGACGACGCCCTCAAGCGATCCAAGAAGATCATTTTCAAGCCGGGTCATATTCAACTCTGCTGGCGATATTTCCTCCTCTTACCATCATCCAAGCGGCCCCGGTTCTGCACCCAGGCCAAAATGAGCGATTCCTTCATCGACATCAACGAGGAAGCGTTGGTTGCGCTTCTCTGGGGAGAGAAGGCAGTTCAGTTGGACAACGTATGGGAGGACACCCGCTACACTCACAACTGGGCAGCGGCAAAACAGCGTTCTTCGTACGGAGATGTGATCAAAGAACTATTCATCGGTGACCGAGATGTCATCAAGGAAGCCAGGAATAAGCAGCAGACGACATACGGGAAGAGGACAACAACCATGGCTGAGCGTGAGGAGGCCCATCCACACATCTACGGACAGTTAGAGCTCGCACGGTATTTGACGAATAAGGTCAATTTTTTCCGAGAACGGCACAACGCCTCCCTCACGGCCCCGACACCACCGTTGCCATCATCAACGTCATCGTCATCGACGACCTCCACCCCACCGCCTCTTCCCACCCCACGTCAGCAGCCGCGTTCTTACCGCTACGCCCTCAACAACTATATCAGGACGGATGGCCACCAGCTGCAGATTCTCGCGTATGACCTTACAAAACCCCGCCAATCCCCAAATTACAGTGAGTTTCTTTCTAGGATCGAGAAGCGTTATCCAACGCGGCAGCATCTTATCGACGCGTTTGGCGACGACCTGGATTCAGTCATTGTCGTCGGTATTGATCCCGGAGAGGTAGTGAGTGGTGCATTTTGTTTGACACTTCCCGGTGGAAAAGTCATCAATCTGCTGATCAAGAGGGCCTCCCTATACCAGCCTACTCTGGCCTTCCGAGATTGGGAACAGCATTGGAAAAGGCGACACCCAACAGCTGGTCCAGGCGATGTTGTCGACTCATCCCTTTGGACACGGATTACCGACCTGGACAAGCTCACCACTCTCCCGTCTGTCCACGACCTAGAGAATTCTCTCCCCTCAACAAACTACGACACCTCGTTGGATGCTTTGACGGCAGCTCACAAGAAGTACTACGAGCAGGAACCGCTGATCCACGGGATTTACGCGTCAAGAGAATGGAAGGTAGCGGTTCACGAGCACAGAATGGCGAAAATGTCGGAGTTGGATCTGGCCGTCGCTGGCGTTTTGCGGATGGTGGATGAGGCATGTGAGGGCGTACCCGTCCACCAAAGAAAAGTTTTTTTTGCCCTGGGGAATGGAACCTTCCGGTCTGGCTTTAATCTCTCTTCGGTGCACACCACGTTTCTCAGACGTCTTTTACAGCAGGTACGAAAGGCAAAAAAAAATTGTGAAAGGCATGGTTGTATCTTTTTGTCTTGATTGTGTGCACTCATGATGCCATGGCAAATCTATGGAACACAATTTTATTATTCCTGCACCGATAGAGTGCTGCGCTCGGATACAAGGCTGCCCTGGTCGACGAGTATCTTACTTCCACCATGTGTCCAACATGTGTGGTTGAGAACCGAGCCACCCGCCTCGCCAAGCCGTCGATGAGGACATGCGCCTGTGTTGAGTGCACTCGGTGGATTCACCGAGATGGAGTGGGGGCGCACAACATCGCTTTGATCGGAGAACAGTACCTCAAGTCTCTAGGACGGCCCGAGCCCCTTGCAAGACCCCCCAAACAAACCAAACCTCTATAGATAGAAACTATAGTTTACATTATCCCCTTCTACGGATTAAGGGATATACGCAATCATCACCACCCCCACGCGAGATTGAGACAACCAGGCGCCCCCAGAGAACTGACACGTCCCTCATGGATGCCATACGAACACCCAGTCTCTTTTCTCTTTCCTCTTTGCCCCCGCCTTTCTCCAAAAGGAATGCTCAAGTCAAGAAAAAAAAAGTGCGGGGAAATGAGCATGAGGGGGAAAAAGAGAAGGGAAAGCAGCGGTTTGTGATAGTTCAACTTTTGCCGCCACCAAAAAAATTATCCCTCGGATGGATTCTGGAACTGATCAGTTCCAGATTTTTTTGAAATTAAGGGTTTGTCTCTGCTACAAGGCCACCAAGTTGAAGGACGAGGACTTCAAGACCCCAACGAGTATCATGGTATTCCATAGCCCATTGTTCACAACCCTCCGATCTTCTGTCATGCTTTGACTAGAATAAAAGATATGAATGTACACGATGAACAATTTTTTTTAAAAAAAAGACTCTAGACCCGGTACCCGGCGCCTGAAACCGTCTTAAAGTCACCCTCATTTTCACATTGTTAACATATGGAGCGACACGTGATTACAGCCCAGAAAATGTGAGAAAATGGCGAAGGAAGGTGACATGGAGCATTTCTTTTGATCTTGGCACAAGCGTCTCAACACACACTCCCAATCAACAACAAAAGATCACATCGGAGTCTCAGAAGAGAACGAGCGTTGCCCTTCACCACCTCCCTCTCGACCTATTCTGCATTGACAAAATACATTGAGGATACAGCATAGAGCAGACAGCGTTCATCGATAGTAGTAAAGTAGCATTCCATTTCTTTGCTGGTATTCTAAAGGTCTAATACTTTGAAGTAGACGATAAGAGAGACTGCAGAGCAAAAAAAGGAAATGGCCAGTCGATTCCTGGATATTGCCTCTCCTCATCTCTCATCTTCCCCCATTTTGTACTCAGCTACACCTGGACTCTGCCGCTTGACTATAACAGTTGCTTGGATCACAGTCGCTGCACCTGCCACAATGGGCGACCCTTTTGGCTCCTTTTGAAAAGCAAACACATGCCCAGTTGTCCCCCATCACACCCATCGGCAACCATATCAGAGACAGTACGGCCATTGCTGCTGCGACGAGAACGATGAAACTTATAGAGAAGGACTTCGTTCTTGTCATTTTGTACAATGCCCTAAAGATTTGAGGGAATAGGCGACATCCTCAATAAGCAAATGGCCAAATAGACACTGCGGAGGGGTATTGTTCGAAGCGAGCGAGTGTAGCGAGGTAAAACGGTACCTTGAGCAAGGTAAATGTTCGATTTGGGTTGGTTGTTGTTGAAAGGATTGAAGGTCAAGAAAGCGTTTACTTCGTATTTTTAAGTATATCTTTTTTTTTTCTTCCTCCGTTCTCGTCTAACGTGGGATGAGGATCGGTCAAACCAAGACACCAGTCTGGCACGAGGATTTTTTTTTCCTCTCGTGTTTTGCTTTCATCTTACAAGAAAGATTCAGGGACCGGTTCGATCACCTTCTCTCTCCCTTCTACCTTTTCCTACATCTCCCTCCCCTTTGAACAACCACAAGATAACAGTGCCTATGACGTTTGTTCAACATGATAACTAAGAAAAATGGAACAGAGGAAGAGATGGCCAATTGGGTACTGCTCGCGACCTGTAAGAAAAGAAAAAGGGGAGTGAGGCATATTGGCGATTAATGAGACAAAGAGACTCGCCACAGGAACAAGGTTTTGTTGAGGACAAAAGGCAAGAGCGACAGACCCATTCTGCCACCCTAGCCCCTCAGTCACAAACACTTTCGTCTTTCTGTTCAATGTTTATTGGAGGTAGGGGCGAGGAAAAGAAATGTAAAAGTAAAGGAGAGTGCGCACAATGGGTGAAAAAAAAATGTGTTGCCCAAATGGATCCATGGCATTCCCTACTTGTTCAAGAACATGTCTCTGTGTTGCCATCCTTGCAGCCATGAAACTTGTCCGTGGCCTTACAATAGCTACAATGGTCAGTATAATTTGTCAAATGCCAAGGGGACATATACATTCTGTCTCCGCGTCTACCGTGGCTGGCATCAGGGTCGACAATTCCAACAATCCATCGGCGGCGACGAAGGCAAAGCACCTGGCGGAGATATACGTTGCTCGACCCATTTTTTGCTAGTTAGTTGTTGTTGATGTGGATTGTGAGAGCCCATAGCGTTCTATGATAGGGCAGCGCACGAAACAGTGGCGCGTTCGTATCGAAAAAAAAATGTGTGAGGCAAATGTGCGGTGTGTAGGAGAGGCCAATGGCGCTATGAGGTGAGCTTTCCTTTTAGTTCTGCCTTTGTGGAGAAGTAATGCTTATTGCCGTTGTGGTTGATTGTGGTTGAATGTGGTGGAATCGATATAAATCGCTCTTCTTTATACATTACGGAGGAGATGGGTTTCATTTTGCTCTTAAGTTTTTTCTTTGATGTTTGGTTCAGATATGTCCAAGTGAATGGGGATCGACAATATGAACCTTAGAGTACAGCTAACAAATGGGGGTGACAAGGGAGGGGGGTAAATGGGAGGAACCAAGCATTTGCGTAACTTGGTTTGGCTATCTCCCCTAGACAACAGATACGATTTCCTATAGAAAAAAGAACGGGTTAAATGCATGCAAATACCCTAAGATGAGTGGTCGCGATGATAGTTAGAACACCTTCATGTGTACCCTCTTGACTCCTCAAAAATGATTGTCAAAAAGGAAACAAAGAAAGAGTGAGTGAGATGTATACACGACCCAGTCGTACCTTCTGACCCCTCCCAAAGGTGAGCATGAAAGGAACACAATGCACAAGAATGCTTTTGGGTTGCATAACACTTGGCAGGCAATTTTTTGAACGTTTTACCTACTGTGCCCCATCAGTCTGGTGTCCCTTTGAGTTTTCGTATACGTGCATATTCCTCGCCCATGTCTTCACTCTTGTTCACATTCCGTTGCTCCCGGGATGTAACTATCCATTGATCTAAAAAAAAAAAAAAAAAAAAAAGGAAGGGAGCTGACAAGAAGCAGTGCCTGCGCTGGATCTCTCCCGCCCTTGCGTTCAACAAGCACGTGGGGACCAATAATAAAAGAAATATAGTAGTGAAATCCATGGCTGAATGTGCTTTGTGTCTAAAGTGGATCCCTCGTCTTCCTTTTCCCTTCACTCCCTCAATAAAAGCAAATACTGAGAGAGAGAGAGAGAGAGAGAAGACAGAGGACAAGATAGGGGGTCAAATAGAGCTAGGCAAAATGCAAAATGCAAAGTGGGAAAAAGTGCAAGGGAGTGTGGATGTTCTAAACCAAAGGGCGGATGCAAGATGATGAAGGAACAAGAACGCGCATCCTCTACCTGTTCCAAAGATTGGGTAGATAAACTACGGCTCACACACACACAGAGGCACACATTTACATGCGAACGGGTTGATACATATAGGAGATTTGACGTACGAGTGCACTGAAGAAAAAGGCAGGTCTGATTATTAAGGAAGTAAAAGTGCACCTGTTTGCATGCTTGAGGGTGCGGAAGGAGATAGAGGAAGAAATGTGGTTACCTTGAAGAAATGTTTGAAGAGAAGGAGAAGGAGGAGGAGGGGGAGGAGATGGTGGTGTTACTCGTGTTGACTCGGTTCTGGATGGTGTAGATAAAAAAAAAAGATGCGGATCGAGGTTATATACCCGAAGCGACAAGAACACCAATAGGCGGATCAATTGGGGCGAAGAGGATTTGATCATTCGGGGGCGAGGGAGGGTTTTTTTAATTTGCCGATTGATCATCGTTGGTGATAACTTATCGGAGTTTGCTCTTCATTTTTTTATTTGCGGTGCGATGGGGTTTGATGGCTACCAATGAAAAGAGATCCGCACAAGCGTTGCCTCGATTTCTCCTTTCCCATTGGAAAAAAAACAAGCAAGAGGGATTAAGCGGGAGAGATGAGACAAAGAATTTGTATGCATCGAATCTGCTTTGTCCACGCAACAAACACGACCTTCACTACAAGAGGAGTTGGAGATGAATCGAATCATACAGAAGAGATACTTTATTGCGGGTATATATTTTGTTGCGGAGAGGGAAAGAGAGAGCGGATGAAAGAAAAAAAAAAAAGGATGCTGCAGTTTGAGGCATGTACTGATTGTGTCTAATTTGCACAGGCCCTGCTTTGTTGCGGCTGGCAGCCTATCAAAATTTCATCACTAGTGCAGCAACCGCAATGATGGTCCCATCCGGCCAAGTCGCATGCACATATAATTCCTGTCTGCACAGTGGAAAGGTCCGTTGGCAGTGGCTTTGCCAACGACAACGGCATTATGGTAGCAATGACGACGAGAAGTGTAAGAGAGCAAATACGAACCATAGGAACTAGATTGTGCAGTGGAGGAAATTAGGGTGAGCGGCGAGATTAACAAAGTAGGAAAAAGAGGGTTGCAGTTAGGGCCCTAGTTACAGTGCACGATGACTATAGGGCAACGATGTACTTTTTTTCTGAGGTGTTGCTTGGAGCGCAAAGGAGCTATCAGACCTGACTTTGGTTGACCTGTTTGCTTTCTGTAGTTGTTTGGTTGCCGAACCTGACGCCCTCTTACTATTTAAATACAAGGTTGTGAAAAGAACAAAGCGCAATGAGGGATTTGAACAAGACAGGCATCCAATGGCCGATTCGTTGTCGCCATTTCACAAGCGGCGTACATCTCAAACAACCTTTTGCGAGTTAACAAGTGAATGGAAAAGGGTCAATCTCCTTCGTGTACCAGGCATGAACTGCGCTAAAAGTAGGGGGTCGCAAAGGATTCGCAGTGCCATTTGACACTATGAATACAAAATATGCATTCGGATAAAGAGAAGATGCTACGTGTTTGTGCGCCTTGTATCTTTATCATTCCTGTCGCCCAATATTCGTTTCTGGTCAGATGAGAAACCGCGCTCGTTATGGTTGATACACGAGTTCACGACCAACGGAGCAGA